CAGAAAGAGAGAAGTGGCTCAGAGGAAGAAGTATTCTTAATGTTAAGTCAGAGCAATATTTGGATTTACTTTTGGACCATCCACCCCACAGATTTTTATGTCAGTCGTCCAACAAGTCACATTGGAACCAGTGTGTTTGCAGGTAAACGTTGGAGATGTTGAATCAAATTTGTTTAAAACACGTATATAACGTGGCCGGCGTGACACATAGTTCTCTTTTGAAATACATTTGACAAATGCTGAGGAAGCAAATGAGGACCAAGAAAATGCAGTAAGTACATTGGGACCGTAATTCAAAATGCTGGCTTGTTTTGTTTACTGGATAGGATAAATATGTTGGGAAGATTCTGAGCAGGGGAAATATAGGGTGGATTCGTTTGCAGCATTCGCGTATAGCTGTCGCATTTGTCCGCTGGAATTTTTTTATTGTTTTTAGGCTTAAAACAATGAAAAATTCCATCTGGAAAATGCCAGACTGCTATACGCGTATGCTGCATATGAATCTACCCATATATTGCATTGCTTTGTTAATGTTATCAGCTATTGTTTCAGCCCCGCACAGTGTAACAATCAAAGCCGCCACCAACTTTTCAGACAGTGAATAGTAATGAGGGGTTATGTAATATATTCCCCCCCACAAGAACAAAGGAAACCAAGCAAAGTGAAAAATAAGAAAATTTCATTAGTTCAATAGCCATCTTATGCCGACGCAAATTGCACGTAAGATCTAGGCCCCTGTTCCTAGACGACAGATAGGTTGCAATTCACGATTTAAACTTATCTAGCTTCCTTTAGATTGTTCAAAACTGATATCAGTTTGTGTTCTCAAAAGTAGACCTTGGAGTATAGGCTCAACTATATCATATAAGCTTCGGTCACATGTTCCTCCGGTACGAAAACTGAGCTTAAAATTCGGCCTTAAACACCTTGGGTCTTTTAAGGATCCAGACTCAGGCCTCCCGGGGGATACCCCCTTAACCTCAATATAGGGGAGAGGGAAGACAAAAAGAGACGAATTTGCGATCCTGTTCTAGACAATAATTGTAAAAAAAATATGAATCCTGTTCCTGCGGCCGGTCCAGTGGTAAAATGGAGGCGTAGTTTCGCACCTAAGCTTGATCTCAGAATAATCAGGCTCAATTTTTACTTGATATGTTCGCCAATTCTCGGGAGGCATTATGGGGAAATATCGACTCTGTTCCAAAGTCAATTTAAAGTAACATTTACTCATCTTCCAGAGATAAAGGGTGACTTTATTTCCTGTCCCAGAGACAGAGAGTCAAAACGCTTACCTGTTGCGCAGCATACACAAGGCATAATAGCCCATATATGGGAGTACCCCACAAGGGGTGAGGTCTAATAATAACATATTACATCTTCAGCATTGATTTGATTCACATGATCTGATCTAGTTCAAAATCGTATGTCTTGTTTAAAACAGTAAGCTAAAAATTGCTTAGGAACACTACTTACTTTATATGATACAGTTCACGTCTGAAGTAAAGCCACACCTGAACTTTCAAAAACATTCCTGCGAGACGGCAATTTCAGCCGGTTACTGAGGACGCCATGTTGGATTTGCCGCCAGCGAATACAGCCGTTTCGAGGAAAACAAATTAACTGAACCTCCAGAATTCAGTCATTAGCTGATATCTCATAGCTAAGAAAAAGTATTTTCTCAAGTCGTTTCCTCGAAAATCTATTTACCACTCAGAGGGCAGATAGAAAAGTAAGGCACTGACAGATGCGAACCGTATGTTCTATTAATCGATATCTAGGTAGCTATACCATACATTAATTACGATGTTAATCTTTTTTTTCTCTGTCTTAACGACGTTAAAATGCATTTACTGCAGCCAAAATGTTATGAACATTCCAAGCGGGTGTGGTAAATTATCTAAAAATCTATTCCATTATTCACTTCACTCAATTGTATCTTCTCGTGCAAGGAAAATTTCTGCTTCTTTACTCTGGTCTGCTGCGATTTATAATCGACCTTTCGAAAAACCATTTCCTGAGGCATTGCACTTCCACTTCCAACGCGACTGTTGCTACGAGGTAGCAAAGCATTCTTGACAGAACGATTCCATTTGAAAACAGCGCACAAGGTGGGGATAGCGATCAATACAAAGGCAGCACATGAAACTCCAATGACGATTGGGAGTTTGGTGGCGTGTTGCGGCTCGCTTGATTCTTTTTCTGTTGAAATACAATGGACAACATAAACAGAGAATGTCTCTGAGTCGAGACTGTACCATCCATTGTCAAAAGTCGGTCTTTCTTGGCGATATTGTCATTGTTTCTCTATTTATTCGAACTTGAAATAACTTTGAAATGAGATTCAAATTTCATGTCAGATTTCATTACACCAACGGAAAATTAGCTATAGGGGATTCCAAGACTAAGCTATTATTATACATGCTCGTAAATATTACGTACTAAAAAATAGAAATATTTTAGATGAACGTTTGTTTTGTTTCCAAAGAGATCTGCAAAGCCCTCTTTCAAGAGTGACATGTGTTATTGGTTCCGTGTTTCTCCTCTTTTATATTTTTTGGCTTCTGTTGCTCAAGTAATAAGCACAACAACCTAGAAAATTCATCTCAAGGGGAGATGTGACTGCAGCTTAATGCAAAGAAGGCAACGTTTATGGCTTTTAATCAAGACTGTTCCACAATCACTGCCCAATGCCCACTACAAAAAAATTGGTAACGAAGTGAAAAGGATATCAGTATTACTAAAATAACATCAAGGGAACACATAGAAAGAAGATACATCGTCATGTAAGCTAAAGTAGGAGAGCCTTGCATAGATTAAGAAACAAAAACAAAATGAAGGCCTGAAATGAGCAGAGCGGAAAGGAAAAAATAATATTTTCCAAGAAAATGTGGCAACGGCAGAAACAGTCGTGGAGGACAAGTTGATTTTGCCATCGTCTATCAAGGACAGCTTTTACCCATTACGTGTAGTGGATAATGAACATCATGTAACTAATGATGAACTTAAAGACATTATTGCAATATTCCGAGACAAATCTCATGAAATATTTTCTACTTGACATAAAGCTAAAAAAATTATAACCTAATAGTTCTTAATAGACCCTAAATGGAATTCTACAATTTTTAAAGTTTTGATATGCGACCAGTTATCAAATATTCATTGCTGGTAAGTACATCTTAATATATAGATTTAGCCAGGGCTAAAAGCGAAGCCTCCGTTTCTACACTTATGGTAAAACAATCAAATTAAAGTAATAACATGAACTCTAAGCCAAAACAAAGAAATGTTCACATCCCTAAGAGCCTTCGGCATCAGACACCTTTAGAGGGAGGAGCTAAATGATTAAGAAAAAATATCCCATCAACAAACCTAAATTGAAAAAAATGTTAAATTGTAGGTCTCTTAAGTAGCAGCAATTTACAGGTTACGATTTCTAGGTCGGCGTTTCTGTGTTTAAGGGAAGACCTAAAAGAAAAATCAGGCCGACTTAAGGACTTTTGTGTTCCAGTAAGCCCATTAAATTTTCTTTTCTCTTCTTTTTTTTTTTAAACGGGCCCGGACGAACAGTTTCGTGTAGCCTTTACATTTATATCGCACAATATCTAAAAGAAAATTTTAGCGAAAGGTGTATAATATTTTCTTAGAGGACAGCCATAGGAAGGCAAACGATAACCTTTTTCGCCACTAATAACAATAATCCAGTCTTTCACTACAAATATAAACGTTAATACAGCAACTTACTTACAATTAAAAAAAAGACAAACTCGGGCTCGAGAAGCCGTCAAGTCTGTCCGTTTTAGAATAGGGGAGAACTCTTTCATTTTTTAGATACGCTCACTTTTTCATTGAGAATATGAAGCCGTAAACAAACAACTGAAAACAAACGCAAACGCAAAATTGTGGCGGTATTCAGCTGTATTCAAGGCACAAGTTATGGAAAAAGAGAAGCACACTGCATGCTGCAAAACTGCAGAAACCCTTGAATTCTACACACTGCAAAATTCTTGAATGACAAGTGATGAATGAGAAAACGAATAGCAATTCAATGCGGAACGTGTACAAAAACAACACTTCATTTTTAATTCAAGAAAGGGCCCGTCTGAATGTTTCTAAAAATCTGACGATCTGTAGTCTCATGGTCGTTTTTTGAGCTTATTTTATGAATGAACAATGACAGATAAATAACTTAATTTCTTGAAAATTTTTATTAAAAAACCCATACGTTAATCATAAAAAGCAATTCGCGTAAGACAAGTTAAATCGTTGCGTTCACGCAAGTTAAATCGGTCGAGCACATGGCAAAAAAAAAAATTTCAAATGCACATTTTGTGGTTTTTCTTTCATGCCGATGTCAAAATGTAGAAAACGTCCATGAAACCTTTATAAATTCAAAAATTCTTTTTGAAAACGAACACTCTTCTTTGATCATAGAGTACGGAATGTACCTCAAGTGTCTTCAGAAACCTCGCTGCCTTGGTTGGTAAAAAACAAGCCAAGCGCTCCGATCCGCCGGTTAGAAAACAAGGTTGAATTCCTCGAAAGACAATTTCAAAGCGAAAAGCTTTCGTTTGTCCACAAAAAGGAAAGTGAGCATTCTTTTGAACTTTCTCTTTCCATTTGTGTCTTTTATCGGCGTATTTTCAATCTTGAAATGCAAAACTTTTGTCTTGGAAACCACCACATCATGATCGCGCGCCAGCCATTTTGTTGATAGATGACATTTACAAAGGTGTCAAATCCGTTTCTTTCCTCACTCGCTAAATGGTTGACATGACCAAAAGTCAAATGGTTTTTCTTCCAGATTTATTTGCATGCTTTTTTTCCTGTCGAAATCAGTCCGGAAAGTCCGTACGGACGTACAGACGTACGTTGACGCCATAACCAAATTTTCTCGGATGGATAGTTTACCTAGCCTGAAATTCATCCGATTGCTTCGAGTCGTTTTCTCTTCTCAACAACGTCGTTACTGAGGGAGTAATAACGACTCGAAGTAGTCGGATGAAAATCAGGCTATAGTTTACCAAATTTTATTACCCATGGTGCTCCGCTAAAAATCAGTAACTTGCCAAGTTTGAAAAAGCAGCAGAAAAAGCAGAAAAAGCGACAGAAGATATAGCAAATTTACAAAATTTTACAGACGTTTGTATAGTGGGGGCAAGGTAATGTCTGTAAAGCGGCTTTGCGGAGCTACCTTTTTTTGTAATTAGTTTTCAACAATTCACTATCAAACTCGACATCGTCGTTGATTTCAAGTCGTTCTTTCTAGCGTTGTCGATGAAGTTTAGCCATAACTTGTCCATGTCAAAAGTTTAAAAGAGTCATGGAATGGTCTACATGTAAAAGCACTTTTACGTACCTTGACTATTGATCTTAAGCTTTAGGGAGTTAGGGTCCACTTTCAAGCTCCCCAGCTGCCCACTGGACACTTTCTTTTTCAAAGGAGCCAGAGCATCCTTAACGGTCACTTTGGTTTTAAATGTCAATTTGAATTCTACCACAAGGAGCTCGTCTGGTCTGAAAAATACATGAAAATGAAAAGAAACTTCTTTCGAGGGTTCCAGGTACTTTAATTAATCTCATCCTTATCTACTGATTCATATGAAATATTTTACAAATGGTTAACAATACTGATTCATAAAAAGACAGTCCAAATCTATATACTAAAGCAGCAAAAGATCAGTCCGTTACCTCATTGAAATTATTGTGACGTTCTTGAACTTAGGAACTCTTGAATAGATTTTCAACATCTGCAATCGAAGAAACAAAATTTCAAAAACTAAAAACTATCTGTTTTCATTTTTTTCTATTTCATGATAACGCTTTCCCGACTCACTTGAGGAAATAAGGCGCTTTTGTGAGTACATTAAGAGACTGGAAATGTTACCTGTATATATGGAATATTTGTGTTGTAAACAAATGCAGCCCCCGCACGAAGCATGGCTAGTATAGGTCGCGTTCCCCCCCCGCTACTTCGCTTTCAAAAAAAATTTTTTCTTGTAAAAACCTAAGCATTACGCCTCCATCCTAACATTTATACATCATCCTTCTAGTAATAGTTGACACTACAGCTGCGCCAGCTCTGTATATTGTCGGTCAATAGTATTCTTGCTCATTGTGTAGCTCTTTGAAAATTAATATTCCGATTCATAATGAAGATTTTCGCACATAGTCTATACAATAGGTGAGATAAATACAGGAAACGCAAGGTTCCTTGCTCATTTTCAGTTCGATCAGTACACAGCTTTGATCAAAACATTCTCAGTTTCGAGAATAGTTTATTCTAAACCATGACAAAAGATTTAATTAGAAGTTTAATTTTTGGCAATTTCTGTTTCACTTTTTTTATTTACCGGAAATTAAGCCTTAGAAATTAAAAGGACGTTTGATCAATTCACGCTCGCGCATTCGAGTCTTATTTTAAACTTTATAGCGGAAGGACATCTGTGAGTAGGGAATAAGTCAGCACAGAATTTGGTTGTCGGCGAATTTCTGTAATCGTAATTTAGCATTAGCATTTCATTTAATTATAATATACATCTTATGGCAAGGAATAAAGATCTTTCTATTTTTTCCCGTACGATCACAGCCGTACGGTTTCTACTGTCACCCTTAACCTAAAAACCATCACGGTTCTATTGACGTCCCTCCTAGCTCCACCATGACCACCACCACATTTCTATTGTCGTTTCTTGATTACAACATCCAAAAATTTATTGAATTGGATTTAGTGTCCATTACTACTGCCACCACCATGCATACAACATTCTTTTGTTTTCCCTCCTTTCTCCTCTACAGCCAATTCCACCACATTTCCTCTGTTTTACCTCCCCCATCACTTTCCTTTTTTTTCTTCCATCACCATTAAGAATATTCTCTTGTATTCCCTTCTCCTTCTTATCAATTTGATTGTTCCTTAAAATTATAAGGCATTCAACTTAGCTTAATACTACAACTTATTCTACTTTAACCCGGGTTTCTTTTTCCAGTGTTCAAAAGCTTTTTCGCAGATAATTTTCTCTGTTATTTTTAGAGCTTCCAATCGTCAACTAGTAGACAAAAACAATTAAACCTGAAATTCTTTTTAAGCTTTTAAATCTGAATTCAAATCTCGCACTAACCCTAGGTTATCTAAACCCAGCTTTGAACAACTCGGTCCTGAAGAACATTTCCTTTGAATTTTCAAAAACTGAATGCACAGTGAAACTGCCGCGTTAGTTTTTACACAGTGCATCACTCAGAAACATACAAGTTAAACTAATTAAGCGAGAAAAAATTCTGCATTAGTTCTCAAAACATACCTCATTTTTCAGAACTCCAGCAAGGCTCTTAAATTGATCACTGGTCTCCACTCGAAATCGGTCGTCCCATTCTTTATATACCCGAAGCACCAATTCAAAATCTGCATTAAATAAATTGTTAATACCATTCATACAAGAAACATCGTTAACCTTACCTTATAATTAGGTAAAAAATGCGCGTGGAAAAAATTGAAAAGACTTGGAAAACTGTCTCCGGCATTTAGTGTTCGTTGCTTTTGGCGAACGCAGACGTGGCGGCGAGTACTTTCAAGCCGTCCGAAAGGTCGTGATATAAAAACTCAAGACATAATTATCTTTGACAAAACGACCATGTTTATAAAACATGCTTTAATGCTGTATTTGATGGTCTGAAGAAGTTACCAGTAGCAATTCCCTCCTGGACAAGTTCAGTTGTAGGTTTCGAAGGCACTGTGGAAACGTCCGGTACCACTGTGAGAAAATGAAACAGAAATCGGTTAAGAAACAAGAAGTAGGAATCAGAGTGAAAAAAATGACGTTTTTCTCTCACTATTATTTGCCACTACTCAGTTACCACTTATATCCATCGCTCACTTAATTAGAAAATTGGCAGGTGACGCTTTTTCGATCTTTAATGAAAATAGTCCATAAAGCAAGGTTGGCCGCCAACCTTGGTTGAAGTTCACTGGCCAACTTGCTTTCATCATCTCTAGGACTATAGTTGCTGGTGTTTTAACGTTGTTCCCGATTTTCCTACATGTATGCACTTGTTTTACTTTAATTTTGCGAAGGCTACAAATGTAGATAAGATCTTAATTGAGTTGGGTGCATTGCTATGTTTTCCAGCTACAAGGCCTAAATTCTGGCCAATTCATTTTATATACCGTGAAAAAGATTAAAAAATAGACGATTAGAGCGCCCGCATTTCGTTGGAGCGAGACAAAAGAAGGTGGTTTGTATGAAGGGTATATATCGAATGAGGAATCAACACTGTTAGTGGAAACATAGCAAGACAAAAAAATCAGTCCGGGTGTAACAAAAAATTAATGTGAGTTTGTTACTGAATACCATGAACACAATGGGAAGAGCTGCAGTCAATATCGCAAGTCCTTCCAACATAGCCAGCGTCACAGATGCAAGAAAAGTTGTTGACGCTATCTATACAGCGGCCTGAAAACAAAGAAAACAATGGCAACTCATGTCACTCGCTTACTAGCCAGGTAAAAACCGAAGGGGCGAAGAAGAATCTTAGAAATCACTGCTAAATACTTTCCGAAGGTTATACGTACATTGCTGAGTGCAACAAAACTTAATGTGAGTTTGTAATTGAGTACCGCGCCGTGGCGGATCCAGTGGAGGACCTTCCGCTCCCCCTTCCCTAATCTGAAGGTTTGGATCCAACACTTCCGTGATCACAAGGACAAGGACTGCAATCATCGTAATCAATGTCGCATGTACTTCCAACATAGCCAGCGTCACAGATACAATGACCTCCAATCAAACAATCTCTCATCCATTCAGTCACTCAGTCGTACTAACACACTCACTCGCTAGGTTAAACCGTCAGGGAGTGGGGAAGCGTTTCAGACACCACTGCTTACTTTCTGAAGGTAATATAAATTAGAGAAACAAAAAGTTGATGCAAATTTGTAGGAAAGTACCATGAACACAAGGAAAGGGGCTGCAGTCATCGTAATCATCGCAGGTCCTTCCAACATAGCCAGGGTTACAAATGCACGTGAAGTTGTTGATGCCATCGATACAGCGTCCTGAAACAAAAGAAACATGACCACCGTCTGTTCACTCTCCAGTGTTTAGATAACGTTTAGTAGTTTAATGCTCAGGCTCGTTCGTGCTTCACCAATTTGTACGCGGAAAGAACATGCCGTAGGGAAGACAATTGCTGTGATTACCCATTATGACGAAAGAAAGAGCGTATTGAATCTGCGATATGATATAACAGATTCAATCAGCTTTCAAAATAACTTATAGGCGTATAGAGGTATAATGCACTATTTCTTTAACTTTTAATACCATGTACGTATATTAAGTATATGTATCAACAACAAACATCAAACGCGAGCTTTGCAATAATAATATGCTTTTTCGTTTTATAGTGAATCCCTTATAAGGGCATCGTTTCTCATCTTTCTTCCTTAATTTATCTTCTGATCTGACTCCAACAGTGTTAAACAATCAGTTGGAAGCTCCACGGAGTTTCTTGCTTACACTGGATAATGCTTTCGAAATATACCCGACAAGAAGCGTGTACAAAAAAAGTTAGTATAACCCAGCATGTCAAGACTATTTATCTAACCCTTCTAATCAACGTTCAGTGAGTTGAAATTTTTTGTACTTTAACAATTTGTTTAAGGGATCATCCAGGGTAAAAACTCATCATTTTTTGAAATTTGCAATTTTTAGATGATTAAGAGCGGCTCCGCGTAATTAGCAATAGACGCGGAAATAGTCAAAAGATGAGCTGGCCTCAACTCAGCCAGAATAAAACCCTATGGGCCCTAGTAACAAAATGTTTAGTTTAAGTACGATCGAATGAGTCATATTTCCTTTACAAATTTTTTTCTTCCCAAGGCCTAAAATGGGCAAAAATCATACGAAGTTAGAGTCATATTCAGTGGCTCGTACATTTTAAAATAAAGTTGGCTAATAAAATATAATGACACTTCGTAGTTTTACAAGCTCTCCTCTACAATTTTAACTGATTAGTTTGCGATTTGGTCAACAAGAGATATTTTAAGAAATTTTCGAAGTTGTTGACTCAAAATCGCTTAATCAACGGTCAAAATTTAGCACTTTTGCACGAGCTAAAAAAGCGGATTGGTACATGGGTTTTCACCACCAAGGCTTGTTTAGCCTGAAAGAGCTTTCTTTTTTCTTCAAATTAGCGAAATAAAATTTTTGGGTAAATGAAATCACGAACGCTGACAATGCGAAGTAAATGAGTGAAAATGTTACGCTGGAAACGGGCAAAAAAATATGACCTATGACCCAAGCACAACCACACACACTATACGAATTACCAGCCAAATGCGAATTACGGTAGGCGCAAACTTTTCTTCAGTGTTGTAAAGAGAGATTTCAACATATTCTGAATTGTTTGCTTTGAGGCCGTGGGTCGCACGTAGAGAGTTGATAATGATGTGCGGACGTTTCAGGAATTAAATTTTCGTTTATTTACTACCTCTAAAAATAACATAATATGTGAAATTCACAATTACCCCGGCCAACGTGCTAAGATTTCCTCTCTATCCCATTAAACGGTCTTAAGAAACAAAATGTGGGCAAATTTTATTGTAAAGGGTATGCACATTACAGTTGACTCTTTAGCACATGTGGCTTTCTTCAATTTATCACGATTATTTTAAGAAAAAATTTTAAGAATCAGTTAGGAAAATTTACGAATAGATTTCCGATAGATTCAAGGACAACAAGAATATCACCCTAACCGTGCGTATAAAATGTTTGTAAATTAAACTTTTTATCCTTTACACTTTCTTTGAATGAACTACTCACCATGCATGCAAGGGGATGATTGGCATTCATTTATGTCAATATTGCAATTCTGTCCACCGTAGCCAGGCTCACAAGAACACCTGTAGGCGCCCGTGAAATCGCTACAATTCCCTAAAGGTAAAAGAAACTAAATCATAAAAATTAATATACTGATTCGAAGTAATTCACAAATGATGGAGGAAGCAGGGAAAAAAACTCATACGAGCCAAAATGCCAGGTTAAAAAATTCCCCAACTAATGTAAAAGAAAGATAGAATTCTTCCAGACTTCCACAGGGATGGTATTACTAATAATAACAGTAATAATATTGATAATAATATAATAATAACAATCTAGTTATAATAATACCGACTCTTATAAGCAACTACGCCTATTTCCCTTTCGTAAACGGTTCTTGCCATTTTTAATGGTCGATGCCACCATTAGTAACCAAGCCTTTAGCGACCGTAGATGAAATATATTTCCTGGGTTAAATTACATTATTATTCATTCAAAATATTTCCCCGATTCTGATTGGCTAAAAGCACACGTTTAATTCACCATAACCAGTCACTGATGACCAAATTTGGAAGAATTTTGACTTTAACGAGGAAATGACGTCAAAAATGCAGCGTTTTCGGAGGTTAAGGCACCGTTAACCGAGAAGACTTGGGGAAGAGGTTGAGTTGTTTTGTAAATGGCGGACATTTCACTCGTTTCAAGAGTAAGAACTGTAAGAACTAGGCGAAAAAATAGCTAAAAACATGGAAAGAACAGCAAGAAGCTAAGACAACTCGAAGGGCGACATCTGCTATTTGGAGAATATTTGCGGGGCTGGACAACCCTAAACTTACACTATCGAAGATGAACTGAACATCGATGGATCGATGGAGGTAAGCATGTTTTAGCTATGTTTTTAAACTAGGAATTATTTTGAATGAATAATAAAACAGTTATTGAATTCGGCTTTCGTATCATATGAAGAATTATGGAGATCTCGGAGGGTGTTATTCGCCTCGGCCTAGGGCCTAGACGGATAACACCCTCCTCGATCTCCATAATTCTTCATAAGATACTCAGCCTCATTCATGAACTGTTAAATAAGGCAAATAATGTGCGTTTGAATTGTTTTAGAAATAACGATATTGATGCCCAAGTTAAATTTACTTTAAAAGTTATGGAAAGAGCTGTTATTGATGTAGCAGTTTGCTAGTTCACGTACTTAAATTTTTCAGAATTTTGGAGGGTCGGTGTGGTAGTATAGTGGTACTGAGATAGTTTTTTTTTTTTTTTTTTTTTTTTAAATTTATTTTTTTTTTATTGCAAGTAATACACACACAGAAAAGAAATAAAAATTACACAGAATAAATAAAGTAATAATAATAAAAAAAAGTAACAAATAAAGTAACAAAAAAAAAAACAAATAGCGAATTTACACACTTACATGGCAATATACTTACAAATATTAAAATACGTTACAGCAATGGTAATTCCATATATTACTGTACTTAATATAATCTATAATTAATTTTTACATTTTTTTTTTCTTTCTTTGTGGTGAAAGTAATATAAATACTCATAGTAGGTGCACTAATTTATGTTTTTGGAGTTAGGAGACAAGACCCAGCGAGGAAAAGAAAGGTTTCCATTTTTTTGTATTGCGCGGTGTCTTATTTTCTAATTGGTATATATGTCTCAGATAAAACAAGAAATTGTTGTGAATTGGGAAACATTCTTTTGATCTGCATATCCAGATAAAGTTCTTAGCTATAAGACAACAGAAGTTTATATGGAGCTTAAAGGAAGAGCTGTCTGGCGTTAGGCCCAAAGCGGTAGTCATGTCTAAGTAACTGCCTGGTTGGAGGATCTGGCACGACTGAAGCCATATCGAGAAATTATCCCAAAAATTTTTGGTTTTTTGGCATTTCCAAAATAGATGCACCAAATCCTCTTTTTCGTCATGGCAAAAAGTACATTTTCCGTCCTCTTTAACTCCTATTTTTTGCAGATAGCTGTTAGTTGGTAAACGTCTGTGTAAAAATCTGAAATTAAAATCAATTAGTTTTGAGCTCGTTGTACAAGTGTTTGCTGCTTGAAAAACGTTTCTCCAGTCAGCATTTTTATCGGTTGAAGAGTGGATGTCTTTATGCCATTTGTCTATACAAGATGTGGGTTTTTCACTTTTATTTGCTATTAGTTGCTTGTAAGCAATTCTAGATGATCTTTGGCCTTTGAGAAATGTGTTAAGAGGACTTTCATACTGCTGATGTGTTCTCGGGATTTGTCGTTGTAAAGATTTCACGGCTGAGACGATCCCGAAAAACATTAATGGTTTTACTCGAATGTTATATCTGTTCTGAAAATGGTCGAGGGAAAAAAAGTTGAGAGAATTCTCGTCCATTAGATGTTTAACTTTTGTTATACCCTTGTTAAGCCAATTATTGCAGAAAACTGGTGCGTTATTTATTCTTATTAATGAATTTTGTAACAGAGGTAGAGATAGAAAATGATCTTTTGATACTATTTTCCTCTCGAAGAAAGTGTCAGACCAAATTTCTACAATTTCTTTGATAAAAGGGTCTTCTATCTTTAGCTTATCAATATCCTTTCTGTTAAGATTTCCTAATTCGAAAAAAAGACTTCCCCCGTATTTTCCCAGCGCCAGATTAAAGAAGTTTTTCCATTTGCCACGGTTTCCTGAATCTAGATACTTTTTAATCCACGTAGCCTTGAGAGATTTGTTAAAAGAGGCAATATCAATCATTTTTAGTCCTCCTTCAGGGTAGTCATTGATCATGATCGAGCGTTTAATTTTATCCTTTTTGCCGTTCCATAAGAAATTGAAAAAAAGCTTGTTGATCTCTTTTATTGCTTGGTGATTCGTTTGCAAAGGTGTGAGTATATAGACCAATTGGGATGCTACAAGGCTTTTTAGTACTGTTATTTTCCCTATTAAGCTAAGTCTTCTAAATTTCCAGCATCCCAGGATAGTTTGGATTTTTGCCAATTTCTCGTTGTAATTGAGAGAGAGTGTTAACTGTACTGAGATAGTGGTTAGGATACGAGAGGTCCGGGTTTGACCCTGGGTTACGATTTTCTTTCTTTTTAGTAGAAACACTCTCAATAACAGATCAAATTTTTTCAAGTGTTGTAAAATTGACAGTGACCGTTTACGAAAGGGACAGCTGCCCCGACGACCTAAATCGCTGCTTACTTTTTGAGGTTATTAAAAGTAGTTTTGTAATTAAGTGTAACAATGCGAATGTGTTAGTACCATGAACACAAGGAGAAGAACCGCAGTCATCGTAATCAATGTCGCATGTCTTTCCCCCATAGCCGGCGTCACAAATGCACGTGAAGTTGTTGATGCCGTCAATACAGCGACCTGAAACAAACAAACTCTTTCAATGTATCCGAGAAAATTTGGTTATGACGTTAGTCTTCGACCAACCGCCGACCACCCGTACATAGGGTAGGGGTAAAAACAATTCTCTCTCTCTCTCTGCACGAGTGCCAAAGAGTTTCGTGAATGACAACCAGCCTTTATAACAAAGGGGTGTGGTGGGGGGTTGTGGGGGCCGGGGGGGGGGGTGGCTAGTGATGCACAGGTATGAGTAAGGATTATTTTCCAAGACTATTGATGTGATCGACTGAATTAAGTGTAAACACGTCCTTCATAGACACCAAACCAACAAAGTTTGTTGGGGCTAGCGTTCTTCTAAATTGACCTGATTTTAAAATAAAGTATTACCACCTATACCTGCCTAACTAAATTAGCTACCTACCTACCAACTGTAAAGTTAACGAAGGATTATCAGAAAGCGCAAGATAGCGCTAACCAGTGACCAACGAGATCCAGAGAGAGTTTGATCAAGTAAACTTCATGTCTCCCACTATTAATGAAAATCGGCTGAACAAGACCCACCTGGACGGGATTTTATTTCGTCATCTGTTTGTAAGGCTGTTTAATGTGGATCATCTGAATGAGCTACAAAATGAAATAAACGCCATTACCTCGTATGCAGGGGTAGGAGCGACAATCGTCGATGTTTGTCTCACACTTGTCTCCAGTGAAGCCAGGAACACAATCACATGCATAAAGGCCAGACCCCCTGGGCTTATTTGGATGTGGAACGCAACTTCCATTTCTACACGGGCATTCAACCAAGGACACTGTGATATTAGAGGAGGAAGTAGCTTGACAGATATCCGTTGCTCGAAGAAAGAAGTGCGTTTTTGCATTGTTGGTTACGTTCCAGATTAGAACGTTGTCCCGCATCTCTGCTTCTATTGGGCTTCCATTGGCTAATGATACATTGACAGGCATCCCTTCTGGGTCAAACACCTCAATAACTAGTTCCAGAAGTTCTTCAAACAGCGCAAAATGCTGGGTGGATATCGCAAATCGAGGTGGAAGATTCACTAAGAAGCAACAAATATATAGCATCCATTTTTCTGGGTAGAAGACATCTTAAAATTCGCTTTGAGAAAGGGTAATGATTGTTGTTAAACGCTGTCGTATAAATTAACTAATCGTTGTCTGTTTCCATCCAATTACTTTTGTCTACCAGACATGCCCAATGGGAAAACGCAAAAATAGATCAATGGTTCCCATGTAAGGTGCTCTCCCTACCCTCTCCCACACCCCTTCATAGAAAGAAACGAAGTTAAGTCGCTGCCAGGTATATTCTCGTTCCTATTGGATCTTGACATCTCACAAAAATACCGTGAGGTGAAGTATTTCAGACGAAACCTACAAAAGTCTTCTTTATTGGATAAAACATTGACTTTTGATCTTATTTTCATTTTTCAAGCCCTCGTTTTGCCACAACACAAATCATCCCAAGTATGTTTTTTGTATGTATGTTTTTTGTATTTTAATGAATTTTTTTTGTTTTGTTTTGTTTTACATTTTTTTTACATTCTGACTTATGAACACGGAACACGTAAAGAAAAAATACAAAAAACGGAAAGGAAAACTAAACATCATACATCGCAGACTAACACACAATTACATACTTACAAAAAAGAAAACAAACGAAACAAAAACCCAGTACCTTCTTTTTCTATTTACATGAAAAAAAGTAAAATAAGATAAATAAAAATAAAGATTAATAAGAAATGAAGTTAGCGGAGAAGAGATCGTATGCTAATCAGTTTTATATTTGCCCCATTTCATATTGTGGGTCTCCAACTTATTGTCTGACTTAGCGATCATTGTCTCTATTAAGAAGACAGTATTAATTTTGGAATGAAGAACTCTGATGGAGGGAGGATATTTGTTCCGTCTACAAGAGTATAGATATTGTTTTGCCAGTAATAAAATATGATTCACAAATATCTCATCCTCACACCCAATAATACCAAACAGTATATCTTTGTCTGAAAATTTTTCAATCTTGACCTTATGATCAACAAGCCATTTTATAACCTCAGACCAGAAATTCTTAGTATAATGACAAGACAGGAAAAGATGTTCGAGGGATTCGTCCGATTCACCACACAAGGAGCACGCTGGAGATGGTATAATACCAATTTTGCATAAGAAGGTATTTGTCACAAGGCATCTGTTTAATAATTTATACTGAAATTCGCGAGTCTTTGTCACTCTAACGTAACACGATATGGCAAGCTATAGATCTTTTTCCAGTTCAAAGTATCATTAACAAAATTAGCATCAAACTTTAGTTTAGCAGTTGGTGGAGTGACGATTCTGTTTCGAAGTTCTTTATAAACAATTTTCGAATACGCTTTTTCAAGTAAATTAATTTGACCACTTAAGCGTAACTTAATCTCATCACGCAAATTGAATGGTGTGTCACCTGTATAGATGCAGGATTTCAACGATTCACGCCATTGAGTTGGTAGAGCTTCTATTAAAGAGACAAGCCTAAAGGCATCCAGCGGCGAAAGGTTCAAGACTCTCAACTCGCTTTTGATTATAAGTTCATGTTTATTCGAGATTAAATCACCCACTCGAAAGATCCCTTCCTCAGCCAGATTTGGAAAATACACAGACTTGTCACCAACACAAATAAATTTGTTGTTCCATAAGATAACTTTTGACAAGTCTTCCATGTATATTCATCAATCCTGTATATTTAAATTATTTACCGCAGAGCACTTTGCAAAAGATTTTAAGCATTCTTCATAAAAGGCTGGTAATTTGATAGTCAATTTCTTCAAATCAAAGTCGCAACATAAGACTAATTTACCACCAACAGGTTTCAGTTAACGCAAAAGGATTATTTTCCATCCACTCGGTTGATCATTTGCCAATTTCTTGCTGCAAAGTATTCTTTGTGTTTCAATTATGGAGTTTAAATGTGGGGCTTTAAGTCCTCCATCTTCGATATCACTGATAAGTGCAGAGCGTTTAACTTTATCCTTTCCTTTCCATATAAAATCAAAGATAATTTTGTTCGCTTCTTTCACAAATTCTTTATCCAATGATATCAAGCTCGTGCGATATAAGAAGATAGGGATAATAAAGGTTTTGACAATTTGAATTCTCCCTATGATAGTCAAATCCCTCCACCTCCAGATTCGTATAGCTTAAGTGGCTGTCCACCTAAGAGCGGTCCGGCGAGTTTGGGATCGCCAGTAAACCTTCCCTTTGTTTTTTGTTGGTGAAAAGTACTTAATGAGGAATGATTAAAATCGAACTAATTTTTTTCAAAATCGTTTTCTGGGCTTCGCTACAGCACAAAACTTCTTTCCTGTCTGAGAGCGCTTTTTCAACCTTATTCGATAGCCGAAATTCGGTGATTTTAAAAGCCGCGCTTCTTCGTAACTGATAAATATCGCTAAATTCTACTTAGTACAATGGATTTAGCTGCAGTTGGCTTGTCCTATGACGGAATATGGAATAATTTGACGCAAAATTAAATTAAATTAATAAAAGCAAACACATCCCCCTTTGCGTTTTTTTTCCCTCTTGACAAAATTCTTCCAAAGTAAAAGCTAAAATCTCCAAAGCGATACAAAACTCACAGGTAAAATGCACTTCACAGCAAAGATCTTACCTAATTCTGTTAGAAAATAAAGTCAAAGGTGCGGGTATCGTTCTGGGTTGGACGTGATCAAACGTTTTTAAGAGCCTCTGTTCGGCATTATTTGCATAGATTTGCCCGCTTAACGGTTCACACACAAGGACTTTAATTTGGTAGATATTATCTCAGTAGCTGAGAATGTTGTTGTGTATCCTCAAAATAACGAAAATGTGTTTTCTTTTCATTAGCCTTTTTAAGTTTGTATCAGTGAAAGCCGAAAAAAATACCATAAACTGACATTCTTGATCAACCCGTCGGATATGCAAATCGTGCTTGTGTACAGACAGGTTGTCCATTTCAGCTATGTTAAAATCTCAAACTACGTACGGTTATTAACTTCTTCTTCAGCTTGGAAACTCAGCAACTGGACACCCTTTTTAAAATAGAAATTTATCTCATATTCCATTTGAGTTTCTTTTTCCGTTTCGAGCATTTGACATCATGATTTGAATTTGAATTCGCACATCCTTGTTTATCCCTCATTTATCATGAACATGTCGGATTCTCTCACCTCGGGTGACTTTTCTCGTGTACCTCTTGAGAAATTATTATGAATCACTTTAAGTTTGGTGAAGGGTATGTCTGTTGTAATATTTTTCCGAGTGCAGGTAATATTGAACGGTTGTCCCACACGCCTTCAGTCATATGTTAATTTGCATTTTTGTCACGCAATATACCTCGTGTATCGATCCCTTTCTTTCCATAAACAAATAAAGGGTGAACCATAACCGTTAATTTTGGCAGTTGCCTGATGATTGCCTCGCAAACTGTGACTGAACTGAAACTCTGGGTAGCAACAAAATGTTCAAGATTTAATCCGCACTTCGTTGTATGTATAATATATATTATCCTTCCAGCCCTGTAAAATTCTTTTTTAATCTCGGTGTACTCATCCTCTCCCCACCCATATTAATAGGGTAACAATCAAAGATATAGGTAAAACAGAACAGTAAATAGTAGGCGTGGCGCGTGGCGCGTGGCGCGTGGCTCGTCGCGCTGTTTATAATTTGTAAACCTGTAATGTCTACCCTGGACAATAGAAATGAACTAATCTCAGGTTGCAGGCACTCAAAGAAATTTCTACTAAACACTGTCCTAACTTGGTTAGTTCTTGTCGCAAATTTGACATGTTGTAAGCATCACTTAAGTACGACGCACCACGCACCTACGCCACGCCTGGCATTTATTGTTTTGTTTTACCTGATGATTCGCCTCGCAAGAGGCATGACTCTCTGAGTAGCAATAAATGTTCAAGATATAATCCAGTCCCATCAGTCTACTTCTATTATATACATACATATATACAGCTTTATCAAGAAGCTAAAATCAATGCAGCCCCCTAATAAATTTTTAGTCTTCCTCAAGCTACAGAAAATTCTGGGCAATTTTGCTTCTCCGAACAGATATTTCACAGAAAACAGTCATTGGGTGCCGCTGATATGCATTGGTGACTTTTTTACGTTATTTATGTTTTATTGCCAAAAAGTGAAGTGTCACATAATGATCTTAATTCATATCCATAAGAAAAAATTCTATTAAAGAAAAAAAAACTGTCCTGCGAACAACTTTTATCCTTTTGGAGCCCAGTTGTTCAATAGGTGGCCGTGGATAGCGCTATCCACCGTGTAAATCACTATCCACTGGATGGAGCAAATGGTTTCCCTAATACTTATCAATTGGATAGAGATTCATCCGATGGATAGCCCTACCCAACTTTTGAGCAACTGGGGCCTGCTTTTTTACTTGTATTGTAAATAAAGTACTGAACGAAAAAGCAGGTCACATACTTTTAAAGGTTGATGTCAAGTTCTAAGTTATTTGAGATTTATCGTCTTATACAAGCATACAACATACCTTGAAATTTAAGAGAAAACACTTCCACGAACTCGGCCTACAAACAATAGGAATTTTCTAGGCAACTTCGGCCCACCCCAATGTAATGGGGCAATTTGCCAGTCCTTGGCCATTTACGGGATGGTACGGTAGTAACTGTATTCTTTAACCATGTCTGTGATTGTGTTTATTAGAGCAGCCTTTGTATCTCCAGATTTGAACGACAGTTCAAAATATTCGCAGATGTTTTCACATTGAATTTTGAGAGTACTTCTTGGTTGGTCTGCTCGCTGCAGATATCATGGCCATCGTGCCTGATGGGATGTATCACGTCCATCTTGTTGAAAATATGTTAGACCTCCTTGTCTCTACGTTCATCAATAAGAAACGCAATTTCTTCTTGAAAGAGCACTGAGAGCAGATCTCCTTCGTCACAAATTTCAACATTCCCGGCTCTGGTCAGCCCTTTTTTTCCTGCTGATTGCAGACAGTCTGGAAAAGAATGATTGAACTTGTCCCTTTGTAAGCCATTCGTCTCTGGAACGTTCTTGAACTACCTGTGTTTCTGGACGTTCTCATGTCCGTTGCGACCTCAGAAAGATCTGGTTTCCTGCCTGTTTGTGTATCAACATCAAATCGTGCGGTGAGGTAAGACTTGACTTTCTCGCTAAACCTTGTCCCGCCTCCCCTTAACTTCTGCAGCCGCCCATCCACTAGCCTCGAATTTGTAGACACCACTAGGAGATTTGTTCGAAGTTTCTCGGTTGGCGGCAATTTTTACAGTCTGACCCCGACACTCTGCCACGTTTCAGCACAAGTGTGTTTTCCCTTATGGTCCGGATATCGGCATTCTGTGCGGCCAGTTGGATTACCCCAGTCCTTCTCTGGGTTCGCACGATGTATCGGACATACAAACATTTTTTCACCTTGTTGGGCAGTTTTACAAAAATACCCAGCCCGCTGCAAAGTAAGTTCGCTCTCTGTAATATTTTCTTTCGTTAAGCGACATCGCCTCGAATCGAGCTGTAATAACGCTCACCTGTTACATTGACTAAGAGGCACCAACTTGCTTTCTCCTTTAAACTCTCCAAATCCGCTTTCATTGCGTGACAACAATCCTAATTAGCATATGACCATGAAGAAAACCCAATTGAGTTGAATTCAGTCTTTATTAAAGAACCTCTTAGTTGCTGAGACTCCAAACTCAAAACGGGCTTCGTTTGACCAGACGTGAATTGTATTCTTTACGACTTGGAATATTGCTGAAATCGACAACCCCGCGGTAAATGAGCTTTTAAATTTGCATAATATACGAGTAGATGAAGAATTCCTACATGATCCTACATGTATTTTATGACATTTTATGCCGGTTTACAGGCCTAAGATGGCTTACAAAACAACAAATGTACGTTATTTTGACGACGCATACCAAGATTCTGCCCCGTGGGAAAAAGATTAGCCTTATCATATGAGTTTAAGTGTAGGCGCCAAACGTGCAATTTTAGGTAAATATTGACAAAAGGAGCTCTCAAAAACGCTTGTTCGCGTTCGACACAGAATGATACCCGCACCTTTGACTTTATTTTCTAACAGAATAAGGTAAGATCTTTGCTGTGAAGTGCATTTTGCCTGTGATTTTTGTACCGCTTTGGAGATTTTAGCTTTTACTTTGGAGGAATTTGTCAAGGGACAAAAAAAAACATACAGTGGCTCGTCTTTGATCTTATTAATTTAATTCAATTTTGCGTCAAATTATCCAAGATTCCGTCATAGGACAAGTCAAAAGCAGCTAAATCCATTGTACTATGTAGAATTTCGCGATATTTATCCGTCACGAAGAAGCGCGGCTTTTAAAATTGCTGAATTTTGGCCATTGAATAAAGTTGAAAAAGCGCTCTCAGACAGGAAGGAGGTTTTGTGCTGTAGCGAAGCCCAGAAAAAGACTTTGAAAAAAATTAGCTCGATTTTAATCATTCCTCATTAAGTCCTTTTCACCCACAAAAAATAAAGGGAAGGTTTACTGGCGATCCCAAACTCGCCGGACCGCTCTTAGGTGGACAGCCACTTAAGTTGGATGGAGCTGATTAATTCATTGATGTTTAGCTTTTGTTTTGCTTGAATGTCATAGGTAAAATGTACTCCTAAGATTTTCGCTGATCGTTTAATTTTTATGTTTTTCAGAGCGGCTTCTTGTACGGTACAGGCCAGGTTACCTAGTAGCAAAAGCTCTGTCTTTTCGTGGTTAACCTTTAGGCCAGAGGAAGTTCCAAAATCTTCTATAAGTTTAAGAAAGTTTGTTAGAGAGAGGTCATCCTTTAAAAACACAGTCAGGTCATCTGCGAAAAGACTTAATTTGATCTCTTCTTTATCGACTTTAATACCACGAATGTCATTACTGTTACGTATGTTAACACATAAAACTTCTAATGCTGTAATAAATAAGTGAGCAGAGAGAGGGTCTCCCTGTCTTACTCCTCTTTCAACTGCAAAGGATGAAGTTGTAAAGCCATTATTTAAGACACAACTCGAGACATTCTTGTAAAAAGTGTGGATCCATTGAATAAAAGATGGTCCAAAACCAAAAGAATTGCGATTAAACAAATCAAAATTTTTCGACTGAAATAGAAAGAAAACCCTAACAAATTCTGCCACGGTGCACAAGTAGATATTGCGCGAGCAAAACATTCAATCAACACACTTATATTATCAAAATGAACACTGTAATAATAACATAAATAGAAGATGATATGTTTAAATCGCGGTCATTAAAAATTTCGATGTAATTCTTAAAAAACACTACCAATACACGGGATCTCCAGTGAAGGGAATGAAAACAAAAGACCAGGTAAAGTGTTTCAGAATTTGTAATAAAGATTGAGAATGTGAAATTCAATTTACTAATTACCTTGGCGTTTTGTCCACCTGCTTTTGCTGATGTCCGGAAGGCACTGGTAGCACAAGTCGTTGGGATTCGTCTCGTTTGGCGCGAAGCAGTAACGATTTATAAGGCAAGAATTTCCCTGTAAAATCAAAACAACCGTCAAAAAGGAACGCGATCATTTACTTCGACCGTTCTCAAAATCAGCTCCTGTTACGAACGATGGAGCGACACTAGGGTTCAAATTTGCATCAACGTAGCCCGTTATTGTATGCTGAACTTTTTTGATCATGAAAAATCAAAGGCATGCTTGCTTTGGCTACTCTAGATATCTGAGAGCCAGTGAATTTACGATAAGTTGTCCTTTTACTCTTACCAACGTTGCATTTTACAACGGAAGACATTTGAAAGTAGAGTACCCCTAGGAGTCTCCAATTTTTCCGAGTACTCATCAACTGCCGTAAGGGCTGTTTCATCTTCGGCGTGTTTCCATCTTTCTTCGCCCATTAAACTCCTTCATAAATTACCTTTATCTTGGGCTCCGTACGGCTGCGCGCCGGTCGAATCTTCCTTTTCCTTATGGCACCCTTTTTTTTAAAGATTCAGCCATTTCTATTCTCACAAACCACCCAAAAATCGGCAGGGAACACGGGGAAGTTTCACAGGCATGGTTTTGAAATTGGAGCTGCAACTGCGGCTGCATGGGTTCACTCAGCCTGCTTGCTAAACGTGCGAGCACCTAGAGACACCATCTTTTCAGTAGTTGTAATCCTTTGTCCTAGTAGGCATTATTGTTTGGCTTGCGTTTGATTTTTCCCGTTTTCTCGAGACGCTAGTTTCTCGTGGCCATGACCCTACAGACATTCTGGGGCACTGCACAGGGATCCTTAGGCTTTGCGTGGGGGTCTCTTAGTTGGTAAACTACTGCACGAATGGAAACTACAACCCCACAAATATTCAGTTTACGTCTGAAAATGGCGCGCAAGAACAATTACCTTTAGCACACATCCCGTCGAAACATTACAACTCAGGCAAGCCGAATCATAGGAAATAAAAGTGACATTCTTAGCGCTCTTGTGTTCACCATCATTAGACAGGGATATCATAAGTCCAGCGGCAGGTGTCCCTCCAATTTTCTCATGGTAATGGCCAGGCGTCACTGGTAATTCAGGTAAACGACACTCTGTAAGAGCCAAGTCTGTCATTGTACCAGGTAATCGGATTTCTGTGTTATTCGGTGTCCAAGAACTGTTAACAACCTATATATATATATATAACAGAAACAGAAAGATTGCGTTTTAGTCGACCTGCTATCCCAAGAAGTTCTGTTAAGTAATGTTTATAGCGAAGATTTTTATATACTGTCCTAAAGAAATGTACTTCTGTCGTGCTGGGAAAATGGTAAGAAAAAGGATATGACAATTCTTGATGTAATTATGTACCTTGAATTTTGTGATATGACAAGTCATATTTGTTGAATTGACAAAACCAGTTCCCATCACCGTCACCTTGCGACAAGGGCGTTGACGCCTGTCACACAAACCATTTCCTTGCAACCTGTGGACAAAGTCAACGGCAATACTAGTGTTATAAAAATGATTAATTATATCAGCATAGAACCTACATTGTACCATAATAAAATAATAAAGTAATTGTCTACTTATTGCCCCCTACACCTCACCCTGAAAGTGACCCGAACTTGACCCGAACTTGCCTTTTTCTGGAAAAAATCGTGCAAGAAATAAAGGATGTAGCCTTCACTTGACTTGTCTGTTTTCGCGTGAATATTTTATTGAAGCTTTTGTCTTTTCGGCCGGGTGATTTGAGACATGTGATTTTAAAACCACAATGTGTCGAGTCAACCCCGACGCAGACATCCTTTTCGACGTGAGACCAAAAGAAACGTCTACGTAAGAGATTAGTTTTAAATAAATCAATTTTTAATTATGTGACGAAAGTCGATATATTAGAAACTAGCTGAAACTCGATAACTCTTGATCACGTTCATGCTTTCTGTTATTAATAGATTATCGTCCCATGTAAGGATTCTGAAATTTGTTTGTAGAATCTGGAATCCGGAATTTTAGCCTTAGGAATCCGGATTTCCACTAACTGTTGAAATCTGGTACCCAAGTTCCACACACTAGGCATCTGGTATCTTGAGTACCTGGAATCTGGACGACACAGGGTGAAATCCAGATTAGAATTATGGGGCGAAGAATATAAATTTTTGTGCTATTGCTAACTTACATGGAGATTTGTGGTATCTGATAAATCGGTATCGCACAATCGTTCGCGGTATACCCTTCGTTGCAGATGCATGACCCATTTACACATCTACCATTGAAAGTACAGTCATTCGGGCACAGCTTTTTAATGATGTTTGTCAGATAGGAAGGAACTTCTGGTTTCTCTTCATTACTTGCGTTTAAATAGTAAGACAGGTTTCTGCCAGCTATTTCGCCGCATTCATTCATGAGTAAGGATGCAACAGAAATTGCAAACGCGGTCTCACCTGTCAACTAGAATGTGAGAGAAATTATAGTCAAGTCAAGTAATTCCGGCGTGTAGAGAGCTTTACTTGTTTTGTCTCATGGCTTACGGACTAATTTCTGCCTTTTTTCCTTCTCCTGTTAGATTCTTAATGGCTTACGCCGCTTGTGACTTTTTTTTAAACATTGATTTTTCTCTTTAAATTTTCTGTTGACCGTAACGGACAGAACTTAATTGTTAAGCGTAGAAAGCAAAAATATCAACAGTTTGTTTTACATACGTTACTGATCTTATTCCCCGCATCCACATGTCTTCAATAAATTGATAGACTCATCACATTTTTACTTTTAATCCCTGAGTCTTCGACAAGAGGATGGAAGGTAATTAATTGACCAAGGAGGTGCAACCTCAGGTTCGATTTCGCCATCAATGTTTTTCAGTTGTCCGGTACAAAAGGTGAAGATATTTTTGTCCCATTAATAGGACGTTAATTTTAATTTTCTTTTTGATAAGGAAACAAGAATTACCTCAAGATCTACCGCGCAAGAGTCAACCAGCTCTTGTAAATTAGCCCCCAGGTTTGCGCAGAGTTTTCCAATTTCTGTATCGGAAAGCCTTTTCGTACAGTATTGAGTTGCGTTTTCTTTTGAAAATTTAGCCTTTGGAGGCGACGCTCGTTTATGTCTGTTAGAACGTTTTGACCCAGCATGAAGTTTGAACAGCTCAAAGTCTTCATCGGTTAAATCATCTGTATACTTAATACTCCTTTTTCTTCTGCCATCTACATTGTTTTCTCCTGTAAGTATAACCGGTGTTCCTCCCTGGTCCATTATGTTAGGGAAATGTACAGGAAGCTCTCGTTGGCATTCTGTCCTTCCTGCTTCTCCTTTTCTATAACAGGCACAAGGTACTTTGCAATCCACAGCGGTATCGAGTACCGGAGGTGGTAATGTATCAAAATAACTTTGGCCAGTTTTTATCCTGTCAAAACAAAGAAAAATCCGTCTTGATACCTTTCACTTATTTAACTATTATTATTGTTATCTATTATGTTCACCCGACGTTCTTTTCTCCACTTCAGCACTCACTAAACAATTGCTTCTTTCTGTGTTGCTTTCTACGAAATGACCGATCCACTATCTACATAGAATGTTTCAACAAGCGCTAGTATACTGGCTCATGCGAATAAATAGACCCCTTTAGCTGTATGATTTGTTTTCCCAATAGAGGCCTCAGGGAAATTTGCCCCTTTGTCTTTTCATAAATTAAGGAACTGTTCTCCAGGGTATTTTCACATGACCTATACATTGGGAAAACAAAACATACAAGCTAAAGAGATCTATTGTTTGAAGTAACAAGCGTTCGTTGATTCCTCAGAAATCTCTGATATCGCTGAATGAGAAATGTATCAGTTTTGGGCCTCTTTCATTGCTAGCTACGACAATCAAAGCAAAAACTACGGGAAACTCGTAAATACTTTCTTTAGAAAATAGAAATATTTATATAAACTCAAAACATTCTTCCCGTGTTCACAAGCCCATTTTCTAAAAATTAACCACTCCAGAATTCAACCTTAATAATCGTCGATTCTAGTTTGTAAAGTAAGATATACAACCGCGCGAAAGCTGAACCGTTGTTTTCTGCCTTGTTCCTCTAACCCTTCTCCTATAACTGACCTCAGTTTAGATTGCGCGCGACTGGGCGTATGTAACGTAGTAATGGACGTATGTAAAACACACCAAGAAGAAGAACGGAAGTATCCGACTCAGGGGCACACGACGACTGTTTTCTGTAAGATATCTGTTCGGAGAAGCAAATATTGCCTAGAATTTTCTATTGCTTGAATACGGCTAACAATTTCAAGGTGAGCGTTCCATTCAGGTCAAATTTTCGAAGCTCTTAAAAATTCCCCAAGATTTTCTGGTTTAATTTTTCATATTTTAATGCTTATGTCAGGCAAATTTTCTTTAAAAAAAAACGTAAAATTTTCGGATTCGAAAATTTGATGGAGAGAGGAATAAGAAAAATCCCACTTTCGTAAAACGTGTAATTCGACCTAAGATTTTCGGGAAAATACGACTGAAGCCCTTTTATATTTCGAAAAGCCTCAGGTTCCCCTAGCATGACAGAACAGACGGAAATTTTATAGCGGCGCTTAGAATGCAGTTGTAGAGATCTAGAAGTACTGTGGATAGTCTAAAAAGACGTTTCAATGAATTTAGGGGGAAACCATCGTTGGGTGCCCCGGTATCCGACTTTTGTGCAACATTTTCTATAACCAAAACAACTAATGGAAATTACGGCAAGAATGATAAAGGTTGTTTATTTCAATGCCTTAGTAAATTTCCAAAATTACTGGCTATGACAACGAGTGCTATTCCGGTTTTAAGCGAAATTTTCCAGTTACACGCTGTATTTGAGCCGAAGGACATGGTTCCGTCCTGGTGTCCTAACCACTCTGTTTTACGACGCCTGAAAAATCAAAGCATTTTATAGGTTCATTTGCGACAGGCTTCCAATACGTAAATATGCTTTCCGCATGTGCTACCCTAAAAGCTACAGAATTGTCACTTCTTTAAAAGAATAAACAGGCAGGAAAGATCGGTGCCGTTGCGTCTGGAACGTAACAATCCGAAATGACCTTTTTTTTTAGCAATTCGAAATCAGTGGAATGTTCATAAACTGATAATGAACTTCTCGGCATTTGGTTTGGACTAACTATCCCAAGCAGTAGCTGAAAGAGCCGGAGAACTGAATGAAATTATATTTCTCTAGCCTAACACCCTTTAGTTTTTGTAAGATCTCACCTAAACTGGTTACCATTCCTTGGGTTACTACTCACACAGAGCCCACTTTCATTTGCAAAGTGTCTAGCCCGAGTGGTTTGTAGCAAAACGTCAATTCCAAGGGCATGTCGCGTTATCTTTGCTTTCACCCCTGATGGGAAAGTCACCTGAAAATAAATCCATCACAGATTTAGCGTTTAACATTTAACTTTAACATTTTAAATTTTAACATTAAAGGCAGCTAACGGTAATTCATCAAAGCATCCTAGCTGGGACAACAGCTGTTTAGGAGAGAAATTACAACGATGGAAGTTCCAACACGAAGTGATGTAAAGCTACAAATTACTGTCAAAATATCCGGTATGGACGGACCGTTGGAAAAGCTGTGCATTGAACCAGCCCAAGAGGGGATACACTTTGATCATCCTCTTGTCATCCAACACCAGTTACTTCTTGTCAAGCTCAAGTCCCTTGGTGTAGACGTGGAAAGCTGTCCCCTTCTTAAAGATTACCTATCAGATAGATCTCAGAGGGTTAAGGTTGGGGACGCATTCTAGCTGGGAAAGTGTTAAACAAGGAATTCCTCAGGGTAGCGTTTTGGGACCCATACTGTTCAATATTTTATAAACGATCTGTTTTTCCATGTTGCGCAAACTAAATTAAACGCTTCCGCCGATGATCACCAGATCTACCACTCTAATGTAGACCCACTTGTTCAAGATAGGTACATTTGTAATGAAGTGGAACAGGCAAACCAATGGTACAGCCAAAACGGTATGATCGCAAAGAAACAGCAAGCTTTAATTATTGGTCAAACTGACCACAAATTCTCTTTTCCAGTGAAATGCGAGTTAGATCATTTTTGGAATGAGTATAGATAATAGACTTAATATTGACAGACACATATCTGCTGTTTGTAAAATTAATAGTCAATTTAATGTTACGTTACGGTTCAACGATATCATCTCTAAAGACACAATGGGGCCATTTATACGAGGAAAAATAAGACGCGTCTTACATAGGACGCGTCTTAAATAAGACGCGAACTTTCTACATAAACGGCACATTTCGTCTAAAATTAGACGCGACTTAGCTAAGACGCGTCTTATTTTAGAACAGCCCTTAACACCTGTTCTTAGATAGACGCGTCTTAGGTAAGACGAGAAAAACTTCGTATAAATGACCTTCGCGTCTTACATAAGACGCGAACGCATGGTACGCATGCGTTAATTTTTGGCGGGAAAATTTTTGCGCCTTGTTGGTTGCCGTTGCTAAGGGGAACACTCACACGAAAACGAGTCTCGAACAGAAACAAGACGCGAACCATTTATACGAGCTGTTCTTGTCTTAGATAAGACATGCTCGTATAAATGGTACAGTTCGCGTATTATTTAAGACGCGTCTTATGTGAGATGCGTCTTATTTTTCCTCGTAAAAATGGCCCTAATGCTTAAGATGTACGATGCATATCATTCTGCCACACTTTTATTATTGTTCTACGGTGTGGCATTTTTGTGGAACACGCAACAGTGAAAAGCTAGAGGCAGTATAATAAGCGCACTCTTAGCAAGTTATTTTAAATGATTATACTTCTCGCTACGCCACTTTGATTAACAAGGCTTCAATGACTTCTTTGTATAACAAGTGCATTCAAAATTTCTTAATACGAGTCTACAAGGGTCTATTTTTTAATGACTGTCCAACTTATACGAGGAATATGTTTACTGTTCGCCATGCAACCTATAATTTGCGCGGTACCCATATGTTGACTCTAAGCAAGCCTAGAACAACAACCTATGGACTACACTCTTTTTCTTATTTTTCCACCCAGTAATGGAACGATATTCCCAACAAATTAAGGAACTGTACTTATAATGATTTTAAGCGACGTGTGCAAAGTCTCAATACGTTTGATTAGTTTTCACTCATTTTTGTCTTATTTTGCGTGTGATCTTAATTTCTTTCTCGAAGATATTAGCTATATGGGGTAGCTACACTAAAATTCGAGTTAAAATAAAGGTTACTTTATGTATGTATGTATGTACTTACACTTTTAAAAACGTCCAACAAGAAATTTCTAGTTATTGCAGTACTGCAGTTATATTTTTTGTAAGTTTTTCAAATTTAATTTTCTATTCCATGTATATTAATTTACGTGAATTTGTGAGGCTTGATTATTCCCCATCCGTCATATGATCCCTCCGTAAGGGAACAAACTTACTATATAAAAATAATATTCGTCACACAACTTCAGAATAAAAATTCTATTTGTCTCCGTTTTTCCATTACTATATGACCAATCTCGGAAATTTATTTTGAAAAATAGCAAAATATAAACATAACGACACCTTGATAAACACAAAATTTAAACTTACCAGATATTGGCTGTTAGATCCAGGGATGGTTTGTGTTATCAAAATCCCAGGAGCCAGGCGTTTCTTGCTTCTTAATTTAGCAATCAATGGAGTTACATCGGAGTAAACGAGGTCTTGATTGCAGCAGGTAAACTCTATGACATCATTATGATCTCTGAGAACCACTCCACAGTTGCAAGTTGCCGAGCCTCCACATGACCACAGTCGAGTGTGTACCTAGCAGTTATAAGCCGTCATGGTTTTAATATCTCATTGTTCACAAGCACAGAGTTTTTGTTAACATATTTGTTACTTTTTCTCAAACCACACAAAATAATATCCCACAATTTGACTGGCTGACGCACTCTATAGCAATACTATCAGCTCAAAGAAAGCGAGTAAAGAAAAGTCGATTGAGTGGATTTTCCTGGGTGTAAATATGTTTCTATCAAGTAAAGAGAAGAGAGAAAACATTAACTAGATTTATGAAAATTTTAAAGGCAGTTTTAAATGGAATCATAGACAGTAATGTAAATAAAAGGTGGCTTGGGATATCTAGTGAGCCTTAATCGCACCCTATTTATAATTTATATCTTAGTCAAACGCTCATTTTTTTTCCTGCGTCGTGAATCTTGATATGATCAATTACATAAGTTCTGTAAAATTTGAATTTGCCTTGTATATAAGACAAGTAAGAAAGAACCACACTAACTGCATAGCGAATGAGTACTAAGGTGGTGTTTACATGAGAAAACTCGCACCGGCGCGAGTCTCATACCGGGATGACTTTTTTATTTCGTATCGCCTTTACATGATGACTGGGTGATTTCAGATCTCGTGATTTGAAGGCATACTTCATGCTGATAAAATAAACTTGTAATTGAAATTCGCAAACATTACGCATGCGCTACCCGTTCCAGTCTACCGGCAGACCGATTTCACACCGAAACGGGAGGTCGTTTCGCGTTTACATGATACCGTTGCGAGATTTCGTACAGGAGTGAAATCTCGCCCCGGTACAAGAACCGGGGTGAACTCACGCCGGGGTGACTCAAGCCGGCATGACATTTTGTGGTGGTTTCATGTAAACAAATACAGAGCCATGAGAGGGAACCAGCGTGAACTCGCTCCGGGACGAAAGTCGCCCCGGTGTCATGTAAACAGCCCCTAATTCACTTCCAGAGACTGCAGCGAAGGTTACTTAAAGTACCAGTCGACTGATGCACATGCGTATTAGATACCATTTGTTAGCTGATCCACCTATCACAAGATACGCGATTCATACTATTTTCAACCAAATATGATAAAATAATATTATAGCATGAGCATACGAATGCTCAGGAACAGGTTTTTAGTAAAAGGGCGATGTGGAGGGGCCGTTTTAATATCCTTCTTCTTGAAGTAAGCGTAGCGTGATAGAGAATCACAGTGTTTTGGTATCCTGGCAAGTACTTTACGTTGAACCTGCTAAGGTTGTAGCCTCAGGATCCATCGCTCGATTCGTGCGCGCGGCTTTGATCTGTTTGGGTATATTGTCTCCAATGCATGGCTAGTGATCAGGTAAAGTTCGGATTCAATGTCCTACAGGTACACACGGAAACTCTCGCACGTTCAAACGACTGCCAGTGCTTTCTTCTCGGTCTGAGCAGGGGCGGATCTAGGAGGAGGGTTCAGTGGCCCCCTGAGATGACCTGCGGCTTTCAAATACAACTGATATTCTGCAAATAGTCTGTGGTGTATTTAAGAAATGGTAAACGTGCAGCGTGCAACCATGGAGTTATGGATGCACGCGGGAGGTTGCTAAGCAAGAAAGGAGCGTAAGAGTCGCACGAGGCGATAGCCAAGTGCGACTCTAGCTTCTTGAGTGCTTAGCAAACCTCCCAAGTACATCCATAACTCCATGGTTGCACGCTGCACGTTTACCATTTCTTAAATACACCACAGACTATTTGCACGCGGGAGGTTGCTAAGCAAGAAAGAAGCGTAAGAGTCGCACGAGGCGATAGCCAAGTGCGACTCTAGCTTCTTGAGTGCTTAGCAAACCTCCCAAGTGCATCCATAACTCCATGGTTGCACGCTGCAACGTTTACCATTTCTTTTATAACATAGAGAATTAACAGCTTCCATTTCGGATAGAAATATTTATTTAATACTTGACTTTAGAGCCAGTTACATGAAGTTAGAAACATACCCGCAATCGCGCAAAGATTTTCATTCAAAAAATGACAAAGCTACACCTTGGCCGTGTTTGTCGATCTCGGACAAAAAATACAATCATACAAACTGTTCAGCAAACAAAGAAAGCTATCGGTAAGGACCTTATGGGCTCAAACAATTAGTTAAATTATGAGTGGTTTTCCGACGAATTAAAGACGAACTGCACGTTTTGAATGCTGCAATCTTTAAAAAATGGAGCCACTTCTCTTGCAATATTGGAAGGAGCATAATTTCCTTCTTGTTGTGAAGGACAGCTAACACGGACTGTGGATTGCACTGAGGAAGAAGATCTTGCGTATGAAGCTTCAGTGACTGCTAGCGCCCTTGACAGCACATCACTGCAATTTTGAAGCTGAGAAATCGACGGCCGCGAGTTGTAATGTGCCAAGGATTGCTCATTTCGATGGCCTGAAATTGACATGATGTGTCGATTAGGGACTCCAGCATTGGACCACAGGGTTATGGCTGTTGCTCGTATGCTGTGGTTTGTGTATATGGTTGAGAGCCCTGCCACTTCGCTGATTTTCTTCATCATGTTGGCGAGGGTGTTAACGCCCAAAGGCCTTTGCTCGAACCACACGATGTCTTCAGGTCTAACATTTGACTTCGGATACTGGAAAAGCGCACTGCACTTCGGGTTGATCTTTTCAAGATAGAGCTTAAGCGCCTTGTAGCCATCGTTGCTTTCGGCTGATTCGTACATTCTAGCTTCTTTCTCCTTACTGGAAGAGTCATGGACACCACCTGGATGGTTCTTCGAAGCTTCATCATGGGCCATGGTTACAAATTTACGCCCGGCTGCATCGGTTGCAAACTTGAAGCTGTTAGTGGTGAGAGCTCTTTGCCCTTCACGGTTTCTTCGGCAGAAGAAAAGGACAATATGGAACCATACATTTCTAAGAAGAGAAAGCGGGGAAGAAAGAGAAAAAACGCCACTGGTTTTTAGCTGTTTGAGATGCCCTTCTTCAATTGCAGGTTTGTGGGTCACATTTTCCTTTCCATTTTTTCTCAAATTGATTAGTTGGGCGTCTAACATCTGGTTTGACCGCATAAATCTGGGATCACTTGCTAACTGGAGCCCTTTGTTGTATGGAGGAGCATTTAGATATCTTTCAATGGCATGTCTGAATCCAAGCAAGGTGGATTTACTGTATGGCTCCCCTTTTTGTGTTCGTGCTTCGGCATAAAATCGTCTCAGATTCTGGTCCAGCTGGCCAGTCGTCATGTTTTCAATCGGTGTTTGTATTACTTTCTCTGAACACCAAGCTGAAATTCAACATGTAAGCGACTTTAAAAAACAGTATTCTTTTTTAAACGAATCTAAAAGAACCGAAGACTGAAAATGTGGAATAAATATAAGCCGTATGTCATTGTTTGTGCATCGAGTAGTCACTCGGTGAAGCAATTTTTACAGTTTAGTTTAATGAGCGAACAATTTTTTGCTGTTATAACCTGTCAATTTTATGATAAAAACATTAAATTCAATCTTAAAAAGACAATCGTCGTTTTCCTTTTTCTGCAACAAGAATTTAAATAAAAAAGTGTTACTTTTCTTAGCCTCAATTCATGCAGCCGATAAAAGTTAATGCACGAGTTTTGCTCGCTGACATTTAAATGGCTTTCGACGGGAGAAAATTAGTTTTCACTTCTAGCTTTACCATTTACCATTAAGTTGTATGTCACAGAATTGCTGGAAAACATTGTGGAATTGTTACGATAGATAGCTTACCTCGAAAAGTTGAAACAGACCAGTTTGTTGTTTTTTTGGTCTTCTCTGAATGTCTTTGTTCAACAATATGGTTCAACTCCCGCTCGCTCAAATTTGCAAATCTCTTAGCGGACTTAGACGGAGGTTCACCGAACAAGTTAAGGTCGAAATTTGGTAGTTCAACGTCGTCATGTCGAGAAGAGGCGCTAGATGTTTCCATGATTTTAGCGACAGAATAAGCTTTAAGATAAAAACTGGCGATATCGAGGAGAAAAAAAAAGGTTTCCGCAAAAAAAGTAAACAAACTGACGTCAGCGTGCAACCCACTGGCAAATGGATCCGGCGTATTAGCCAATCAGAGAGCGCGATTTCTTTCAGCTATGTTATAAAGGGTTTTGACGTAAAACATAAAACGACGCTGATGAAGATATGTTAAACGCCTTAAAAATGGTAGTTTGGCACGTCACGTCACCATTCAGTTACGCCATTCCTTGGTGGTGCACCCCCTCCTAAGAAAAATCCTGGATCAGCCCCTGCTGAGAATACCGTGTCTTCACGTCACTCAAGCTCTTGTTTTTCTTTGCTGTTCCTGAACAAGTACTTTGTCAAGATCAAACTAAATGAGCTTGCGTCCGCTATTATCAGTGTCCTGGCATCTTAGTCAAAATATCCAAGTGTTCCCGCACTTGCTAAACTGCTCTTCAGCTCATTAAATGCTCGACTATGTTCCAAACTCAAAGTGGCCACCTTTGTTCGTCCAATCTCCGCAAAGGTTCTGCGACTGTCGCAAAATCGGGAATAAAACGTGCATTGTACTAGTTAGCTAGTCCCAGGAAGTTCCTAACTTCTAAGGCATTCTGAGGGTTAATACCAGTTTTCTTCTACTTTATGTTTCAGGTTGACTAAGGATCGCCTTTTGAGTCGGGAAAAGCAATTAGCATAGTATTCCTCCCTCCTCCCTACCAAAAAACGGAATACGCTCCTAATGCCTGTTCAAGGACGGATTCCCATTGCTTACTTGTTCTCATACTTATCGCCTAGCAAGGTTTAGTGTAGTGTCATCACAGACCTGGGAAGCTACACCTACGAAAATTAAGTGTCTCCCCTTTGAACAGTTTTAAAAAAGAATATAAAGTCTTTCTACTTGACAGTCAGGCATCTTGAACAACTCTAATCTGTTACTTAGTTCTATTTATTTAATTATTTAATTCAAATAGTTTTTTTTATTAGTACCGTATAACCTCCACCCAGTTGTAACTGCTCTGTGGTAGTAGCCGACTCGAAAGCTTGGCTCCTTTGGCTGCTACACACTCTTCCTTTTCTATGTCTCATTCAATGTTTAGTTGGCTCTGTTTTTTACTTCTTCCTTTTTTTTTCTTTATTGTTGTATTGTAATTATTACCTCAAAGTTGCGCTCAGAGTTGCGATAAAGGATGAAGTCTCCCTGTTCCATAAAGGCAAAGCTACTTCTGCTTCCCCATCTTCCACTAAACAATAAATTCGTAGAAATAAAACGTTAACCCTATTTTTTTTAAAAAAAAAGAACGATACTCGTAGTGACATGACTATCTGATTGTAGATGAATTGCTGGGAATTGCAAGTATCCACCATCATCCGCTTTTGTAACATACGAACCCAAAAAACAATCACAAAGACGAAAGAAAGACTATGCTTCACGGCATTCGTGAACAAAAATCTCAAGCGCGGCATAACAACGCAGCTATGATAATCGCAACGAAATGATGCTAGTCCTTACCTTGCGTTATCAAAAAATGGCAAAGGGCTGTAGTGAGGATCGGTATACGTTTTACATGTATGGATGTTCTCTGAGTTGGTTTCAACGGAAACCTGCAAGAAGAAACTTGAGTGGATCAACAAGCTATCTACGTTGCAAAAAAATTAAAGTAAAATAGGGGCTGCGACCGCACTCGGCAAGCTAACCGGTTTAGTTTTTCAAAAACCCGATAAAAAAATTCTTCAGAAGGTAACCTGGTTAAAGAGTTTAACCGTGTTCATTTTTATCAGCGGTTGGGCTCAATTCTTTCCCAAAGCCTTTTCAAAGTTTTGTTTTTTCGCTTGGTTGGGTCGCTCATAAGGCTCGCCTTAGAGTGACCGACAAAATTTGCCCCCGTTATACTGAGAATAAAATTTTGACTTCTTAAAAGACTTAACTCGGTTGTGTTAAGAAAGGAAAGCTGAGCTTGCAGCGAAAGAAGTTATTTTCGAAACTGCAGTGCTTGAGTGCATGGTAAAGCCAAAATTGAAACATTCTTTGTCTCTGGTCCCTGTAGGGCGTTTTCCCAGTCCCTCTTGGTCAATGCACTTCGGTGACGTATCCGAGGCGAACGGGCGGGAAACGCCTAGGCAAAAACAGAATGCGCGTGCGGGCGTTGCTTTTTGAAATTGAAGATGTTGTCCATGTTGTAAACAGCAGGAAATTATGGTTTTCAAAAAAACCCTTGTCGATATTTGCCGGATCGACTGTTGCCGACGGACTTTGAAAAGTAATCAGAATGTTATTCATAGTCCTGTGAAGATTGATTCTGCTTCTTCAATGTCATCATTCCAACTGAGCTATCGGAGTTTGCAGCTCTTACCCTATTTAAACGACTGCGAATTTTCAAAGTAAAAATAATACTTGATTGGCCCTCTTTGTTGTAAACTTAGCGCGCAAATCTTGAATAATCAGAAAAAACATGCTTTCAAATACAATCCATTAGCTGCGTATCGCAAAGTGCCCAGACTAAAAATTTGCCGACATTCACAGAAGTGATGTGTGCATTAATTTGGGAAGCATTAAATTCAACTTGGATGCTGTTATCTCAGCACCGTGTCAGTTTGAGCTATTGTTATCAATGAAAGAACACACAACAACAAACAGAGAGAAATTATTTTTCAAAAAATTTAAAAACCCATAAATTAATCCTTAAAAGCATTTCGCGTACAGGAAACTTGGCTCATGGATCCGTTCACGCAAGTAAAGAGCGCTGAGCACATGGCAAAAATTATTCAACACAAATCTCAAATCAGGGCGCTCAAGCCGATCTCAAAATGTACAAAACCTCTAAGATGAAGTATTTAGAAATACATAAATTTCCTTTTAAAAACATAATTTTCTTGACTATAGAGTACAAAATGTACCTGAAAATTCTTCAAAAGCTTCGCTGCTTGGTTGGGTTTCAAAACAGGCAAATCGCTCCGATCGGCCGTGGTAAAAATTTGGTGAATTTCGAATTCCTCAATTTGGTAAAGAAAAAGCCTTCCTTTGTCAACTAAAAGAAAACTGAGCATTCTTTTGAACTTACTCTTCCCATCTGTGTCTTTTCGTGGTGTAATTTTAGCGGAGCTCTCGGGGCGCCAAGCGGGCACCATGGGTAAGAAAATTTGGTAACCTGTGTATCCGATATTTGCATCCGAGAAATAATGATAGTCTTGTGATCGTACGCTTGCTCGACCGACCGACCTCCCGTACCACAGGCATACCAGTGTGAAATTACTCAATCACCATACAGGTATGGGAACTTGAGGTTATTTTGGCGGGAAATCGCACAGACACCCGCGTCTTGTGAAGTAGAGACAACTAAAGAGTCAATAAAGACGCTGTCTGACGCTCTTTTTCTCGTTGAGCTTCGCTGGCCTGTAGCCTACTTTCTCTTTTTTCTGTCTCCCTATTTCTCTGTATTCCAAATTTGTGGACAGGACAATTAATCCTTGCTTAATACTTTAGATAACACGGATACAGAGACAATTACTGCTTTCCATTTTCGTCTTTATTGCAAAAGTGTGCTGCACGTGCAAAGTTGCTTTTTGCTTATTAGACCTATTGTTGTTTTCCACCGTTCTCGTGTTCTTCGCCGCTTAAGCCTGGTTTTCACAAACGCATAAGAATAAGCATAAGCACAATCACATGAGTAAGCAAAAGAAAACTGGGTCGATATAAGCATAAGCATAAGCACAAGAAAAAATGACAAGTTCGTTCTTTTTGTGCTTGTGCTTATGCTTATGTCGTAGCTTTGATTAGACTTGCTACAAGTCGACCTCACGGCGGTTTCTTAGTGAGCGGAGCGAGCTTTTTAGGCCACGAAGCGGCCAAGAGAGCGACATCGGACGAAGGACTTTTTTGAAAGTCTAAGCTTTGACTATAGTGAAAACCGGCTCGACATAAGCTCAAGCATAAGGCAACAAGGCACAAGGCCGTGGACCAATCATAGGTCACTTTCACCCAAGACTCGTGCGAACATATCAAAAGCGATATGGCGGACGCTTTGTCCGCCATCTTGCTTATCATCGGGTTGAGGAGATCTGGTATCGAGAATTGAGACAAATATACCATTCTGCGCGTGCGTATGTCCTTATGCTTATGCTTATGCGCTAGTGAAAACCAGGCTTTAGCATTACACGACTCTATATTTTGTTTGAGTAAACAATAAATATTAACGAGAGCTTCACTTTTAGCCCTGGCCAAATCTATATATCAACCTTGAAATGCGAAAGACTGGTCTTGTAAACCACCGCCATTGAACCGTCTCACTTTTGAAGATTTTTGTCTAGGCCTCACATTTTCCCATGGACCACGTGACCGAAACGCTTTGGCCGCGCGGAATAATGAAGCCTAGGGACTAGGCAAGAACATTCTCACGCATAGGCCGAGATGATCAATTCCATTGACTGATAACCATAACCTGCGTTAAACTACCCCGCGAGGTAGTTAAATAAAAACATATAAAACCTGGTTAAGAAATTAAATTAGGTAGTTGGAAACTGAACTCGGCTAAATCCCCAAGTGCGACCGCAGCCGATAATAGATTGGAAAATCAGTAGCTAAGTAGTTCCGGCGGAATGGGGGTTGCCTTTTAAACAAGAGATAACATGGAGCGGGTGGTTAACGCGAAACATACATCATGCAATCTGGTAGAAAGTTGTGAAAAGTATGTACCTTAATGTTAGTTGGGTTAAATTTATTTTAAAAATTGTCGAAAGGTGTTATACGGCCAGATCATGCTATTTTAGGCCAGGAAGGAGGAGGGGGGGGGGCTCTCGAGGCTCTCCCTTGCTAAAAAAAAGTTGAATAACTTCAAAACCGTTTATAAGCTATGACCACCAAACGTTGCGACATTTCCTAAAGATTATTAAGGAAACATTTTAAAGTTGCCAAGTGCATCAACATTAATGTTACGATGGCAACCGACTTTTGACAGCCACGTTCTCAAAACTTGATTCATTAATTTATAATGACCAATAGTGTTAATTTCTATCTGAATTTCATAACTTACAGGTCATTTTTTGCTTCCAGGGAAGAATCCTTTTATAACTCAGATCAGTGTTTCTATCACAATTGACTCGATATATACGAGTTTTAAGTATATTGGAATAGCGTAAATTAAATTAATTCATAATGGTGGATCTAAGATGGCGGATATTGGTTCCAGATTCTTCTTTAATAATAAATGACGTAATCGTGACATCACTGATATTGCTAAAGATTATTTATGTATTAGCCAACTTTTTTATCTTGTCAGACTTAAGTATTTTTCGTTTTGAGAAATAAAATTGATGGAATGTCTACTCTGCCAATAAATTCAACAATATGACGTCCTAATGACGTCAAATCGCGTCATTGTGTCTATCAAGCTATGCCGAGATGCTGGAAATGATGAGTACATTATTTTGTGTAGTTTTTGTAGCCGTACCATGAGCAGTTTTGAAGTTATAGAGGGGGGCCTCCGAGCTCCCTTTCCCCTACCCACCCACCCCTAGGGCGTAGGAAGCCAAAAAAAAAAAAGGCCTAAATGGCTTACTCAACGAATACCTTTTTTAGTAATTTTCCCAACAAAAAGAGTGACCTTTGAGGTAAGTAGGTTAGCCCGATTGGTACTGTTGAATTAACGTGCTTTACACTGTGTGTATCGAGTTGACAGGTTGTGAACTAAGAGACCTTTTCTGTTCATGTATCTCGTTTTTAGCATGTGCCGGATAAAGAAGAAAAAATTCTTAATTCACAATGAGGACCGGCTGGACTTGAAGTAGTCTGATTATTTTTCCCTTTGTAAAGGCAATAAATATATCATTTTCTTATACAGACACGAGTGTTTTACTGGAAAATATACCACTCGTAAAATTCATAAAAATTACATCCGGGACCCGAGTGGTTTATTTTCCATAATCTCACACGTGAGTGTATCGATTGTAATTTTGGTAATTTCCCTCTATTATTTTATCGGTGTCATTTTGTCTATATAATAAAAAGAACATTACCCGGCGGCTTGAAGATATGAATTTTATTTTCTCGTGGCAAAAACAATATTTTACGCACTCGCTGCGCTCGTTCGTAAAATATTGTTTTGCCACTCGAAAATAAGATACATATCTTCGCGCCACCGTGTAATATCCTCTATGTAAATGACCTTCCTACGGCTGACGTCGAGACGGTATCTTACTTCATACTTTTATTCCGAAATTGAAACAAATAACTACAAAGCTCTTTTAGAGTAAGCGAGAAAATGTACGTAAAGAGAGTGAGTTGCAAGAGTTGTGTATTTTCTCCTTTAATAACTGATTAACTGTTCAGTAAAACACTTACCGCAACACTAGATAAATGGGAGTCTCTATTCCAAAATGAACTGTGACCACTCTCAATTGTAGGAATAATGCTTTTGTCAACAGTAGGGGACTGTTCTGTGGTTGTACATCTTGCAATAACACGCACGGTGATTGGTTGAAGGTCCTTCAGCTCAACCTCACAGTCATCACTGTCGATCTCGATGCCATCAGACGACCAGAAACTAATCTTCAAGTATTTATCTTTCTGTAATTCACTCGCCGAAACTGGTATGGTGGGAGTTATTGTGAAAGTTATTATATCTAGGGAACACTCTTTAACTTCCAGCCGATTGGGTGAAACCTGGAGTTTGAAGAAAATTGCTCTTGATTTTTGTTGATATTGTTAAAGAAAGTCTCTTTCCACGTAACTGCCTGTGTATCTTTTGCTTGTGGACCTCACTTCATATTCGAACGCTGGCCAAAAAATACGCCTTTTAATTCAAACAGACGACATACTTTTATCCGAGAGTTACAATTTCTTGACAAATCAGTTTATACTTTTTTTAATCAAATTTAATTTTGAAAAACTTTTCTTCAAAATTTGTAGCTTTAAGTAATAATATGGTATGGTAGGAGTTGTTGCGAAAGTTCAAATCTGTTTTACAAATTATAGGACCAAAGGGTAAACAACAGTTGATCAATTGTATTTTACCTTCTCTCCGTGATAGATAGTCACTTTTAAGAGTAGCTAGTATTTGTACGTTCACTTACCTTTAATCCGGCGAAAAATGGTTCCTGGACGGATTTTGGGACGCACCAAGTGTTCAAAGGAGATGTGGTGTACCGGGCAGTTACGTTACAAGAAATCTGTTAAGCAAAGATACAAAAGAAATACATTACCGTAAAATTCCGAAAATATATTATATTATATTTTTCAAAGACTCTTTTTGAGGGGCTTATTTTTGGAGGGGCTTATGTACGGATGAAAATTTGCGTTTCAAAATCCATTGGGCTAGCTTATAGCTGGAAGGAAATTTACCGTTTTTGCTTTGTTTTACTTTGTATTTGAGGGCAATTTCCAAGTATAAGCCCCCAGGGGGCTTATATTTGGAGGGATGATGTAACGGAGGGTTTTTTGCGTTACGAGCTTGGGGGGCTTATATTTGGAGGGGTTTATACAAGGAGGGGCTTATTTTCGGAATTTTACGGTGTCTTCTTTTTCCCTCCATACTTATACTGATTGGTAGATTTCTATTTTAAAATCAACTGGTAACAGAACATAAAACGAGACTGTCCAGTTTATTCTAAATCACAACTACTACAGTAAACACCCGCTAATAAGAACTTGGGGATTGAGAACTTCCTGGCAGAAATTTGCCACTTTAACACCCAAAAACACAAGAACCTGTCTGGAAAGTAAGAGCAGCAGGTTCTTATGGGTTGGTTACAGTTAATGTGTTAATGTGTTTGTGTTTGTTATGGTCTTCTTTTGCGTTTACCATATATAATAATTACATGCGCACGCATAGGTGCAATAAAACGTGTTTGTAGTGAACCGCCTTGTTGTTTGTGTGCATTCTTAGATCTTTTGTCAGTACATAACAATTTTGGTGACGAGGATGGGATCTTCAGGGATATTTTACGCGAAAAAGTGAAAGACATTCCTAAACAAGATCCACACGACATCTCAGGATGCCAATCGAGTCTAATGCGGCACCAAATCCGGTTCGAGACATCGACAAAGTTCGCAGTAGGAACTGACTTCGAGGCGTAAGCAGAACAGCTTGAATTCTTCTTCGTGGCATGGTCAGTGTAGTGACCGAATCAAAAGAGAAGAAAGCCGTCCTGTTAACTAATCTTCCCACTGAAAAGTACCAGCTGGCGAAAGATTTGGTGGTGCCAATATTGGTAAGAGAGGATTCTCTCACGTACGTCACGAACGCAGAACGTCTCCAAAAGAAATTGAAGCCTTCGAAATCTGCTCTAGTCGCCAGGTATGAGTTTGACAACCCAGCGCGTAAAGCAGGAGAAACGGTGTGAGTCAGTATGTTGCTGTTTTAAAGCATCTAGCTACGAATTGTAAGTTTAATGATGCCATGCGATTGGAAAGACACAGATAGATTGATGTCGAGTATTCGAGATAAGAGAATGATGTCAGAGCTTTTGAAACTGAAACTCGAGAAACTAGCATTTGACATTGCTGTAGCGAAATACATCGCTAGTGAGCAGTCTTAAAAGGATGTTGAAGCTCTACAGGGAGTAAAGAGTCAAGACCAAGCAAGAAGCCTAAACCTTCAGAAAGCCTTCATAAAAGGGTTCCCCATCCCCTAAAGAGTCGGGCAATCAAAGTTCCTACCGCTGTTTGGGAAATCATGATCATAAAAGTTGTCCGTTCAAAAAGGAAACATGTCACCACTGTAACAAGACCGGTCATATTGTAAGGCTTGTAAATCCAAGAATAGGGAGGGACAAGCCGCCCGACCCCCAGTAGATTATGTGGACAGTGATGACTACCCTTGAGGTTAATAACGTGAGTGACAAAGATCATGCGATGTGCGTCAGCTCTACACTGGGCAAATAATCACATCTAAGGAAGAGTTGAAGTGTAATGTTAAGTTTAAGGGCCAAGAAAAGGAATTAACCCTACAAGTGGTTGACACACCAGGGCCAGCATTGTTTGGGCGTGACTGGCCTTCCAAAATTCAGCTGGACTGGGGTGAAATCAAAGCCCTTAAGCTTAGCCAGATACTGGACAGGGTCATGCCACATAAAGAGGATCAGTTGTTGCAGTGGTAGGAGTCTGTATTTTCTGAAGGTGTAGCTACACTTAAAGGCCACAGGCTGATTTGAAGGTTAAGGAGGGCTGCCAGCCTAGCTTTCATAAGCCTCTTCACGTTCCATATGCACTTCGCCCTAAGGAAGAAGCAGAATTGACACGTTTAGAGAAGGACGGTATTCTGTCTAAAGTAGAATACAATAAATGGGCTACCCCGATTGTTCCAGTAGTTGAGCAAAATGGATCACTACGTGTGTGTGACGATTTCAAGGTCTCGTTCAATCCAGTACTTCTTGCAGAACAATATCCTCTGCCGCGCATAGAGGATATTTTTGCGAATTTGGCTGGGGGAAACATTTTAGAAAACTTTAACTGCGCCAAGCTTATCACCAAATAGAAGTAACAGAGGAATCCAAGAAATTCCTCTCGATCAATGCACAGATGGGCCTTTTCCAATGCAATCGGTTACTTTTTGGCGTTTCTTCCAGTCCATCGATTTGGCTAATGTAATAGACCAGGTATTACATGATCATCTCGGGCAACGCCCATGAAGACGCGGGTCTGACGGCCAACAAAGAGAAGTGTGAGTTCTTCAGGGATAGAGTTTAGGTCTGTCGGTATGAGATCGACAGAGAAGGTCTCCACAAGACAAAAAAGGAGATCGAGGCAGTAGTTATCGCGCCTAGACCTGAGAATGTGCCACAGCTTCTCTCCCTTTTAGGGCTCGTTAACTATTAAAACCGCTTCTTACCTTATACGTCCACAGCTCTCCACCCACTTCACCAGTTGTTAGAGCAAAAAAACGAATGGCAGTGGACTGAACAGTGCGAGCAAGCCTGCACAGAGCCTAATAATCAAATCTGAGCAGGTTCTAACGCATTATGATCCAGCATTACCAGGTAGGCTTGCATGGGATGCTTCGCCAACCGGCATCGGTGCAGTTCTTTCACACGTCATGCCTGCATCGAAAGGCCAGTAGATTTTGGGTCCCCATAATTGACAAGACAAGGCAAGTACGCACAGATTGACAAGGAAGTATTATCCATTGTGTGGGGGTGAAACGGTTCCATGTCTATCTCTATATAAGGCGGTTTACGCTCATTACAGACCATACGCCCTCAGTGCCATTTTCCACCGAGATAAGGGGGTTCCTGTCATGACCGCTACCAGACTCCAGCGCTATGCATCGTTCCTGGTTAGTTTCGATTACAAGATAGTGTATAAGAGTGCGACCGAGCACTACAATGCTGATGGGCTGTCTCGACTCCCCCTCCAACAAAAAGAGCGAAAGGAGACGGAAGTAGATTCGTCAGAGGTGTTCCATGCAACCCAGTTTGTGCCACTCCCTGTAACTAGTAAAGCAGTTGCTAGAGAAACACGTCGTGACCCAGTCCTAGCAAGGGTGTACGAGTTCATCGTGAAAGGATGGTCTACTCGCTTAGATGGAGACAAGCCATACTATAAGCGGCGCAATGAACTGACGGTTCACCAAGGTTGCATTCTATGGGCAATAAGAGAGGTAATCCCTAATAAGCTCCAAGAAGGAGTGTTTGAAGGAGCTGCACGACGGGCATCTGGGTGTGGTAAAGATGAAAGCACTAGCGAGGAGTCACGTCTAGTGGCCTAATATTAGTTCTCAACTGGAAGGGCTAGTGAAAGCCTGCAGTGGGTGTCAGCAAAACCAGAAGATACCTATTAGGGCACCACAGCATCCGTGGGAGTGGGAACTGCACCATGGCAACGCATACACATCGACTATGCCGGCCCATTCCAGAACTCTATGTTCTTAGTAGTTGTCGATGCACACAGCAAGTGGCCGGAAGTGATTTAGGTTAGTTCCACCACTTTAAGTTCGACCATCAAAGGCCTAGGGGATTTATTCACCAGATTCGGAATTCATGAAAAGATCGTTAGTGACAACCGTGCAAAATTTGTTTCTGAGGAGTTCCAGGCGTTCGTCAGGCCCAATGGTATTCGCCATATAACATCAGTACCATAATATTCGGCCGCAAACGGTCTTGCGGAGAAGGCAGCACAAACCTTCAAGCAAGCGTTAGGCTCTATGTATCAAAGCTTAAAGCTGGTGAAGGAGAAGTTGGCAAAGTTTCACGTAGCTTATAGGAACACTCCTCACTCCACTATCGGTTTGAGCCCAGCGCAGTTACTCCTTTGAAGACCGTTGCGCACTCGCCTCTATTTGGTGAGACCCAACTTGAAACGTCGTTAACCAACAACATCAGCAGAGCATCAGGGCCGCGAATGAGAAGGGTTAACACCGTCGTCAGTTAGAGGTTGGTTGGCTGTACTAAGCTGTATATAAATTTGAATATCAGTTTCGTTAGGGTTATGATAATACAATTGTGAATAATATGCATTATTTTTCTGGTGATCAACAATCTTCTATCTCCTTCATAAAAATTAAGAACCTTATTAAGAACCTACTTAGCTTAAATTGCCAATAAGTAGCCCAAAATATAAGAACCTATTTTGCCAAAGGTAGTTGTTTTACCTACCAAGCTATTCAAACTGTAATCCATACCCTTCAGGAAAGAAACTAAGGGTTTCCCTGGACAAGGGCTGTCATATTCCTTAATATCTGGCGGTAATGTCCCACAAAAGTCATCTGTTTTCAAGTGTTCGTCCTTCGAATACCAAACGATCTGGTATGTTACATTCTTCCACAAACGGACATTGCGATTGATGGGAACTTCACACTTCAGGGTTACAGCCGCAGTTCCTGGATCAAGTGTTACATATGTAACCGTTGGTTTTCCAAGAAAATCTTCATCAAAAGGAGTTGGTGGATCTAGAGAGGTAAATAGAATGAAATTTTTTTTTTTAATTGATGTTGAGTTGCTCAATGTTTACAATTCAGTAGAACATTTAGAGAGTTTGAAAAATCGCAAAGAAGTTGAAAGCTTTCACATTTCTCTTTGAAATAGTAAGACTTAGTAACTTTAACTTCCTAAATATTCACTTACGGATCCAAAACATAAGGATCGGTTACCTGAATAGCCGATAGCTCAGTAAGAAAAGCATTCAGTCTGTCAATGCGTTGAATTGAATTTCCTGTCCAGTGCGTTTGACAAGAAAACTCTCATAAGGATAGGAGTTAGTATTCTGCCATTTTATAAATTTAAATTACTTAAATGGAACGTAAATGAAGTAAAAAGTTAGAACGGTCAAAGGGTATGTACTAGAAACAAGGCTAACAAGACCTCTTTTCTTTCTGTTATGGGAGAGAAAGAGCATCTTGGTAAAGACGTTCCAGATAACCTTGCTAGACTTGTTAAAAACATTTGATAACATCTTGTTTTTCAGTCATAAACATAGCAAAGACCAAGTCACGTAAAAAGAGAATATTTACTAGATGAACATACCATGACAATTGCCTGTTTTTCCAATTTTGCCATATAAACAGTTTGCTGTTGTTAAAAAGAAACAAAACAAGGTGTTATGATACAGTTAATCTTCTCTGCAGTGCTATGTTTCACTTATTTATACTAAATAGAGTTAGCCAAGGCTAAAAGCGTAGCTCCAGTTAATAAATTTAAAACTTAAACAAAAAAATTAACTTGCAATCCACAAATCGGCTAACTGGGAAGATCCATACGACTTTTAAGGGTGGGGCTGGGCGACTTTAGAGAAAAGATAATTTGCAAACAGTGCAAGAATGAAACAACATTTAAAATCTTACATTGGGTTAATAGTCTTATTCGTACACCTAAAAAATAGAAGTCACCCTTGGCCACAGTAGATAACGCGTGAAAAACAAATTCTTCCCAAGCAAAATGACCTTTTTGCTCAGCTTCATCACCTTTATCTTATAAGAGTAATTGGACAGTCCCGAAATATAATTTTATGCTATAAAGACCGTAAAGGCGGTAGCAGCCAATTTACACCTTATATTATCGGTTCTATCTCTCTTTCTACAGGAAAGGCCAAAATGTGTAGCTCTCTACAGGTCTGGTAGCGTGTAAACCAGCCTTTTTACATTATCTCTGAGGTAAACAGAACTATCATACGTCGTTTGTTTATTGTTCAGACCTCGAACAGAATTTGTTATCTTTTGCCCTATTTTAGCTATAATTCTGCAATTTTTTACAAGACAAATTTCACTCATTCAATATTCAGGACGATCGAAGCACGCGCTTCCATTCCACAACAAATAATAAAACTAACAAAAACACAAAACTTTTTATTAATAAAGAGAACTGAATTCTTCATTAGACGGGGCTATTCAGTCAGGTCAATCTTCCATTATGTAGTATGCAGGGGAATAATGGGCTTTGAACAAAAACTTTCGAAAAAATCATATTTTACTTCCATTTCCAAAATCACCCGTCCGACCAGCCGCTTCTGAATTTTGCCAAGTGCCTAACTTGCAATGCGAGCTATTGGGTATTTGAACGAACACTAGCAATGAGAAAGAGGTCTCAGAATCATTTTCGTTTGCATTTTACTTCTAAAACACCAGATTCATTTGATACACGCGGCATTTTAATAAGTACTCCTGCATGCGATGTTCACGGACGACTGGAAAAAACAACTGCGGCAAAGCGCTAAGAAAGAGATCTTGACAAACAATCAAGACAAGAAATATAATTCAATGAAAAATTTAAAAGGAAACAATTTTTATTCACGAAGACGTGTATTGAGAGTGAAGTGCCTCCTGAAAATCCTGAGTCACGGATAAAATATAAGCCTTTTAAGGGTTAAAACTTAAAAGTTTTAAGTCGCTTTCACGGTGTGGGCTATTTTTCAAGATGAACCGCCAGGCAGGAAAAACGCTCAATCTCAAAGCTTTCTTTTTACAACCAATAGGTAAACTAAACTATTCTTCAGAACGTTTTTTTCTAGTTGTAGTCAGGTAAATTGTCTCGAATCTTACTAATGTCCGTAAAATGACGGCATAAACATGAAACCAGAAAAAAAACATCAAATGCAATATAAGCTTAATTACTCAAGCTTACCGGTCGAGATGCAGCTCGGAAACCCCATTAAGTAAGGCCAGAATCGCTTAAGACTTTTCGCATCCAGCAAGGCGAAGTAAGCTTACTAAGCTTATTTTTGAAAACGATGATTTCCGATTTCATTTTGTTGGCGAGCGGCGCATTTTTCAACCACAACCCAACAAAAAAGCCAGCCAAGAATAACAATAGAATGTTAATAGCAGCCGTATTTCATTTTGTAGTTCCAGTACAAAAACATGGTTAAAACATCTCAAGATAACACAAAACTCTGTCAGCTTCAGCTATCAGTAAGTCTTGGATGCTGCATAAATTTTCTACATGAATCCTCTTCGCTAGCTCTTCGCCTGTTAATTCTTGCTCCCTGCCTTTCTCTTCTTTCTCTTCACCCTTGCTAGGTTGAATTCCGCTTTTGTTTGTTGCCATAACAATATTTTCGAAACAGATTACTAGAAACTGAGCACTACGGTCACAAAATCCCTATGCTTTCTTATGATATGAAATAGTTAAATACAAGTTTCCAACGGGTAAACAAGTTTTTGAACGCGATGACAATGTCTCGTCATTTCTTGCGCGATTTCCCGCCAAGAAAACGCGGGTTGCACAAATGCCTCGCACGACGCTACCAAAATTTCTCGGATGGATAGTTAAACAAATTTTCTTAGCTGTGGAGCTCCGCTATAACATAGCGTATACGGTTTCAGATAAAGTGTGTCTTTATTAAACTGGGATTTCCGTCTACAGAGGAAAATTTTTCCCTCCCTTTAACAGCATTTTCCAAAATGTCCAAAAAAGAGGACAACCTCGCGAGGTACAACCAAAGTTTCGAAAAATTTTTCCCGGAATACTTTTTTTTTTCATTTAACTTTGCTCCCTGGCGTATGACCATTCGAGGCAACACAGAAAGGCCTGATGGATTACGAAAAGGTAAAACAGCAATAGTTTCAAAGGGCGTAAGGGGAGAAACACGCGCTTTTGGTCAGGGCATGGCTGGGAAAAAAACACCCCTAATGGTAGGAGCCAGTAAAGGTTTAAGGTTAGTAATGACGATGTAGAATTAGCTGGTAAGTTCACAAGGTAATGGAAATTGATTTTTTAGGACATTTTTTTCGTATTAAGTTTTCAATAATTAATTACCTGAACTTAGAAATACTTTTATTATCAATTAATCCCTCTTTCCTGCCTTCAGAGAGCATCCCTCTTATTTCTTCCAAAATCCTTTTCCCCGCTCTCTGTGCTATACATAATGAATGAAACCTTAGGTAACTCTCAGGAAAACCTCCTACCATTATGATCGCAATCACCAGCCCTGCTGTCTATACGATATAACCATCGTCCAGGATTCCCAACATTGGATTGACGAGACAGGTCAAGCACTTGCTGTGTGCCAGATCCCGGGATATTGAAATATCGCAGTCCGTCTCCGCCATTAAATCCAGCCTGCCGAGACACAGTTGAATCATGAGTATACCGTTCATTTTTTACTTGTTTCTGCCTTGCATAAGAAGGAGTATTTCTTATTTGGTAATTAAAATAATCTTAAGAAGGTCATCGCTCGTACTCAAGTGGAGTTTCAAAGCTAGAAGGGCGCACATGCGTTAATACATATTATTAGTAAAATCCAACTCGTGGTCTATTATCAATGCTGCGTTCTGATTGGTTGAGCTACTACTAGGTTATATGTTATAGTCCACTAGTAGCGAAAAGCCCGGGCATTTTGGCGGCAAAAAAGGATTAAAGTCTAGTTTTAACTAACTAAAAGTTTTTTATTCTCGATATTTTTGACCAACTAGTTGGGCTCTGAGCCAATAGCCCATTCGGCCTTAGGCCTCATGGGCTATTGACTCAGAGCCCATTCGGGCTCGAGGAATAATTGTTAAATATACACGTATGTATGTTGCAATTTATTTACGCTACTTTAAAGAATACGTATTTGTACGTGTGGCCCTCCTCCGTCTCTACAACACACACCTACAACAATCGTATAGAAAGTGTCACTTAATTATTGGTTAATGAGTCAGCGATCAAATGAAAAGATACGTTGCTCGAGGCGCAGCCTTTAGCCAAGAGGTCTAATTAAATCAGTAAAAGAGGTTTACTGCGCTTTTCACAAACATGCGAATTCTGAAGTTTAAAAGCCAACTGACGATTGCATTTTTCGCTGCCGTCAATCATCTTAACAGACCTCTTAGGAAACAACACTTTACTTTAACGGGTTCAAAAGGTCATGGTTTGTGATTGGTGGATTTCGATCCGCTTAGTGTGTTTCTGTGTTTCAAGGCTCGTTGCTTGTGATCGTAATTATGATTGACGGGAGCGAAAAATGCAGTTGTGAAGGCAACTTTTGAACTTTGTGAAAAGCGCAGTAAAGAGCTGCGAGGCTACTGAATCCTTCGGGTTTTTGCTTTCTTGTGCAAACTAGGACTTCTTTTATTTAAACCTCACCGGAATTACAGGTTGTTTACCATCTACTAAACGTTTCCCGGAAAATCCAGTTGGAGAGTAAATGGAACACGACTTTAACCTTTAGTCGCATGCCACTCTTTTGGCGGGAAATGGTTTAGCACCCACGTCTTTTGTTGTTGTTGTTGTTGTTGTTGTTGTTGTTATAGTCTTAATATTATTATTTTTCTTTTCGGCAGGAATTGAAAAATCGCATGATAGATAGATTAAATATATGGAAGCTTAAATGTGTTTTTGTAAAGATAGGAGCCCAATTGTTCGAACGCCGGTTAGCGCTACCCCAGGGTTAAATTTTAACCCGGGTTTCTTTTTCTTATTATCAAAAGCACTCTCTCAGATAATTTTTTTTCTATTATTTTTAGAGTTCCCAGTCATCAAATTGCAAAGAGAATTAAATTGAATTTGCTGTTTAAGCTCTTATATCTGCAGGGCCGTACCTAGGATTTTTTGTCTGCGGGGGCAAACTCGGTTTTCGTGAGATTTCGGACCAATATAGCTACAAGAAACAGCCCAGCAAAATCAGACACTATGTTAGAAAAAAAAAACCCTGGTTTAGCTTACGGCCCTGATCTGAGTTCAAATTTCGCACAAACCCTGGGTTAGCTTAACCCAGATTTGAACATCCCGACCATGAAGTGACAATGCTGGGGCTCTTCTTTTCGGTTCGGGTTCAATTCGTTTGATTTTTCATAAAAGGGCAGGCTTACGGGAACAAAAACACTGAACGGTTTTAACTTAGCACTAAAAAACTATTTCAAATAAATTCACTTTTGAGGCATACCTGTGCAGGTGTGCCACCAAGCCCTGCGCTGTTTCCTGAGCTAGCCGTACCAGTAGTCCATGTTAGCTTATCATAATTGAAGATGACAAACGAATTTCTACCGTTTGTAACAAGTACTGCTTGGAACGTGTTTCTCTGGAATGTAGGAGCCAGGAAGAAGGTAAAATAACGCAAGTTAATAGCAGCACTCTTACTATGAACATACAGTCAAACCCTGTTAATACGGACCCTGAGGGCGCCATAAAAAGTGTCCGTGTGAACGGGGTGTCCTTATTTAGCGGGTTATATTTAGAGAAAATATACAGCGTGTAAGGGCTTTTTTCCCCAGGGACAAAGCAAACTGTCCGTAATGTCGAACAAGTTAAGGCCAAATTATACGTAGCCTTTCCAGGCTCCGAGATAGTCGGGCCCGCGTGAGAAAGCCCCCATTTTCGCGCGCCCTACACTTTCGCGTGTTCCCCACTCTTTGGCGCTTTCCCCACTATCTGAGAGCCTGGAACAGGCTAAATTAAGCGAGGCTAACAAATGCTTGTTTGTATTAAGGGGATTAAGTAGAGAGGGCTATGTGCTCTCTAAATTGACCTATGGACTCTCGAGTTATGGTGCTAGCAAGGCTTATCTTGTTGTTATGGATTACAACTCCGAAAAATTAAGTATTTATGATCTTTTGAAACAATCTGACAGAAAGCTCTGCGATAAAATTAGCAAGGAAAAACACCATCCGTTATATTCTATCTTACCGAATGTAAGGGGCTCTTATCAAAGGCTTCCAAGAAAGACATTTCAACCTGACCTTAAGTTAAAACCGAGCTAGGCTATGCTAATTTATAAATATGACATTACTTTAAATGTAATTTTTAATTTAACTTTTTTTTATGACTTTGGTAACTTTCGAAATGTATTTTATCGATTGAATTAGGATGATGATGATGATGATTATAATTATTATTATTATTATTATTATTACTGTTTTTACGTGCACAATTTCATTCCAACTTGCTTCTGTGCCTCACAAAAAGATGATTTTATAGGAAAATTCATTACGTGACTCGTGAATTCCACGTTAAATTGCACGCGAAAACCGATATCGCACGAATCTCGAAGCAATGACTGTGATATCGGTTTTCAAGTGCAATTTAACGTGGAATTCACGAGTCAGGTAATGGTTTTCCTTGAATCGCATAATTGAATAAAAATCAGAATAAAAAGAAAACAGCGATAATATTGTTTGTTTTAATCCTGAGCGCGCGCTCCAGAAAGCCATTTCAAAGTCAACTGTTAGAACTGTCACTGCGTTAGCGAATAGGAGGCAACGTCAGTCGTACACGTTTGAACCTTCGACAGCTTTTTTTGTACTTGTGCTTGTTTTTACATTTGCTTTCAAACTTTTTTACTGGTAAACAAGCTTCACACTAATCGTAAGGGAAAATAGAGGTATTTCACTGAATTTACAAGCCGTTTATCTATAACATCTTTTTTTCAAATTGGTCATTTGTTAGCGAAGGAATATACACCTTTTACCTCTTCGGCGGCAAAACTGAAAGAACTGAAGTGTCCAAGCGAAAGCACTGAAAGTTTAACGTCGCGATTGATATAAGGTAAGTACCTTGAAATGTTTTAGAAATGCTACTCAAGTTCAGCTCTGTTTTGGACTTTTCTAGGTACCACGATTCAGGACGATTGCAAGCGGCGTACTCTTTTTCGTGTTTTCGGCTGTGTTTTCGACCCTGGTACTTCCTCCGTTGTCGCTTCTCTGTTTTGTGTGGTTGAACTTGGCTTGCCATTTTCTGGGCCGTGTTCACACGATTTTCTTGTTTTCTCGTTGTCGCGAGCGAAAGAGGTTTTTAATGCCTCTCCGAGAATTTGTAGTTCAGTTCAAAACAAGGAAGAACCTCCGCCTCACTTTAAAAAACGCTTTTGTTTGTTTTTAACTCTTCAAAAGGTGACAATGGTTTTGAAAACATTTTAAAATGACATTGTAGAAAACCTTTTTTTGTAGTTGTTGTGTTAGAATTTGACGATGGTTGTTAGTACGTATGTAGATGCGAAACAATATCACTTAGCCTCGTTTTCAACTCGCAATTCCACACTAAATACCTCTCTTCCTTAACCAATCAGAATGGGAGATTTTACTCAATTATGCGATTCTTCATATAATTTTTATTACTGTAGTTGATTTCTCAATAACAATACCTTGCTACTGTAATTCCCTCTAGCGCCATAAAAAGCCACTTCATACCAGGTTGCAATTAACAACCACGCAGCTCTAAACGATTTGCATCTCACATAAATGGTTGTAACATCAGAAGTTGCTCTCTTGAGAAGGCTTGGATCCCAAGTCTCGCGGTAGAATACCTCTCCGGCTACTCTAGCATCTACATCAGCCCAGAATGGTGCCACCAGTCGACGCCTATCGCCGAGAGGAAACCTATCTGGTGTATACTGGTAAACGTTGGTCAGAAATGAAATCACTCCATTGGTGTTGATCTAAAAATGAGAAACTTCACTTAGCAGACAAAGATAGTATTTTCAGGAAACAGTGTTTCCTAAACGTTTTCCCAACCTCGTTCCCAGGTTCTCCCTCCTACTTGTCTCTCTCTTGGTAGGAGAGAACCCTGGGAACAAGGTTGAAAGTTTCAGTTAACAGGCAAGATGATGACTCACGCTGAGTCTAGTTTGAGGCTAAAACATGCTCTCCTACGCTCCAAAGAAACTCTTTGAGATTTATGTATGGGGAATTTACTGACCATTCCTCTTTGGAAATATTTTGTACACCATGTCTTTTTTTTTCCTAAATAGCTGTGTGAAATGGTGTTCCACTTGAACAAAATTCATTTTACACCTTGCACATCTAGTTGCGGGCGTCAAGAGGAGCCGGCAACCCTAATCTCCAGGTTGTTTTTGCGCATGCGTTGCATGTATGTAGACAGCGTTCGTTTGGACTTCCACTAAGAACGAATGGAATGCACATAACGAAATTTGATCACGCGTGTTTTGACCATCTTTCACGTGAAACTTACCCAAAGCACAGCGTTGTAGCAAAAGCGTTTTGACCTTCGATTGCTGTTGCTCGCACTCCGTAACCTTTGGTTACTACTAGTTATACGTCTAGAGCGAAAACGTTTCATCTTTAGTGGTTGCTTGATTTTTCGATTTATGACCAAGATGCTTTTAGCATGTGAACAGGCTCTCTGTTTGGGGAAGGGTGAAAAAAATCGTTTTTTTTTTTTTTCACCCTTTCCCCAAACAGAGAGCCTGGGTCTCCATCTCCAATACGAGTCAGTTAAATTACTCTGCTAGAGTAATCGCCCTGTTGTCATAAAATGAAGCTCCGACACCCCGAGGCCTGTTATTTCACTCCAGAAGGTCGCAGGAGGACACCTTAGGCTCATTGTTATGCACTTTTTTAAAGCATATGCACGAAGTGCAATGACTGACATCGACAAGTATATGAGATATTCATAACTGGATAAAACATGGGCGCGGGATTTAAAGACGGTTCACGCGCACGATGGTGCCTTGTGGCACGAAGACTGCGAATAATATTTATTCAAAAGCAACAAAAGGGCTCTAAAAGGTAATAGTCCTTGTTTTCAGTGATTTTTAAAGAAATAAAAATGAGCAAAACTCTTCTCCTAAAAAGTACAATATCCTCAATTGTATTTTTAAAAACACCTGTTGTTTTCAACCCATTGTTCTTTCTGATCTCAAAACTGAAGCGTGGAATGCGCGGAATAGACCAATTTTGACATATTAGAATTCAAACCGATGCTTGGGGGAGTAAAACAAAAGAAATGTATTATTCATTGCTGAGCTAAGATGATTTCTTTTGTTTTATTCCCCCAAGCCTCGGTGCCAAGTCTGAATTTTAGTAAATCGTTTTCCGATGATTTTGTGTCTAAGACCCTGTTTACATGGAGTGGGGGACCCCGGTCTAGTGGGGTAACTTTCTATTGTTTTGTGTCCCCCAGAGCGTGACAACAAAAGAAAGCAACCCCACTAGACCGGGGTCCCCCACTCCATGTAAACAGGCCCTAAGAATTCAGCGCAGATACAGAACTTCACAATAAGCTGGCACTTCAGAAAGGTTAACTTGGTAGTGTGTAGTGTGTCGTGACAGAAATGGAATTCCCGCAAAAGAGCGCTTTTCCAAAAAAGGTTATCGGGCATTCAGTAATTTCAGGGATGACAGAAACTTGAGGTTTTGACCGATCATTTATTGATAAAACACAGAGTGCTGTCTCCTATTTCCATCCTCAAACTTGGACACAAAAATCACGTTTTGCCAATTTGGCGCTACTGCGGCTTAAAGCATTCTCATTTGCGCAAGGAAATCAAGGCATGGGTGTTTTTCAAGGTAAAAAAATATGTAAATTAAGTCACGTGACCTTTAACGGCATTTTGCGCGAGAAAAACTTAAATTAGAAATGGCACCATTTTATAATAGCAGTCAATCAAAGAAATTGCAACCAAACATGTCCGTAGATGAACGACTAGACATCTGTGCCCGGGCTTTGTTGAATAATTTACTGCAAGTGTGCAAATAAATGGAATTTCGCTCTAGTACCCAGTCCCCTTATCAAATGATTTTTGAATTTCGGTGCTGTCTAAAATATTAAGTTAAAAGGCCCGGACACAGAAATGATGTACCCACTAGTCTCATAACTATGACGATAACTGCAGCTTCCAGAAAGAAATTAAAAATGGTGCCATATTGCCAAAAATATTTTTGTACTAAAAATAGCCTTAATAGGTCACGTGACAATTAGTGACTCCAATCATTATTCAAAGTTATTAAACTTATACCCAGGAAGTTTGTCTTTAAGTTATTTTTCGCTACATCGAAAGCTCAAGAAATTAGACCACCCCCTGTTTTTGAGAATTAAATAGAAGATCCATGCCTTAATTCCTAAAAAGCAACCACCATTAAAAAAAAAACAACTCTCCCAAACTTCCATTACTCCTTAATGTCTCCGCAAAATTTTATCTTAATCGGCCCAAAAACAGCCGAGAGATAAGCGTTTAAAATGATGTAGCGCCAGCGAAATTTTGCCTTATGAATTTATTTTAAGCATGGATAAAATTATTGTCCACTGGCGGGACAAATAACTTGTCGATTGGAAAAATGCACCCTTAAAGCGGAAAGAGTAACATGGCGGAAACATAGAAACCAGCGTTATACACTTGGGTGTACCCCGCGTGTTATAGCCCGTTACTCATGTTTACAACTCTCGTTCTAGTCTTTCTGGAAGCAACGAGTGGACTAGCGTACCGCTACACGCGTTAACATTAAAATTCATTTTCAATCTCAAACCCAAATAGTTAAAATCTGCGCCTAACTCTTGATAAAAAAAAGGGCCAATAAACGTATTTTTGGCGCACCACAAACTCACACAACTTCAAGGCGGTGGCTAGTAAGCATGTAATGAGGTAGAGTTTCGCCACTTATGTCCGGGTTTGCACGCAGCAGCAGAAATTGCGATATCTCCAAGGTGATCGCAGCTAGGGTTAAAAAGGTGTTACCCAGTATCATTCACTACACAATCAGACCGGTTATGTTAAATATCGTTTTAACAGTGAAGCAATACGTTCTATTTTCGTTATTATGGATTTCACAGCTAAGGAAAACATCCCTGGTTTATTGCTGTTCATAGATTTTCAAAAAGCTTTTGATAGTGTGGAATGGGAATTTCTCATCGAGAGTCTTAAAAAGTTTAACTTTGGTGGAGACTTCCTTCATTGGGTGACAACAACATTCAAAGCTGTGTTATAAACAACATATGTGGTGGGTGACAACATTTTTTATGTTAAGAAAGGGAAATCAAAGGATAATTTTACTACACCCTTCTGATCAGAGGAAAAGCTAAACCGCCCAATATTATTGTATGTACTTTCTGCGACAATCAACCCGAATCAAACCCATTTGTTCTATCACTGCTCACGTTCTAAACAGTTTTGGATTGAACTTGAATCAGGTGCCTTATTTCGAATCGACGAATTCGTCTCTGCTTAGAAAATGTGCTCTTTGGAATTTTCACGGAAAATGCTTGCCCTTTACTTCAATTGCTGAACTATTTTATAATCATTGGAAAACTCTATTTTTGGGACATGTCCACAGTAGGAGCAAACAAATCCTTCCAAACATGATACATTTAGGGTGATCATCGCTAAATATGAAACAGAAAAAAAAAATAGCAACTAAGAATTCTTTAAAAGAAAGTGGATACTGGCGTAATATTTAAGTGAACTGTCTTAACTCAGTATTATTTAATTGCCCTGTTGTACTTTTTTCTAATTTCTTTTAGCCCTGTAATAATTTTCAATTAATTATGCTCTGTTAATGTCTATTATTAAACTGTTTTTTTTGCAGTATTGTAAATGTACTTATCTAATGTGATTATCACTAAATATGTTATAAAAAATTGCTATTTCTTTAAACACTTGCAGTTTAAAGTGGCCCTTTGGGCCCATCCTACGAGAAATTCTTGAAGTTTAAGGATCAAGGGCTCTTGGGTTCAAATAACACGTCTGGAACGTTTGAGTAGAGTTGTCGCGGTTGTCGGTTTGTGTATGTTGTTCGCCCGGATCATATTTAAACGATTTTGTAGTTGCACCGAGGCTGAGGCCCTGGAGGTCTAAATTTATATTATGTAACGAGACTGCCCGCAATGTATGGTTGCGTTCTTCGTTTTCGCAACAACCTTCTATGGTCGGAGCAGTAATGTTAGGAGCCAATTAACTAGTTCCGTCATAAGCAGGTTTAAGGCCGTCCGTTTTCTCATCAGCTAATAGTCGATTTCCGTACATCGCAGAAAATGAGCGATCTTCTTGCGCGTAATCACGGGTACATTGAATTACATAGACTTTCTCAAAGTCCGTTTCCATTCTCTGCCGTTTTTAATCGTAACGTTCTCCCTGTGTTAAGTGACATCCCGGTACTTCTTATTGAAGTTTTACTTTGATTTTCTACCACACGCTTTACCTTGAAACAGAAAATCACTCCTTGCCTAGTAGTTAATTTTCTGCAATGTCTTCGTTCCGCTCGAAACCGTGTTTGGAGAAAATCAAACATTACAAATTGAACGCCGATGAACAACGAAAAGTTCATATTACAGGTGTCGCTTACGAAGTCCGAGCGCGTTTCTCATATAACTTAAAAGTTTTTAGTATTGACAATGTAAAACAAATATTATAAACTTTCCCCATTATAATTGAACTATGAGAGCGAATGAGGCAGTCGTGAAACAAATCAATACTTACGAACAGTGAGTCGTGTTCTTGACCAAAGAATGGAAACGGGAACGATATGGAAACTTCTCCTGAGCTTCCGTCGTCATTAGGGGTAACAACTTTATCACCTTCGCTTTCCCCAAAAGGATAAAAATTCCCAAGTTTCATTGCCTCCAAAACGCCAAAGTCACCCCAACTGAAAAGCAGAAGCGGCGCTAACAGTTTTAAAAAATTAAATTTCATGTTGAATTATAGCGGGCCTGACTTTCGGTGGTTATTCCCAGACTTTCTAGACCGCCCTGGGTCTATCAAACAAGCCGATCGATCGGTACGAAGAAGGAACCGTCATGGATGGACTAGCGTAAACGGATCACGCGACAAAAGAATGCTGCTATTGTCTAACGATTATATCTGGCACATGCAGCGAGTTCAAGGTCACGACAAGGTGTCACTTTTGTATAAACAAAAACAGTATTCGATCTCGATTTAAACATAAAATCATCTCGGGAATTCACAAAAGAGAATCATAAAAATCGTTTCTGGTCCGCTGGGCTTCCGTCGCTATTTGAGAAAAAACAATTGCAAATACAGCTGCATGATATAAGCTGTATGCTTTGTGTCCTATCTTTGATTCCTTTGTACGAGTTGTTTCTGTACACAACTTCCGCTTACAGATCCAGTGACTTCACCCGACCCCTTCTCTCCCCACCCCCTGCTCAACCCCTCGTTACTCGTTTGGATGGTCCAACATATCCCATTTATCTGTGGTTTGTTTTCTTTTATCGGAATTAAAACACAAGCTCTTTTAAACTTTGTAGTGCAGTAATTGAACGTTATGGGCCAAACTCAGACCAACTTCACATTGGCTGGCCTAGGGCTTTCCACAAGTTGCTCGAGATTTCTCAAAAAGTTTCCTGCAATTTCTGCGAAAAGTTGCTTTAAATATCCTAAAAAAAGGTCAAAAGTTGCTTTTTGTGGCGATCGAAGTTCCTTAAAATTTGCTAAAAAACAAAAACTTTTTGTAACCCTCTTACTTTATTCGATCTGAAGCAAAAATATGCAAATTTCTAAAACAAAATGAAGGATTTCAAAGCATTTTTGTACAATTTTGGGGCGTTGCTGATTGGAGGATAACTTTGTCCTCAATTGAAACCAAGAAATTTCTGAGTAAAGACCCCGGGGGGGGGGGGTACTAGGGATTTCAAGTGACGGGGATGATCGAATGGAGCCAAAAGTCAAGACCCAAAAAAATCCCTAGGGCTTCCAGCAAAACCCAAAAAAAGCCCTGGACCAAAAATTAACCCCAAAAAAATCCCATGCCGAACACGTGTGATGTAAATCGACACCATAGTTAACTATTAAACAGGGACAGTAACAACAGCGAAACACGTTTGTTCGTACTTTATTCGCAGAACTACGCAGCCAGGGTACTACCGATTCTTTTTGATACCCCCAAAAAATCCCTACTCAAATCAAGCTACCAAAAAAATACTTGCCAAATTTTCGAACCCAAAAAAATCCCGGAATCGAAAATTTCAAACCCAAAAAAATCCTTCCATCATCCCTGTCACTTGAAATCCCGAGTACCCCCCCCTAGGGTAAAGACTACACATTAATATCAGGAGCCCATGGTCTTATAGTCATCCTGTCAATAACAAAATTAATCATGTAAAAATCCTAGTATGGGCCAATAAAATTGTTGAATGACCTTCTTCACCTGAGACAGGCTTGGTCTGCCATTTTGAATTTTTCCTATACTACCGCTGACCATTGTAGCAGCTCGGCTGCACGCATCTTGCGCCCATGATCTGCCCCAGGAAGGAGGATTTGGCTCCTTTTTCACAGGAAATTCATAATTGTCTACTTAGCATTGTAAATGTTAGTAAGAAAGACCAATTTAAGCTCTAAAGGCTCTTCCGATATATCAGAATTGCTAAAAAAAAAACTAGAGAAAATGCGCAGAATGCTGGAATGCAAAAAAGTTGCTCGAAAAACGGGAAGTTCCGAAAAAGTTGCCGAGCAGCTTGTGAAAAGCGGCCTAGCCGCTGGCCCGGTTACCGGGACCAGTTTCGCTTCAGCGTTCATATGAGAAATTTCTGCCCGGTTTCCGAGATCAAAAAAGGCCACTGAGGATCCTGGGGACGAGTTCTGGCTCGAAAGAGAAAAAGCAAACATGGCGAAACGCAAAAATTATAACTTTCGCGCCTATCATAGCTTTGGCATATCATTGCGGTACTGTACAATGCTTATGATGAGGAAAATACCGCAGGCAATGCAAGACGATGCCATCTGGACCGCCGGAATTCATCCCGCTTTCATCCCGGTAACTGGGCTAAAGTGTTTTAAAATGTGGTAAAATTTTCAGCCCGCTTACCGACATCCCGGTTGCAAAAACCGAGACCTTGGGAACTGAGACAGCCCACTCTCATATGAACACATCAAAAATTTTACAAAGAATTTAGAGGCAAGGCGAGATCTCGGAAACCGGACTCATGCGAAGAAGCCCTTAGTCGTATATGTTTTCGCCAACCCTTCGGTTTGGGACGGCTTGTTTCCATATGGAATCTCGGTGAACGGGAGTTTAGATTTAAAGTGTTACGAAAAACGTCATTAACTTATATTTCTCTCTGGACTTCATTGATCGCTTTCCAGTTTTCATGGACGCTTTTATGAACGCTAGTTTTGATTAACAGTGAAATTCTCGTTACGACGGGAATGGTCGGCAGGACGGTTCTGACAAATGGAAGGCGCCCTAAGTCCTGTTAGTCTTTGAGTGAAACTCACGACTGGCAAATTCGCGAGAAAACGCAGGCGTAAAGCCTTTATTTACATACATACTGATAAATACTCTCCAAAAAACTATGTCGTAAATTTAAATACTCAAATGAGTTTTAGCCAATCAGAGGAGCGAACGATGTTTATTTCACGTGTGAGAAAAATGATACGTCCAATCAGAAGTCACAGAGGTCTGTGAGTCTCCCGCCAAAATTTCCGCCTTTTATAGGCGCCTGAAGCTTACAGCGCCCTCAAATCCCTGTAGCCTCCCCAATCCATAAATTGTGAATTATCCCTGATAATATGAATAAAATGATCCTGTGCTGAATTGCATTCGAATTAAACAAAACAGAATCTTCGTGCTGCAAAACTAAAAAACAAACGAAGAAAACCATGGAAAGAACGAAAGGAGAAAGGGAAGAAAAACGACCCAACTTTCTCTGACTTCTGTTGAAAAAGAATTTTTTAAACGATTTCAAAGGAGCGTCAACTTTTTGCAAGCAATGGGAGCAAGCCATGCCGGTTCCTTACAACCAATGTAATAATGAAAGGTGTGTGAAATACATTTGAGACAGCCGAAACCTATATCTCACGCTTACACCTTCGACTCGTCCCCTCTAAACCTTTCCTCCTCGCACCGGGATCATTGCAATTTGCATTAAGTCTCACATTCTGTCAGATTTGAGCCAATCATAAGCGAAGAAATATTTTGAATAAATAATAAGCTTTAATTTCAGTTCACCTTTTAGGAAGAAGGTAGAATTCACCATTGAGGCTTGATTTTCTTTTTTTTTTTCAGGATCTTTTACATTTTTCTACCTTTCTGTACAATTTTGGGGAATCATCGGTATCCAGACAAAACTTAAACGAAACGTTTCGATTCTTTGTACCAACCTTTTAAACAGTAATAAAAACCTGTAGGGGTTTAGCAGCCTACATTCCTACTCTTTCTCGACGAAGGGAATAATGAATTTTAATTATTTGCCTGTATCTCCTTAAATTGAACATATGTTTTTTGTTTCTTTGTTCCTTTGTTTGGTTTTGGTTTTTTGTTTTTCTATCGATACATAAAAAAATTCACAATTCAGTTAGAAAACAGAAGCCGTGATAAAACAACCGAGGGCCGAAATTTTGATAACAGGGCTCTCGTGTAAATTGTCATCACAGTTCAAAGGGTTAGCGTTTGACGTTTGGCGCAACCGGTTTAAATTAAGTTGAGACTAATTTCGATACTCAACGGTAGAATGAGACTTCGAAACACAAGAATGCTAGATTCAGAAACTTCTTTTAAGAGGGTCCCCAATACGTTTCTCGGGATCCGGGATTCCCCTTATTTGAAGCTCGGGATTTGGGGTTTTAAAGCAAAATCGGGTCGAAATTCGGGATTGAAAGTATGTGCGGGAGGTAGGGTGTCAAAAATAACCCCTGGGATTACGGGATTGAAGATCCCTAATGGGGACCCACTTTTAAGGCTGCAGCTGGGTACACTAGAAGTAGACTCAAATCTCCATATCTGTAATTGTCACGTGAAGAGACAACTCAAATTAGCCTCTCAATACACCTCAATCTCCAACTGACCCGTAATATAATGACGTTCTTACATGTTTTGAGCCTTTTGGTCATTGGTTTTACCATCACCTTTGGCACCGTGATATTACCAGGGAAACCAGCACCTTTAATCTGCTTCTGGAAAGAGTGTGATGGATACGAATGGCGGAACGATTGGACCCCAGGCATCCCATCGGGTAGTTGTGTGAATCAGCGTCGTAACGGGCACCATGTATATGTAGATCGACAAGGCCCGTGGCGTAAGTGGTGCCCTTCTCCGATATACTGCCTACCTACCGAGCAACACAGGAAAAAGTGTAAGAACTGTACTATATCTTAATGCTGTCTGAGTTTCCTTTGTTTACAACAGATTCCCTGAAACCCATGGGACGTGAATACATGTTCATATATGAAAGAGGTGTGAAATCGGGTCGCCATTCTCTAAGTTAAGTAGTTGGCGTTAATTCCTCGTCGTTCGTCTTTTGGATTTCTTAAGCTTTTTCAGTTTTCCGTGCGAAATTTCTACCTTAACCTCTCTTGAAAACAAAAACTGCTAGTTGCATGAGTTTACGATCAATCTTGCTCCTGCGGTTCAATTAATCAGGAGCACCCAACGTCAATTTTCGGGAAATATCTGTTCGGAAGACGATTTCAGATCTAGAATTTTCGGAACATTTGTCAGGTAAAATTTCTTGCTTGCCTGCCTGTCCTTGGATTTCGAACATCTAAAAAATGGTATAGTTGCCCATTTTTAACGGATTTTTGCTCTAAGAAGGTCACCAGGAATTTTCGGGAGCCTTTTTTGTAGCTGAAATTTTCGAAAAGGTCAGTTTTGATCCCTATAATTTTTGGATCACTAGACTGTCAGCTACGAAGTCCGTACAGATGAAAAATTTTTTGCGGAGGATGAAAATATGCCTGTATCTACCGTTTAAATACTAACGTACGTTTAACAATGCCATGTTTAAGTGGTTTTGAACTATTTTCTCGTTGGGTGCCCCTGATTAATTAGGGTCAATCTTGAAAACTAAAGTATTTATAAAGCTAATGCTGGGGCTATTCAACACTCAAAGAAGAAACACAATCACTTCGTTGACAATTTGATTAACGGACTAATTCTAAAAGATCACTTTACATACCATACTTGAATTAATTTGCAAACTTTGTTGCAACAGGTGAACAAACTTAGCGATTATTTCCATATACATGACTTCCAGCAGTAACCCGACAAAATCACTTACCCAGTCGATAGCTATAATCCAGTGGGTTTGATTCCCGGAGTCGGACCAAGACTCAGGGTCTTAAAATAACTTAGAAATGAAAAAGCTGTCTTTGCCCTGCAACCCTGACATGTCCTCAGTCTACTCGTTCTTTTTCGCTTTGCTCCTTCCCATCACCCCACGCGCTCCCTTATCACACTTCTCGAGTTCCGTACGTCCCCTGCGTGCGATCCAAATAGAGAGGACTGGGCACGAGTCAGCCGGTAACCCGCCGGACCCTCGAGTGATTCGGATGACCTTATAAAATAGTGGTCCCATCTCCAATAGAATAGTGTCCTCAATAAAGTACTTTTTTTCTCAGAACCCCACGTTTGGGCTTCAGAATTATAATTCTGTAGCTCGTAGAGTGTTCTCAATCTTGTTGCTGTTTGTTTCCATGTTCAATGACCCTTTGCTAATACCTGTACTCGAACGCACCGCAAAGGAACGAACTAACCACTCATTAATTGGTCTCAAAAGTGTATAAAGCGGTATAAAGCAACAACGCAGTGCCAATAAATTTAACTAGCCAGTTTGCTCTTAATGGCAATTCAAAGGTACATATTATCTTTACTGCTCAATTAACTATCTAGAGAACACAATCAAGTTCACAACTTTTTCCGACACCTCCCTAAAACGGACACCACGCAATGCAGCTATGGTCTCTGCTGTTCTCCAGTCATTTTATTTGACTCTTTATAAAAGGGCATCAATGAGGTGGTAGCTTTGAAGGTTGACGGTTATTATTTTCCAATTTTGACGGTTTGACGGTTAAATTTTAGAGCTTTTGACGGTTGACAGTTATTATTGTTTGCCTGAGAGTTAACGAAAATATAAATTTCTGTTTTAATTAATATATATTAACTGTTGTGTTTTTGAGGCTGCCTTGGCCTTTCACCTATGAAATTTCGAAATATTCTGAGATATAAGCAAGTTGCAAGCTTTTGTAATGTCAAGAGAGAGTGTTTTTGAGAAAATGGGAACTGGCTTTTCCAGTTAAGAAATTCTTCAGGAACCAAAGGTCCGTGAAGATCAGCTGAAATAGTGAGATTTGAAATATCTGGAAACTTGTTGATGGTTATTATTAACCTGCATTTTTGACGGTTGACGGTAAAAAATAACCTTTATCGACGGCTAACGGTTAAATTTTAGACCATTTGACGGCTGACGGTTAACCCCATTGCGAGCCTCTCAATATTGGATTCTGACTAAGCAGATTTTCTTTCAACAGGTGTGCAAACGGAAAGACAGCAATTTACATATAATGGCTTTTAGTCAATACAAACCTAACAAAACACTGACACGCGAGAGTGCTTTTCGATAACTTTACAGTTTGAGTTTAATGGCAATTTCATGCTTACTGATTCTTTTAAGCAGTCTTTTTCTTTCCGATGTATATGGTTTTTTCCCTTCTAAAACCTGCACTTGGAAGTACTGTAAAGGAACCGAGTGGAAAGACGATTGGATCCCTAGCATTCCCACTGGAAAGTGTATCAAGCAACACCGCAATGTTCATCTCTCGTATGGGTATAAGAAATTCAATTTCTTTTGTCCTCCTCCAATACCTTGTGTTCCTCAACCAACACAGTATAGGACAGTATGTAAGTAATCGGTATGTTATTTTATTCAAACACACAACTCTAGTGTTAATTCGATTGACTTTACATGAAGATGATTATGACAGCGCATTTAATAAGAACAATAATAATGAATTTATTACTTGTATTGCGCAAATTACATGCACATAAACATAGGATCAAATGCGCATTTGTGTACCTCAGTCAGTACACCGGCTTATCAGTTGTGTCAGTCATCCAGACTTAGTTACCATGACAACAGCAACTAATTCAGTTATCTATTAAATCAAAGCTTTGCGCAACGCGACCTATATCAAGTCTAATTTGATATTTTTAACACTTTTTCTAACGTTGAGATGAGGAATAGAATCCACCGAGACATTATTCCCACTAGACTATACTACTGCTTGTTAACTGGTAGTTATCACTTTGTTATCACTTTGACCTCTTTTCCGGCAGCCTCTACAATCAGCCGCTCATCATGTCTAAAACATTTTATTTTAGATGCAAACAAATCATCTTTTTACATTGTACGGTTTCACTTAAACAATTAAAAAAAAGAGAAGTAGAAGAATGAAATTTATAGATTTAATGTCGTAACTCTAACCTCTATTTTCAAACGTCCCCTTTAGAGAGTCTATCAGATGGCAATAACAGTATTAACACCGTCTTTTGTGGGGCTGCTTAATATACAGTGTATATATTTTTCTCCCCATCGGTCCTTAAAATCATGCGACTCAACCGGACCCATACACAGCAGAGACCTGTGTACGAAGAAATGGATCTACTCCAGAAACCCAGAAGATTTGAAGGATCACAAACTGCATTGCTGGTTTGCAGATGACGTAACGGTGGCCAGGTTGATTAACAATTATTCCTCGAGCCCGACTGGGCTCTGAGTCAATATCTTTTTACTCAGACGCCATGAGGGCGAGAGGAATAATTGTTTTTGTAAAATCCAACTAGTTGGTCAAAAATATCGAGACAAAAGAACTTTAGCTAGTAAAACGTGATTCAGCCGCCACTTTTTTGGTTTTCAAAGCCGGCGCTTTTCATTACTAGAAGACTATAACATTTTGCCTAGTAGTAGTTTCACCAATCAGAACGCAGCGTTGATAATAGACCACCAGTTTGATATTACTAATTGAAAATATCCGTTATAGTATGAACAGCAACGGCACAGAACTGAAACAACTTATTCCACACATCGAACATTTTATTGAGCCAGAACGGTTGCCCGAGAGGGTTTGTTGCATTAATTCCCATTCCTCACTCCTTAGTATTTACTTCCGTCTCAATGGATTCCAGTCCTTGCTCCTACGTATTTACTTCCGGTTCGGTCCGAATACCTTTTCGCGCCGCACCAAAGTGTGGCATAGAACCTATCTGATATGTGACGCTCCTCTTTCGAGATCAATGCAGCGCTGCTTCGCTCCGTTAGAAATGTGGTTTTCGAAGATCTATCCGGTTATGATGTAAACATAGCCTAAGGCGTATCCCTCCGTTGGGAACAAAACTCTTTTTTATGCAAATTCTGCGAAAAAAAAAAAATATGCCACTTGCACTTCTCCCATAGTGTACCTTATTGCTCCCCAAAATTTTGCATAAGTATTGTTTTCAATTTCTCTTGGGATGGCTGTAATACATAGAAGAAATGGAAAACAAAGGCTATGCAAAATGTTGGGGGGAAAATAAGGTGCATTGTGGGAGATGTGCAAGTGGCGTATTGTATTGTTTGTTCGACCAACATGGCTGCCTTGTCACGTAGTTGCAAACCAAGAATAGTATTGTTCAAATTGAAATTACGGAAAGTCAGCAGTGGTGTGAGAGTTTTTGAACGGTTGACGGAATTTAAATTTGTCAGGGGCCTTCATAAAATTGTGCACACCACTACAGAGTTAATGGTAAGTAGAATTTTCTTTGTAAGGGGTTCGGATTCGGTAAGGACAAGTCGTGATTCAAAGAACTGAAGAGCGCAAGAAAATTCAAGTTATACCAAGTTAAAAAGAAAATTTCTGGTCATTTTTTCATCACTTTGTTAATTCCATCTGTTTTCCTTTCAAAACGAGCGCCTTGAAGTTAGTGCTATTGAGACTTTTGAATGCATAAAAGAAATTTCATAGGTTGCTTGATTCGTACTTAGTAGAGATAGAGATGAAAATTTTTTAAAATAATAGCTGAAATCCCAGAGGCTTAGTATTGTTCTATCTCTTGTTTTCGTTAAGCAATAGATGTATGCATAATTAATTTATGAGGTTATAAGGAAATCTTGCCGATTAGGAAGTTGGGTATTCTCGATATTTCTGCGTTAAACTGTTAGCCGGATTCCCTCATGTTTCTCATACCGGAATTAGGCACAATAGACCATTTTACAGTTGTGGGCATAGTATCCTAGCCTTTGAGTGAACGTGAGGCGTAGGTTGACCTTGTTCTGACACAAACCTCTTTCCTTTTCTTATGGAAATTTTGCTGAAGAAATAATAGTTAGCATACCAACAACATGATTTACATAATAAAGCAGGAAGGGCTGTATTAAACCAAGGTCAACTCCAGCCTCGTTTGCACTTGTAACTGTAAAATGGGCTATTTACTTAAACATAAATTTTCATAAATATTTATAATATCAATAGTCATTTATGACACAAAACCAACACCTAGGCACTAAATGGTTCATTAGCTCTTGAACACCTTTGGTTTCCTCGTGGGTGCAATGTACATGGCACTCCTTCGACTCTTAAGCGTTCTCATTCTTGCTGCTGCATATAGCGTACGTGGCTTTATGCCGAGTCGTCCATGTACTATTAAAGAATGCCGTGGATATGAATGGAAAAATGACTGGACTCCAAACAATATCCCTACAGGAGAGTGTGTCAAGCAAACACGACCTGGTCATCCACTTTACACCTCCAAAACGATCTTCAGTCTTTACTGTCCGCCTTCAATACCATGCTTTGCTCATTTTCAACAGAGAACTAAATGTGAGTTCAAATAGATCGTAATAGCTAGACACTGTGTATTATTATCAGTAACAATCACTCCACTAATTAGCAACGTGTTCATAAGTTCAGCCATTTAATATGGTACATGCACAAAGAAACGAACCTTGTAACGTCTACGTCCCATATTTAAATTTAAAACGCCAATCAACCTGCACCAGTGTTTTATTAATTTTTAGATCTGACAAGACAGTAAATGTTTTTAAAAGTCCAAAAAGTTTCCCCGAAGTATTTCATTTCTATGGTAATGTATATTTCTCTTTTTAAAACGTGTCCACTGAAAAATGTCAACAAAAGAGGACAAAGTAACACAGGTTGGTTAAAGGCATAGATATGCAAATACATTTGTGACACTGAGGTACTGAGTAAGCTTTTACTTGCCTTCGCGTTGCCACGATCCAAAAGACATTTCCACGGTTAATAACCTTACAAGTGTATCGATAATTTACAGCTAGTGAAAGATGGTGAGAACTGTTTGTGACTTATTCTTTACTTAAGCAGGAGCATCTAGAAATTAATTATTTTCAGGCCATGCAGTGGTGTTTTCTTAGTGAAAGAACCTTCGCATTTAAAAACGAATTTTAGTCAGCTCCCATTTACAGGTTTTTGTCCTGTTTAGGCCGAACTCTTTTTTTGTCTTCTAAAAATAGTTATATTAATTTATTGATTTAGTTTTTCTTTTTCTTGAATTTTTATATTACCTCTTTGTTGATGAGCAAATTTGGATGATCGTTTGATTTAGAATCTCATTTTCATTCGTGTCGTTTGTACCACAGGCAGACCATTCGAACTGTTCGAGGTAACGGGATGTCAAGCGCGACATGTGATCCCATACATTTACTGTATTTCGTAACGCGCACACTCGATCGGTAAAAATGCTTCATAAAACACAGAATTGTGCACTTTTTGATCCCAAATGTTGATATAATGTAAGAAAAGTGAATCGAGATAACTTACCGTAGATTTTTAGTGTTGTGTTTTGCGTTTTTGTGGCGTTTTCAGTCGTATTTAGTCGGGGGTGTCAGTTTCAAGCGACTGAAAACGCATTAAAATCGCAGTACACGACACTAAAAACGTACGGTAAGTTATCTTTCATTTATTTATTTTTCTTACATTATATCAACATTTGGGATCAAAAGGTGCAAAATTCTGTGTTTTATGAAGCATTTCTACCAATCATTTGAAACAAGCCGAGTGTGGGCGTTACGAAATAAAGTAAATGTATGGGATCACCGTGTCGCGCGTGACATCACGATCCCTCGAACAGTTCGGATGGTTCGCCTGTGTTTGTACAAAATTTTTATTTTTGTTGATGTACCATGATCCGAGTGATCTCCAATCACTGGCCTGATCCGGATCAAATCATATGAACGCACCCTATATGTCTACACTATACCGATTATCTTTTAATGCCGAAATGAGAAGCTGTACGGTCGTACGGTTTAGTATGAACGACAACAGCACAGAACTGTCACAAGTCGTTCCAAAATATCAAACATTGCACCATTGTATTAACCATTGTACAGGAGCGTTCATTCGGAATATTTACTTCCGTCTCAGTGTTTAGCAGTACTTCGCACTACCCATTTACTTCCGCTACAGTTGGAATATCTGTTCATATATGTAACGAAGAGTTGTAAAAACAGCAAAAACCTATTCGATAAGTGACGCTTCGATTCACTTTCAAGATCGGCGCTGCGCTGCAGCTTTGCTCCCTTACAAAAATCGTACCGAAATCACCGTTCTTATGTGAGAACAGAGACCCTATCCGGTATGGTTTTCGTGTCGGCGTCATCCTTGGAGACCCAGGGGCAGATAGTGGGGGCGAGGGAAAGTCTGAACGGGCGGGAAAATATGGCACGAAGAAAAGTAAAGAACGGCAAGAAGAGCCCCTGGGGACAATGTCTTACCAGACCAGTTCCAAACGGTCGCCGCCGTTCTGACTTCTGATTGGTGCCAGAAAACTTTTGTGTTTTTCTGCCCAATCAGAAGGCAGAACGGCGGCGACCGTTTGGAACTGGTCTGGTAAGACGTTGTCCCCAGGGGCTCTTCTCGCCGTTGTTTACTTTTTTCGTGCCATATTTTTCCGCCCGTTTAGACTTGCCCTCGCCCCCACTATCTGCCCCTGGGTCTCCGAGGATGTGTCGGTGAAAGATTGAACGTTTGAAAAAGAAATTCAGCCCTGTAATTCCCGAAGCTGAATTCAAAACCTTTCCAGCTCCGTGCATGTAAAAGGAATTAGTGTTGCATATTTTTTTGTAATATCTACCAAACACGAGTGCTTGTCTCAACAACAAAAATGGGCAACGAAACTGGGTGAAAAAAGCTTCAACAAGATTGGGATACAGAATGCCGTTATAAGACCCCCATATAATGAACAACAAGATGTAGTGTTAAGTGCACTTACTCTCCTCCTCCCCTCCCGCATCCTCTTCCTCTCAACCACCCTCATCTCCAAGACACGGGCTCGGATCCCCAACGCGAAGCTTTCTTGTGGGCTGAATCCCTTATTCCTTTTCCCCTTGATTCCCCTAGTGATGTTAGTGGTGTGTAGAGGTAGCCTTGGGAAGACTTGAGTGTAATGACCTGGAGGTCTACACCTCCGACGGGAGAAATGCTTCTGGTGGTCACACTTGCCGGAAAGTTCGAGAGTCTTGTTTGAAGCCAAACACGCCATCAGAGGGCTCTAATGGCGTGAGATGATAAGTTAACGACGATGTTGTTGACATGATGATAATAATGATTTCAGGGAGGATGAGTACCAAATTAATATTATATCATTATTCATTTCAAAAGGCTACCGCCATCCATGACTAAATGTATGTGGACAAATGCCCACAACATACGTTCCACCATCTCTCCTTGATCATTAGGGTTACTTAAAGGCCAAACCGTTGTCATGCAGGAGACATTAAAAATTGGTGCCATGAAATACCGAGAAATTCCTGGTAATTTTGTGGTTGTTGAGAATCGCCCGTTACTGTACGTAGGCAGTAATTGTATGTCATTAAGCTTGCGGAATGTTGGTCCATCCGAAATTCGCACCCGCACAACCTTAGCTTGCTGTACTCAGATTGGTCCGTTGGCTACTTTTACTGTCTATTCGCAGTCGCTTCAGATTGGTTTCACTCATCAAACTAAGACGAGCTAGGACTACAACATGCGTATCAGTTCCGACTAGCCACACAGGCAAAATTTGAATTCACTGCACATTTTTTAAGGGTCAGTGGGGAAGATCGCTGTGCCATAACCTGTGAAAAATTGTCGTTGATTAAACTAAAATGGCAAAAATTTAGCTTTAATTAAAAGTTTCATCTTAAATCAAGAAATGTTTTCGCTTGTCATAAAAGTCAGGTTTATCGATAAACAGTAAAGATGCCGCCCTATAACTAATCTACTAAATACTAATTTATTCAGTCTTGAAGATTCACCAAGGTGATGATTCCTTGTGATATTCGTAAAGTTTACTAGCAGCTGTGCAAACTTATTTCAAAATATCCATTCCACAGCCTTCATTTATCGTCACAAAATTAAACTGACAGTACAGTACTTCGTCGAAAACTCTATCGTTGGGCCTTTATAAAAAGGCCATCATTTCTGAGGCAGTGAAAATCTTCGTACGCGGCAGAAAAAAATGGAGTTGTCTGAAATACTTGGCATCCTTGTTTTTGTAAACATTTTTAGTTCCGTGTTATCTTGTGGTGGTGGACCTAAACCATGTTCGTGGACAACGTGCCGTCACGAATGGAGAAACGATTGGAGTCCGGGTATTGCAACAGGACAATGCACACGGCAGCGACGCAATGCTCACCACATAACCCAATCCCATGGCGGCAAGGGGTCATGTCCCTCACCAACCCACTGCAGTCCGTCGACGCAATACCGAACGAAGTGTAAGTGTACAACGCGTGTAATTAACCTGGCTTGTCTACAATGTCAATGCGAAAAAACTCTGAGAGAATCTTATAGAACAAATTATATCCGCACTGAATTTTCTTTTTAGACGTTAGCAGCTATGAAGTGGAATAATCGGACATAATCGGAGTCAATGAGGCTCTGCCAAGTCAAGGAACAACCATCTTCGCTATTAGTTTTTCTGCCTGAATTTCGTAGTTCTTTTCCTTTGAAAACTAGAATGTTTTGGTAAGCAAAATGCTCGAAAATCTTTTTTTCGGTAAAACAAATTAGCACGCAAGAGAGTGTCAGAAGGAGCGGCAGCTTTAAGTGCCAAGCAACACAATGTCTCACAACATTCCCCTAACTAAAATATTCATGCAAGCTAAAATATAGGAAAAATTCATTTGTTAAAGGTTCTAAATTTGCAAAGAAAAGGAGAATGAGAAATCCTTCTTCCAGCACCAGTCAATATAGCCCTCACTTGAAGGCCTTTTTCCTCAAAAGTGTTACTAGGAAGAATGCTAAACTTTTCACTTACGAAAGAGGTGCAAGAGGCTCATATCTTGTGTCTATGCAATAGCATCAATCTGTATGGGACTGGGATTGACTCAAAGGACTGTTGAGCTGTGAGTTTTTTCAGCGGTTTTAAAAACTTCCCTATAAACCGGTCCATTCTTTCTTAGTATAAGGTGCAGATAGTTCCATTTTTTGAAGGAAAAAATAAATGAATAGCTACAACATTCATGCAGCCTTTTCGCAGATGTAATAACTTGTTGTTACAATTATTATCAATAAGATCACAACACGGATATTCGAAATTCCATGTACAAAACCTCAGTCACTCTTAGTTAATAGTCGGAGTCCCTTTAACTTCTTTAATATCTGCTGCTACACTGTATATCTGTTACAATTACCTCGCGTAATTGAAGATCAAAGAACGCCTTTATGCTAAGCCTGTACACAGACGTTGCTTTCTTTTACTTGTCCAAAATCGAAGAGCACTCGAGCGAAGGGAGCGCGCAAGAAAGAATAAGAAAGATTTTCATACGCGCCCTCGACGATCTCTAAAGAGAAAAATAGAGGCTCTGTGAACAGGCTACTTTATATTAAAAGTTTCTTGATCGGATAAGATGTATTACTCATCACTTGATCTGCCTTAAATTCATACCGCTTTAAAAGTTAATTAGTATGGGATATCAAGCACATTTAGCCCGGTTGCATTTTATTTCTAGGCCCATTATACGTTGATTTAGAAAACCGGTTTGAACACTGATTTACCTTATGTGCGTAAAAAAGAAGTGAATGATCTCAGACATTTTTTCCTTCAATGCCTTTTTTGCAAATTAACACATGTGAACACAAGTAAGTAAACACAACTGTGCTAGCGCTTATAATAAGGGAGGATTATTAACATGATTATAAACTTTAAAATTCACTTTCAGTTATTATACATGTATATTCTGCTTGCTGATCGAACTAGAAGTTTCAGATTTCGAAAATAGAGCAATAAAAAAATAAATCATACGATTATAGACGTTTTAACATTTAATCCCAAGTTAATGAAGCGAAATAAAGTGTAAAAGCAAACCGGAATGTTGGAGGCTACCGGCTGTGTTTAAATTAGTAGAGGTTTGTTTAAATGCGTCACGGTTAAGTTTGCGAAATAAGGTCATTAATTTGTACTGAAACAAAGCAATGAGCAGAGCTTGAAATTTTTCATAACAGCCGTCCTAACCTTGGGAGCTAATTAGGGACCTTAAGATCCGAGGACGACGACGGCAGAGAAAACGTCGCTGAAAAAGTGAATTCGCGTTCTTCAATCTTCATCGCGATTACTCCAAGTCACTAACTTTGACAAATGTAGGCGAACCCTCCTAAAGTTGAATTCCTAAGAATCATATTCAAGTTCAAAAAGAGAGATGAAATTTCGTCGTCGCTTGTGTACTTCCTCTGTACACCGTGAAATTAGGCATTTTCACGTCGTAATCGTGCAGCGACGGCAAAGAAATGTACAAAAAAGCGTGATGCGCGTGCAAAATTGTTGTTTTGCTAATTAAACCTATTGCTTTTGTGTTGTTCCCGTTGCCGTCGCCGTCGTCGGATCTTAAGGTCTCTGGGGACCTTAAGGAAGGCGACGGCAAAGAAAAGGTCGCTGATAAAGTGAATTCGCGTCCTTCCAATAATCTTCATCGCGATTACTCCAAGTCACTAACTTTGTCAGTCAAAGGTTGGTGAGCCCTCCTAAAGTTGAATTTTTAAGAACCGTATCCAAGTTCAGAAATAAAGAGGAAATTTGGTCGTGGCTTGTGTACTCCCTCTGTAAAACGTGAAATTAGGCATTCTCCCGTCGTAGTCGAGTAGTGACGGCAAAGAAATGTACAAAAAAGAGTGATGCAGGTGCAAAGTTGTTGTTTTGCTTTTTTGCTGTTCTCGTTGACGTCGCCGTCGTCATTGCTTTGCTAAGCTCCCTTTAATAATCTTTCTCTTATGACGTCAAATTGTTAATTACGACAAAGCAAAAATACTCGTTTTATCAAACGAGGCCGTCTAGGGTGATTTTGTGGTCCAGCGTTATCTTATTAACCCTTATGAAAATGTTGGATACCACCCCCTCCTCACCCTCCCCCAAATTGTTCCATTTTGTGGTCCAACGTTATCTTATTAACCCTTATGAAAATGTTGGATACCACCCCTCCTCACCCCCCAAATTGTTCCATTAGGAGAATTTATACACCGTAAAAGATTCAAAAGTCAGAGCAAATCCCCCTAAGATTATGACCGTGCGAAAAGTCCAAAACTAATTTCTTTTATTTTTGTCTTGATTCCATGCTTTGTGCCTCCATTTGCATTTGGTTCTCTTTGGCCAAAAGTTTTATTTCGGATGCACACACATACGGAGCAGAGCTTCCATATCTGCGGGAAAACATCTCATAAAACGGGTGTAAAAAACAAACTTGTCTGTTACAGAAAATCGATTATGGGAGTTCCTCAATATTGGTAATTAATGGCTCCTGTCTCTGCTTAAAATGCTTCAGGACTGAATTTTAAGCCAATGAATGGTTCATTCAACTGTCGACGCAACTGAGTTCATCTTTTCCTTTGACCTATTGTTGGAATAGTATCACTGTCTCATCCTTGCCGATATTTCATTGCAGGTTCTTGTAGAAATGCATATTACTGCCCTTTCCACGCCTGGTCTAGTTGGTCTGGTTCCGTCAGCGCGGGGACTTGTGGGAGGCAAAGTCGCTACCGAGACTACAATCAACACACACGTTACGATATAAGAGACAACAATTGTAACGGAATCTCAAGCTCATGCGGCTCACGGCAGTACAACTACAGGAATTGGTGTAAGTCTATAAGTTATTTTTAACATATAAATTTGGCCAAGGCTGGAAACGAAGCTCTCGTTAGTTAATTCATAATTTACTTCAAACAATAAGTTTGCATAGAAATCCACTTGGAGTTGAGCCTGCGATTTGTTGAAAACTAATAACTTGTCAGCAGATAACTTCAAAAAAACCGCAACCTCAATGGGTCGAAACCTGAGCCCGCGATACGATCATGTGATACTAGCCAGCAGATACCCTGTCAATTGATCAAAACATGGATGTGCAATATCAGGTCGCAAGCTCCCACTTTAGCTAAAAAGTGTAAGATTTCACATTGGTTGCCCCGTAGTGCAGACGGACGGGTGGACGGGCGGTCAGACGCACGTACGGTCACGTGACTACCAAAATTTCTCGGATGAAAGATAACCAAATTTTCTTAACTAAGGGGTTCTGCTGGAGCATGGAGCTCCACTATTAGTTATTTTAGTTCTTTACCACTTGCACAAAATTAAACTTGAACCGACGATCAAATGTCTGATCGACCAGTCAGCGGACAAAATAGAAAGTGAGCCTTGACCCGCAATCCGGTCATGTAACGTAATACAGGTCAGTAGATGTCCCATGCTGACAATAGACCCCTTGACCGGAGCTACTCATTCACGTTACACCCACGCCATACTGAAGAAAAAAGGACGCTCGGGGACAAGTCAAACAAAGAGCTCGCACCATTTTCAACTGGCAATTTTTCTTTGTTGGTCAGCCTACATGGCGGTTTGGTTCCACGTAAATGATAATGGCGCATTTCAGTTTGTGAAGCATCGTATGAGGTCTTGTCTTTTCTGTGTCTGGGTACATTTTCAGAATAGCTTACATGTGAGGAATGGACCTAAGTACGGTAACATCATAACCAAAAATGTACCCAATATTAAATGCGTCGGTTTATGGGTTTTTCACAGGTTCTTGCAGATACGCAAAATGCACCCTTGGAAGTTGGAGTTCATGGACAGATACTGCATCCCCTGTCAGTTCCGCCCACTGCGCATCTCAGAGAAGAACAAGAAGCTATTCTCTCTCCTGGCTATACACAGAAAGACTGGATAACTGTAATGGCATTCAACCGCAATCGTGCCCGTCTGCTCATGAAGAAACGAGAGAGAAGGGTAACAACAATCGATATAAGTCTTAACTATAATATGTAGAATATTTTCTCATATTTTCTTAAATTTACGAAACTTTATTACAAGTGGACTACTGTTGTTTTATCGTTTGTAAACATTTCCAAATACGTTTTCGAGAACTGTCGTTATAACTAGTTTGAGGAGCACTATAAAAAAAACAAGAATCGTCTCAGAGTTAGCCTGCGTACAGAAAGTAAAACATTTGTTTTTTTCTTCGCTTTTTCACTGATCTTAAGGAGATATGATGCAGTTCAAACACTTTCATTCTTTTTCTTTGATAACATGTCGCCGGTCCAGTAAATGGCAGCTAAAATGAAAACTTCCCTACATTCCTGGAAAATAAATTAAAATTTTTGTACTGACATTGTTTACATCGTGAAACACTGTCATAAATAACCTGAAGTAGCACTTTTTTCACGTAGTTGTCATGTGTCCTGCTCTGCCAAAACTGTCCCATGGAAGCTGGCATCGAGATGACTGCAATGCCAACTCACAAGTTTGTCGATCTGTTTGTTTACTGCGGTGTGACACAGTTAACGGCTTTAAACTCGAAGGTCCAGACAGGCGCGAGTGTCTGGCGACTGGTCAGTGGTCTACGCCGCCATGGAGTTCTTACTGCAAAGGTATTGTGTTTATTTACACGATCGCTCGACGTATATATTAGCCTGCGCGCAGACGAAATTAAACTCTGGTTAACTCCGTCTGCGAAAAAGGTTATCGCCAATCAGGTTGTCCGGTAATTCGTTGAGTCCGTTGGGGGCCCAGAACAAGGATCTCTGCGCTGCTTCGCAGACGGTACTAATCAGAGTTTAGTTATCGTCTGCACGCATTCTATCGACGTATATGTACGCTCTAAAGGCAACCCGCTTGCTGTTCTATGCCAAGGACAACGGTCTGAGATGTTGATACTTCTAGTAGTTAAGACGGGGATGTTGTCGCTTACACAAAAACGCAACTTTTGCCATATACTGTAATTAATTTCACAATAAGTGACAAGCGATGTCTTAGGTTACGTGTTCTAATGTCTCATATAACTATAAGATTTCGCGCGGTTTACGTTTAACATTACACCATATCTTGTGGGGAAGTCCACATACACCCATTGAAGGACTGCTGATAATCTTGCAGGTTGTTATTAGACATGGGTTATGCGCCAACAGCAAACACTAATTTATGTATAGTGTTCGACTCATTTTGCGGTTTCATCCATTAACAGAGAGGTAAATGATTAAGGTCTTTCCTCTTATTACCCTTAGATATACGCCCTCCATCCATCACTTGTCCTCAGCCCATTTTCGTCCCTACGGATCCCGGTAAACCTACGAAGAAGGTGTGCATCCCCGCGGCTACCGCCAGCGATAACAGTGGTGTGCCGCCGACAGTCACTAATAACGTAGGTGCACAGAGCAAAGAGTTTACTGTCAGTTCAACTCCACATGAAGTGAAATACACTGCTCGTGACGCTGTGGGACTGACTGCCACATGCACGCTACAAATAACTGTTTCAGGTAACAGTTTCAGTTAGTTTCAGTTATCATAGCAAACCGATTTACAAAAACAAGCGCTTCGGTGTTAATGATATTTTCGCACCATGTAAGGGAATCCAAGACAGTCTTCAATTCTGGATTACACGACGTGGATTCCGGATTCCAACCGTTAGTGGGATCAGTTTCCCAAATTCTGGAATCTGGGATCCTGACGTCACAACCGTGTTTACATACTCTTATGCAAACACGCCTCTCGGCCAATCAGAGCGCGCGTACTATCTTTATAAATACATCATGGACAGTGATGGAATGACTGTCGCGAAAGCGCTAGCTCACCTTATCTGTGATAAAGCACTAGCCTAAGACAACTGCTACTGATTGAATGAAGCAAGTTTTTAACCAATCAGAAGCACTACTCATGCAGATCTCCTGAACATTTGTTTCAATGGCTATTTGAAAGCAAGGCTTATTGTTGTACACTATAACGCCATGCTCTTACAATAGGCCATTTGCATGATGACGTCGTTTTACTAATACGACCAGAATCCTTCAGGGTTTTGCTTTCTTGTGCAAATTAGGGCTTTTGTTATTTAATCTCACTGAGATTACAAAATTTAAATATGAAAGGAAAAGCAAAAGGAGTAGTAGTAGTAGTAAAATGACCCCATCGTGCAAATGGCCTGTTCAACTGTTTCTGGTGATAGAGGTGCGCGTGTTTATTTGAGCACTTGGCGTTTATTGGAAAGGAGGAATGCGACCATATTTGATTTAATTCTGCTATCTGTGGCGTCAGTTATCTAGATCAGCGCTTGTTAGAACAAACCTTTCTGCGTTCTTTGCTTCTAGAGAGTTACTCTAAATTAATAGACTAATTGAAAGCATTACTGTCTTCCACGACAGACCAGGAACGGCCGCGTGTGGCCTCTTGTCCCACGGACATCAAGAAACAAACCAATAAGAACGAGATACGCGTCACTTGGGCCTATCCGGTGTTCGAAGACAACTTTGATCGGCCCCCAGTCCAACTGCGAATTACCAGTAACAGGAACCCTGGTGCTTTATTTCCCTGGGGGCGGTATCAAGTTCTGTACACGGCAAGTGATCGGGCAGGAAACAAGGCTACCTGTGAATTCTTCATAGAAGTTGGACGTAAGTTGAAATTCATTGGCCCGTGTGTGCGCGAGTTTATACATTGCACTAAAGGCCTCATCAGTATAGTCAAAAAGTCACACCATTCTGTGATTTTTATGAAAAAGAAGAAAATACATAAATTAATCATCTATAAGCTGCGAAGGATGCCAAAAAGCTGGCTGATCTGCCAAAAGCGCCAGTCAGTTCGCAGAGAGCCATGGCATGCCATCACAGCGCCCACCAGAGCCACATGCACCATACAAACCCTATTCCCCTTTATAAAGTCATCCTTCGCGATTACATTATGAATCCACATACTCAAGAATAAGCCAAGTTTCTAAGAAGATCACCCTCATGAATTTCTTCTATATGTTACTGACACTCACGTTTTCTTTTTAATAAAAAAGCTTGCTTTTTAATAATGGCCTTTGCATTATTACTTGGTAGAAAGATAAATTTTATTTCCTTTTATAATTTTAGCTGTCCCGTGCACTTATTTTGATGCTCCTGCATATGGCGTCAGATCTTGCAACAAAAAGACCATCAATTCAAACAATGTGGTTTACGAGATGATTTGCAATATACAATGTAAGCAGGGCTACTCTTTTGCGGACCCAGCGGCTGTCAATAACTACATGTGTCAATCTGACGGAACGTGGCATAAAGTCCTGCAGCCATTTGGTACTGTACCAGTCATTCCGAAAAGTCAGAAGCCGTGGCCAGACTGCGCACGTGAGTAAAGTGGCGCTAGGCTACAAAACAGCCCGTATTTTTGCTTAGGTTGCAAAACTGATTCTTGGGGAAAAACGACTGTTTGGCAGTCTAACTTGTGCCCCGAACGCAGACACCTTGGGATCCCTCATGGGATCAGGTGCCCGTTTCTCGAAAACCCGTCACGGCGATAATTACTGGAAAGGGCCCGGAAAGCTTGATTTGTCGTTAATGGTCAAGATCGTGGTTTCAATAGTTTTGCAGATAATAAGATAAAAATATCTGTGAGGAAAGTGAAAATCCACCAAGACAAACTCTAACAAAATCCTTAGAAACAATTAGTACAAGGCAAAAGTTCTACCAACAAAATGTCATTTGAATGGTAACACCACGGGATTTCATACACAGGTAAAAAGGTTTTTGTGAAAAATCATCTCACCATAACAAGGTCTCGCAGTGAAGGAGGTTAAGTTGTGTTTCTGCACAGGTAGTTATTGAAATGCAGAGTTTTCATTGCACTTTCACGTTGAAGTCGTGCAACGACGGCTAGGAAATGTACAAAAAAGCGTGATGCACGTGCAAAGTTGTTCTTTTGCTAACATAAAGTTATTGTTTTTTTGCCGTTCTCGTTGCCGTCGCCGTCGCCGTCGCCGTCGTCTTTGCTTAAACTCCCTAATGTGAAGAAGGGGCCGATATTAAGAGTGCATTGAACGCTTTAGGCACACATGGCCTTAGTTCCAAATGTTTATGGCACAGTTTTGGATCATTATAACATCTAGAAATCTACCCACCTACCCCTCCCCTAATCCACTGTTTTGCCCTGAGTAAGAAGTTAGTGTTAGCGTTGGGTATGGAAGGGTTAAGTGGGTAGCTTACTAGAATCTTGTGCTGGCTTAAACAGGCTTAAACTCTGCATTCCGATAAGGGTAACTGAGAAGCAGTGATTAAAACCCTTTTCTTCCATTCACAGCCGAGCAAAATGCAAATGCCGCTAAAAAGAACTTCACTTTCTACACTGGTTCGTGCTCTAATAACGAACAAGAAGCTTTGCAGCGGATCCGCATGAACTTTCTCAACGCAGTGATGAACAGTCCGATGGCTAAATATTTCCTGTGTGATGTCAGCCAGGGACAGGACTGCGTGGTAGAAAATGTCAAAGTGTACTGTGGTTCCAACTCAAGGAAGAGAACATTCGGTAACCAGAGAATCATCACGTTCGATTTTGTTATGAAGGACAAAAATATGTCGTCAGATGCGAAAGAAGAAGCAGCAAAGTATGTATCCATAGTAACGAAGATTCAAGGCATCATTAGCTATAACAAATATATTTTTGAAAAAAACATAGATATAACACGGGAGAAACGAAATAGTCACAAACGCGCAGAAGCCTCAACTAATGATTTGTATTTAAGTATTTTGTTTTTTCGGGCAGCCATCTTGTTTGATTTTCCGTTAGTCTCCTCTTCCCAATAAAATTTAGCCTGGGTGGCAGGAGCAGCCAGGGGAAGGGGGGAGGGAAGAGAGAGGGAGAGCTCGAAAGGAAAAATAAACTACTTTTTTTGACGAAATTCTTTCTTTCTTTCAAACCTTACGAGAGCGTAACTGTGTATCGAAATTCAAAATGACCGCCACAAACAACTACTCTCGATTAAGAAATTGTTGATTTTTTTATTTTGTCATCGTAGTTGGATGCCGGCTGTGCTAATGAACACTTTACTAAAGGGAAAAACAGTCCGATCGCTACTTTAAACTGAACTATCTTAAGTAAAGCCTAATGAACTTGGTTTTTATAAACATGACAACCAGCTCCCACTCACCCACCCTCCCACCTCTCGCGGGTGACTGAAGGTAGCCAAAAAGTAACAGATAATGCATCTGTAGTGTTAAAAAACGTAGCCTTTGAACAGGCTCTCTGTTTTGGGGAAAGGGTAAAAAAAAACACGAGGAGAGGGAAGGGACGCCCCACCCACACACTTACATAAATCAGTCGGCACAGCAGCGTCGTAATTACAAGAAGGCCAATACAGAAAATTTTCAGGTGTAATTCCCACGTCATTGTCTTGCTAATGTAAATTTCTTGATTCATAAACGGGAGCTCCTTTTTTAAAGTTCTCTTCAGCTCAAGAGAGGATAAATCATTCTCTCTTGGCATGTTATGCCTCGGAAAGTTTTACCTTTCCAAAGGTCCCATCTCAATTTGTGTCTTGCACTTTATCAGGTTAACGAAGATGATGTCGGATTTGGACACCTTAGCGAACTTCGTGAAAGATAACTTTCCACAAGATGCACATATGCCCGATCTGCAAGTGTCAGTGGCTCCAAGTAGTGTAGCATGTCCTGAAGGTAAAGTTATTATGGTGCTGCCTGGTAATGGCACGGAACTGGAAAGGACGAAATGCGGTAAGTTTCCAAGAGAATTAATAAAGACCTCTAGATTCTAAGACGAGTACGACTACGAGTATACGAGATTTTCTCAATAGAGACCTTAAGATACCCCGGTATCGGTGTACGGGTACGGGTAGTGTACCCGTACACGTAAAGTGTTCATGTGCGTGACTATTTCGATTAAGATACCCGAAGAACAAGCACGCAAAATGAACTTGGTACATGCATGTCGCTTAATGCATACAAAATCTCCCTCAAATTCTACACTTCATATCTTAACAACAAGCTGCAACAAATAATTGATTCATACATAAGCTTATTGAAATATCATGGAAAGATTTTAAGAAACTTGGCGGGAAGTCCCTCGACCGAAAGCTTGTTATCGCAAACCCCGCCATTTTGATCGAGGCACATCACCAAACAATTCCTTTGATTGTCAACTTCAACAGTGGCTCCCATGCTAAATATTTCAATGCTATTTCCTTTGCGAAACTCAAACCTTCGAGCAATTCTCAGAAATCCCCTCCAAATACCGCCACAAATTGATATCGTTTCAGAGTTCAACCTGCACATTTGAGGTCCAAAATCACTATACATTTTGAAGCGCTTTCTTTACAGCTAAAATTCAAATTTGGCAAAAATATTTGAACAGACTTTCAATAACATTGCCAAGAAGTCATACAATTTACATTTGTCCTTAAAAAGTCTTAAAAACTTACTCGCTTCTCCATCATGTAGGACTTGCAGCTACTCGTAACTCTTCTACGGGTAAACTGGTGTCTACCCCGGAAAAACGGCTGGTTCTACCGGGTAAGGTCGATGACGTCACCACAAAATGGAAAAAACATGGCGCTACCCGTTACCCGTACACCGATTTCGGGGTATCTTAAGGTCTCTAATACTAAGTAGCGCAAACGCGTGAGTCAGCGTCATTTTGGCGGGAAAATGTGGTAGCCGTCGTCACTCTACTACGACTTTTAGCGAAGTGGCGGAAACAAGTTATCAAATGTAAGTAGTTTTATCGTTTTGCCATCGGGAGAGGGTATAACCTCCTTCACTAAATTAAAGCTAACAGTGCTAACTTTTCTAGTGAAAATTAGTAAAATGAAGCTTTCCGCGGAGTCTATATTTTGAGAATACGCGAAAAAACTCTTAGTCAAATCTCGTACTCGTAATCGTCTTTGAATCTAAAGGTCTCTAACAACAAGATTCAAACACTACGGTACGTGTTGAAAATTGGTGATTTGCAAATCGCATCATTTAAGTGAATCCAAGACAATCTTGAATTCTGGATTCCACGATGTGTATTCCAGATTCCAGGTATAGATTTCGAATTCCTTGTCAGCGGAACAAGGAATCCAGACTCTAAAAGCCTGGATTCCGGATTCCACTAGCAAAAAATGTCCTGGGTTACGGAATCGGGATAGTTGCCTTACACCGGCTGATGCAAACACCAAGTTGTGAAAAAATAGTGGGGCGAAATCAAGAAGTGAGTTGAGCAAGGAGGCGAAGCAGTTGTCCCTTTCGTAAACGGTCGCTGCCATTTTTTAGCCTCGGAAAATTTTTGCCCCGCTGAGAAAGAAAATCGCAATCCAGGGTCGAACCCGAACCTCGAACCGGACCTTTCGTTTCCTAATCTCTCTCCTTTTAATACCACTACACTACCACACCGACCCGGCCGCTGAAACTTTGAAAAATCAAAGTACATAAACCAGCGAACGGTCTTAACTGATACATCAATAACAGATGACCCTAGTCCTTTCTAATACTATTTTAAAAAATTATTTGCCTTATCGCAACTTCATCCAGGGAATATAATGCATCTTTCATTACTAAAGGCTTGGTTACCAATGGTGGCATCGACCATTAAGAATGGCAACGACCGTGTACGAAAGGGAAATAGCTTTCCTAGTCACGGCCTGTACAGCGTTTTCCCAGTTCCTCTCGGTCAATTCACTTTGGTGACGCATCCCTGGCGAACGGGCGGGAAACGCCTCACATCTTTGCTTGGACCACGTGACTCGAAACGCTTTGGCCGCACGGAATAATGAGGCCTAGGGACTAGGCAACTGAATAGCATGAAATGGGCGGAGGCGCAGCCTAACTTTCTTTGCATTCCAGGCATTTTGCTCCGTCGATAAAGCGCGGTGCCGTCAATGTTCCCCTGCATTATAGACCTATTCGGCTATTAACCTCAATGTTGTACCCAATTCAAACCCTTTGGGAATAAAACGTTTTGTTTCAGGAATTTCCATATCATTTTAATGTGAATGCCACATTATACAGTACACAAAGAATCTTAACTCCAGGTGATTTGAATTGGGTACAACATTGAGTTAGCCAAATAGGTCTATTGAATTAAGTACATGAAAAGTTCGGCGTCTGAATCAATTAGGAACGCCTGTTTCAATTTGAGTTCTTTTGGTGTTGTGTTGATGTCTTGCAAAGTTAATTTTCACGTGGTATGATCAGCATTACAGTATTCTGTTTGCAGAATTTAATTATTGTGTGTTTCAATTTGGAACGGCTTAGTCGTTCTTCCCGCCTAGCCCGGCTGGGAATTTCGACTTTGCTCGACTTTCGAACAGCTTTGATTTGTCGACGCCGAAGACAGATCTGTTGACTCACCCACTCTGCTGAATAAAAAAGCAAGGCAGCAGTCATAACTAAAATAGTATTCGGGTTAAACTCTAACCAGTGGGTCAGAGACAGCTCAAGCTATAATAACAGGTATTTCATTATCCTCTGTTGTTTGCCTAACGCACTTGTCAGCCATTAATCTTCATTTGCTTAACCTTTTCTCTCCAGTTGAGTGTCCTGCTGGTTCTTACTACAACAAAGATTCTCAAACCTGCCAGAACTGCCAAGAAGGCACATTCCAGAACCGCACGGGGCAGATGTCATGTGATCCGTGCCCGGCGGGTACTTGGAGTAATGGGGGTCATGCTAAAAATTTCACGGAGTGCTTCGGTGAGCCTGTGTTTTTTTAGTTGCATACCATTCAAAACTATGTAGCCTGCAAGAAAGCTCTTCCGGGGCTTCCCTCTTCTCCTCCCCACTCTCTTATCCCCGGGAGCCTCAGGAGTGCTTGCTCGCAGGTTAGAAACTATGTAGTATTAGCCTCGATTCCAAGCTAGTTGTAGTCCACTGTAGACTGTTCACAGTCTCCTATTTTTTCGTTAGATCGTTTAGATATACCGCGTCTTACAGTCACGGGTATCTTGATTTTCAAATGTACCGAGGGGGCGGGGGGCGAGAAAAACCTCCCAAACCGCCCCCCCCCCGCCCCCTAAGTAGTTTTGACACTCATGCAAGATGGCAGCCCAAAGCGCTCGATCTCGATGATCTTACGGAAAAATAGAGGACTGTGAACAGTCTAAGTCCACTGCCGCTAAAGCAGCATTTATCGATCTCTTCCTTTTACAATGCCCGCCATCTTTGCACGCCTTTTAGGATTGATAGGATAAAAATAATTTCACGTGGCATTTTAGGAAACGCGTGATAAAATTTGCCAACACGAGTAATCGCGGTCGAGTTTGTTTATTCTCTCAAAACAGGACGACGATTTTAAGTCATTCAAAAGTAAAGTTTCGATTAGTTTTACATCATTATTGCGTGTTGTGAGTCTACGGTCGTTACTGCGTCCATAAAAGTAGCGATGATCACTTCCAACCAAAATTTCTCATTATCATCGTCTTTAGGAGAAAAGTTCTTCATTTTCTTTTGCTTAGAATAAACAAATTTGACTGCGATTTCTTGAATCGGCAAATTTTCAAACTGGCATGAGAAACCACGTGACATCCCCTCGGTCTTTGATCGCGTGCAAAGATGGCTGGTATCGTGTATAAGGTCTATTCAACTTCCTGACGCAATTCCAATTTTTCTATTTGTTATATTTTTTTATCCATCCATCACTATCATTTATCTATTTGATCTTTTTCCTTTTGACCAGAAATTTGTGAGCCAGGGGAGTTCATGAAGCAGGAAGCATCGGGCATTATTAACTGCTTGATGTGCCCCATCGGAACCTATCAACCCAAGTTCCGAGCCACTAAATGCGAAGCGTGCCCCGTTGGCAAGACAACGCTTCAAAAAGCTTCTACCTCCATCAGTGACTGTCAATAGGTGACTGGTAATACACTTTTTACAGTTCCTGAAGTTAGAATAGGCAGATATCATATCGAACCCAGATCCCACTTCCAAACCAGACGCCAGTGAAGTGAGATCTGGGTACTAGTTCAGAGTCGCCTTCACAGGGATCCTCCACAGGCGCTTCCTAGGGGAGATAACGCGGCTGACCCCTCCCTCCAGTGGACCTTGTATCCCACCCAATGATGTAATATGAGTTTCTGGCAGGGTGATGGTGAATTAATGTTTTACCTTGTGTAAGACTATTTTCTCATAGTGTAGGGGGAATTGCAATACTCAATAGCTTCCGGGCTATTGAGCTATTGGGCTATAAAGTCCCACAAAGAGGAGTTTTTTTTTCTTTTTTTTTGCAAACAAATCTGTCCCGATCAAGGGACCATAACTTACAAAATTCAGTTTCGACATTCTAACTAGAGCTACTGACCGCCAGTGATAAGAAAACCTGTCTTTTTTCTCTTCGTTTTTTCTTTCCATGCAATCTCATGTCAGGCCTAATTCCTCATCTACTGTGCTTGTGTTCAATGCTAAATACATGTTATTCGTTCTTCTTTATTTTGCTCAGGCCCTCCTAACAAGTCATCGACCATATGGATCATCCGTTTATTGATCTGATTCGCATTCATGAGCGCAAATGCGCCATATATTTTGAATTTCGAACTTATAAATAGTGTTACCCATAGAAAAGAGCAAGACAAGGAAAATTTATGCTGGTCATTTAAATAAAATGACGAGAAACAAAAACAAGTATTGCGTTTATATTCATTGACTTTCTTATGATTGCTACGGCTTACGGTAAAACGTTTTTTTTTTTTCCTCTTCTATTTTTTCGCTTTTTCCCTGCACTTTAGCTCGCGACTTTCTTATTGGGGGGCGGGGGAGGGAATATTCTCTACCTTTATCATGCACGAAGACTGGATGGAGCCCAGGCATAAAAACGTCTTGATCCCACACATATATCATAAACGACATCGCTCAAAAATCTACCCGTCTTCAGATGAAAAGCGAAATAACGCCAAGAAGAGTGTGATAGTTTTTCTGTCGCCACGTCACAGGCCCTATTTTTGTGTTTTTTTTTTTTTTTCGCTTTGGTAAGCCTAAACGAATTCGAAACGAGTATACAAGAAAAGCAACGTTTTAGAACCTGACTTATGCAAAAAAACATTGTAAAGGTATAGCTTTCCAACGAATGGAGAGAAGAAGAAAAATCGTTAGATTAGTTTACCTCGGGAGACGTCATTGAAACTTATTTTCTCTGTACTTAACAACCAATTTACACTTTCTTCCGGAGTGTTTTTACTGTTTTATGACATGTTTGTTCAAGACAACGAGACTCAAATATCGATGATTCAGTGTTTAAACGTGGCAGACGGTTTTGATTTCTGCTGGATTCAGTCGGTAGTTTGAGGTGAGTTATAACAATCGTCTGTAAATGCTCTTACGGGTATAGTGATCTTCTACGTTTAAGTGTGCCTGAATTGTACGGCCACTAGATTAGCAGATTTTAGATTAGGCAATGTTATTTTCATAAGATTGACAGACCTCTACAAATTTTGGACTTGCACTTCTTTGCTAAAATCATGGTGATCTTTACTATTTGTCCACGCTTTTTCTTCTATTTTTGACTACAGCGAACTTTAATTAGGTTTGAATATGAGTACAAGATCGAGTACTTCACTTTTTCAAGACCAGCATATAACTAACATTTCGGTTTTTTAATGGTTATACAATTCCACTTCTTCCGCAAATTTTAAAGCGTTTTTACATTCACCAGCAGCCTAATATACCAGGCTAGAAACTAGAATTGTCAAGAAGGAGAGGTTGTTATGTATCTTGCGATGCTTCTGTCTTTAAACGCTCTTTACTGATCAATAAAAGTAGTTTAACTTATTTTAAGTTAGAATTCAAAGGCAGATCCATGATTGCAATTAAAACTTAGAGTCTGAAAATCCTGTCCCGAAAGGTTGACATAATGTTCCGTTTCTTTGACATACATCAGCATAAGCTTTTTGTTATTACGCATGTTGGAAAGTTTGGTAGCCATATTTACAGAATTAAATTCTTGTTACCTGGTTACTGGGAATAGGTTGTTTACTTACTGTTGTCATAAAAGAGAAGATCGATTTTTACATACGGCCAAATTTAATCTTTGAAACTATAAATCAAAGAACGTTCCGGAAGGAAGAAGCCTATAAAAAACACGAGTACTTCGAAAAATGCACTCAAGAAAATTAAAAAATTAGTTAATTCATTTAAAGTTTTGGCCCGAAACTTCAGTATTAAGAACAAATGTTTACCTTCCTGATTAAAGTGCAGATACTGGATTTTGGGTTCCTCGTCAGCGGAACTTGGATTCCGTATTCCAGTCGCTGCCACGATTCCGGATTCCTTGAGCTGAGTTCCCGGGCTCTTTCCATTCAACAAAAATTCCGGTTTGAAATTTCGGAAACTTCTCGTGCCCAATGGACCGGTACATAATAATAATATGATAATAATTCCGTTATTTAGTCTCGGCAGTAATGCTAGTGGGGCATGCAGAGAAATATCTGAAACAAATAATTCAAATTGAACATAACAGGGTTAAGAATCCCAACTGGCCGAAGGCAAGTCTGCTGGCTATTTACAAGCGTGGCCGAGGATTTGAACTCGGGACGACCGAGAACAAATCCAGCAAGCGGTCAGGGTGGGACTTAAACTCGGGGCCTCCGAATTGCAAGTCCAGCGCTCTAACTACTCGGTCACGCCGCCTCCTCCTAAGCCATCGTGCGTTTGGTTATTGTTCTTGTTAGCATGATACAAAAGAGCGGTACTGGGGACAACAATTTTGCCAAATGGAAAGGGACATTTCGGTCCGACCGACCGAAATGACCAGACCGGTAGGAGTGGACCAACTTCAAAGCTGGTCCCGAATATACCGGTCGGACCAAACCAAAATGGTCCGTTCCATTTGATTTTACCAACCGAAATTTTCGGAATGGAAAGCGCCCCCCGATTCCAAAGGCCCTAGGTCTAGATTCCGGATTTTCCCAGATAGGGAATCCAGAATTACCTTACATGGGGCAAAAGAGCCTAGCAATACCATACATTACCCCTCGCTGGGGATGCTCATGAAAGGCAGTAAGAGCAATCATATACCAGGAGCCCATAACCCGGAGCTAGCAACTCCCATGCTAGGCCTATGTCACGGCGTTTTTACGGACCAGTTTATTTTTAGACATATTGTGGGACACTTTTTCGGCGAAAATAGAACATCCACCATGTCTATGAGCGCATTCGAAGTATGACGTATCAAAAAGGAAAACCAAATGTTATTAAAAGGCAAAAATATCATTTTTAGGTCTGTAGGTTTTTGCTGGCTGGTTTGTGGGATTTAAAAGATATTCAAAATTCGCGCCAAAACCGTTCTAAAAATAAACTGGTCCTTGAAAACGCAGTGACACGAGCGCATGGAAGTTGCTCGCTCCGAGTTATGGGCTCCTACATATAAGTAAGCTTCGGAATCTCCTAACGATGACTATATACAATTAGTTAAATCCAACTAGTGGTCTATTATCAATGCCGCGTTATGGTGGAGCTGCTACTAGGCTATATGTTATAGCCCACTAGTAGAGAAAAGCACCGTCTTTGAAAACCAAAACGATGGCGGCTGAATCGCGTTTCGCTAGCTAAAGTTGTTTTGTCTCGATATTTTTGACCAACTAGTTGGATTTTACTAAAACAATTATTCCTTTCGCCCTCATGGCCTCTGAGTCAATAGCCGATGAGACTACTCAGAGCTCATTCGGGCTCGAGGGATGATTGTTAAATATATGTATTCAAATCAAAGTAGACAGACTGCAAATTATAGTAGTTACTAATAAATATATCTACGTGTCCTAACTGTTCATCAGTAGGATCCACCACGCCTAAAATGCGTGCAATTCCACAATTGGTTTCGGCTCCATTAAATCCTATACCAATTGCAGAACATTTTAGGAGGAACCACCCACCGTGTGAGCACAGTAGCGGACAACACGTATAAGTGAGGAAAATAACGCAAAGCAAAACTAAGACGTTTTTAAACGAACTAAATGTACACGCAACTTAAATAAATAAATAAGCACGCGCCCAAATTAAATTGCGCACGCACACGTACCACTATACAACTGAAATAAAAGTCCAAGTATATGTATGTTCTTTGACTGACTTTGACTCACGATCGTATCGATCAGCCCCAATTCATTGTCAATTCACTACGATCTGCTTCCATTCCAGACTGCTTTTACTCCGCCAAGTACAGCATCAATCAGTCAAGTGTGTGCATAAATGGGCCCTGTGCGTTTCTTTATTGTTCTTCTCGCTGTGTTTTTAGCACTAAGTAATGCAAGACCTACAAAGGATGGCGAAATTACAGACAGAATCATGAGGGAGAAAGTTGACCCATCACGGATTGCAGGGACTAGAGATGCAGTTGATTTCATGCCCAGGTAAAGTCAAGTAGCCAAATTATTCAGGAAATTCAATGGTGCTTTAATAATTAATGACAGAGCCGGGAACTGATCGGTGGCTTGGTGATCTATAGAGTTTTATACTTTATTAGACTTTGTCTTTTTTGAGGTCCGGGTTTTAACGCTGGCCAGGTAATCATGTTGTTTCCCTATCGAAGAAATTTTGCTTAAAAATTGTATCTTTCTACGGGTGTAAAATTTGGTTCTGAAGAGACCGTCCACTGTACTGCCGACATATACTCTATACGGCAGGAGGATCATAAACTTTGCCATGGACTAGCATTTCATTGGAAACAAGACCTCCATAGTGGCGGTTCATTGGACTGCCGACTGCGTAATGCAATGGTTTAATATTTTGAGAAGTATAGATAATAATTACACGATTTTCCGGCTTGAGTGTATCGGCTACTCCTAATTAATGGAATGGGATAGAGATATATATCAGCATTTTAAAACAAGAAACGATTGGCAATATTTTTAGCTGCAGGGACACGCTCAACACACCCGAATCTTCCCCCAATCTCTCTGCCCCCAAATATAGCATAACATTATAACTTGCTTATAAAACGTGACAGGATCAATTACTGTCAAATAACGGGAATTCTTTGTTTCTTAAAACTCGCGAAAGCAAATTAAGTTTCAGTTTTATTTCTGTCGGATATTGCATTTAAAGCCCTTCTAACAGTCCATGGCATGTTAGACGGGGGCGATCTACACAATTCGCATATTCCTTTCTTGTAAGGAAAGCCTTGTCTCACGCAGGGAGAGAATTGCAACAAGTTGAAGCTTTTCCCGTGCGGACCGTGGGAGGGCATTGTTTCTGCAGCTCCCGCATAGGCTAACCACATCATCGAATACTTTATTTAGATAATCGTTCGGCGTAGATATAGGGCGAATAACTCCGTGCGATAATTTTGTGTTAGTTCCAAATCGAGTTCCAAATCTGTTCGCCAGACCAAATCTGTGACCCTTCCCCTCCTCGTAAAAGTCGGCCCCCATTGAAGTGGGGAGGGTTGGCCAGGAAACGCGCGCCTTCTGGGTGAGACGTCCGCCATTTTGTCTTTTTTTCGACAGAGAAGGCCAATTCCATAATTGGGTGCCACAGGTAGCCCAATAAATAGCAATAAGAGGGAGCTTAAGCAAAGACGACGACGGCGATATTGACGACAATAGCTCCATGTGCGTCACTCGTAGTAGAGTGATCATTGTCTCCATTGACACCAAGTAAGCCTCTGGAGTGACAACCGGACAATCAATAAACAGTTTCTAGCAAATCTACCATCGTAGGTGATGAACGGTAACTAAAATACCTGGCCTATACGTTTGGAAGCCTATGGTCTTTATGGTCGACATGTACATGAAAATTGCATTCAATTTACTCCCCCTCTCCTTTTGAAAAATCAGGGCGTCAGTGGTTTGAGGGTATCAGAGGAAATAAGGAGAGGAGCGAAGCGAGAAGGGGGGAAATACAGTGAAGGAAGAGAACTAACCTTCCTTTTTCTCCTCCCTCTCCCGCTCCACCCTCCCCCTCTAAGCTCCTCTAAAAACGGCCCTCCCTCAACCACTAAAGATGGTACAATCTCCTCTCCAGTAAACCCTAAGGAAGGCCTGATTCTCAGACCAATGAGGCGTCGTACTGTACCTTCTTTGTTTTAGATCATCTCGCGGAATTGTCACAAAATTGAAAGGTATCAGAAGAGCAAGGACAAAGAGGAAACCTGCAAAACACAAACATTCCAGCCACTCCGGAAGTTCTAAAAGCTGCACCGAGTCCGGTTCCGATTCTGATTGAACTCTCACGTTCCTAAAGTTTCATTTCGTATAGCAGTCCAATCGTTTTGCATAATAACAAGGAAATTATCCTCTCTTGAAAATAAACTGCAAATGAAAGAGTATAGTCCACTCGTAAGCTGTGAAAAATGTTAAAAATAAATAATTAAGTAATAAAAATATTACTTATACACATGTCCGCTGAGGACGTAGTGGTGTTGCTTCTACGAGGGCTGCAAACTGAAAACAAAGATTAAACTAAGTTGAAAAAAAGGCAAACAAATTCGCTAGTTGTAACTGGTGACTCGAGCTCTCTTATATAACTTCATATATCGCGACAATCAGTCGTATTTGCCAACGAAAGCAAATTGTAATTCTATCCTTGCTGACCGGCACTAAGGAATAAGACGTGAACGCCACAGAATTGCGAATTCGAATCGCTATCGCCGAAAGGTGCGCGCGCACGCGCGACCCTCAGAACCAGCGCGTTTAGGCACGCATGCCCGCAAAGAAAGATTCAACTTCTTAACTTGCAATTTCCTTTTTATTGTCTCGTATCATGCTTTTTAATCCACCAACCGAAAAAAAACTGCGTTCAAAAAAATTCTCTCATTTTTTTACCCCATTTTATAAAATAACTAAGATAGTACGCACGTTCGGATTGGTTAAGAACGTATGGTTTATTGTGCCGGTAAACTCGTAGAAAACTGAAACATGTTTTAAAGTTATTTTACAAAAGCAACAGACCATACTTTCTGTGGGTTTACCGGTGTGATAACCCACTTGGGATGATGCGAGAACACTCGAAAAGCTTGTAAATCACTCGCTTTTGGTTCGTGATTTACAAGCTTTACTGGAGTTCTCCCAACATCCTGCGTGGGTTATCACCCGGGGAAACCCATAGAAAGTGTGGTCTGTTGCTTAAATTCCCCATCAGCCCTCAAGAGTTATGACGACAGTGTAATATTGGTCTGTAATTCCCGTAGACAAACTGTTATATCGGGCTCATTCTCTCTTGTATCGGGCAAGTACACCTTAACCACTGTTTATTTATTTATTTATTTATTTATTTATTTATTTATTCATTATTTATTCATTCATTTGTTTATTCACTCAGTCGTCTTTCCGCAACGATCAGCCAACTGTCTTTCCTACCTTAGATGTCTAGATTTTAAGAGTTTCAAGTTCTCGTAAGATCCGGCAATCATCACTAGGTTGTCGCTGTGGTTCTTACCTGGGCTTTGAAGAGGCGATATTGGTTCTTACCTGGGTTTTTGAAGAGGCGATTTTTGTGGTTTGAAATCGCCTCTATAACAGTAACGAAGCGAAGCGACGACCGCATGAGACAGGGAAAAGCCTTTCGCCGGTTGACGGGCGTCGTCGTTCGCGCTCCCTATTTGTGTTTGAAACACGAAGCGAGCGACGACCGCTTGACCGAGAGCTCGCCCTAGCGCCAAAGATAACGCCTGTTCTGCAGGTTACTTCCTGGATTTCTTCTTTCACATGAAATCGGGTCCGGATTGCTTCCATGCCACGGGGAATGAATGTTTCAGGATGTTTTTTACTTCCTGGTTGCTGGTTTGCACGTGACGTCATGGCGGCCATGTTGGTGGTCAAGAACAAAAGCATTTCTCTCCTCTGGGAACTAAAGTCCCTTATCATGTAAACTATTCGGAAAAAAATTCTATTGCATTGTCCCCTAACGTGGCCGCCTTATCTGTGGTTGCAAACCAAGAATAGGTTCTTCACGAATCTTAGAAAGTAGAGACCTCACGATTCTGTGTTTGGGTACAATTAAACTACCCGTTCCAGTAGCTGTAACTTCGGGATAGATGGCCTGTTACCCCGGTGAATGCCTGGGGTGAATATAACCGGCTGCTTGTTAGAACGACATGAAAAAAAAGCTTTCCTTTTGCGAAATTTTATAGAGACTCTCTGAGCGGTAAGTCTACTGCGGCATGACTGATCATGAGAAGATGATATTGATCTCGAAAGTTAAGGGAGGTTTGTCAGAAAGGAGCCGATTTTACAGATCATTTGCAACCACAAAATCTTGTTTATTTCCGTTCATGATTGCTTTTACTATACGATTATCACAAGACAAGAAAATCGCATCATGAACGGTCATGAACTATTTTGAAAGTTGACAGGCGACTGGGGCCAAGAAAAAACGTTTTGACTTGTGCCGCACAGCGCGCGCTGTGATTGGCTGATGCGACCAAGACCGTCAATCAACCAAATTCAAACTTTGAAATGTGATCCTTACAACTTCAGCGAACACGCTCTATCGTCTTCGTGAAAACGTCGCGGAACTTCGATCGTCAGGTTTTCCTTCCAAGTTATTTTATTTAACAGCGTAAAACTCTTGTTATTTGCAATTCAAAGCGTTCGGAAATAGACCTGAAAAACACAAAATTCTTTATTTCGTGCTAAAGATATTGAGTTGCAAGCTGAGATCTGCTCGATTGAACAGCCAGACATCCTACTCTACTTTCTCCGTTCACTACTTGTATCAGGGCAACGATCAAGATGCCTTCCGCGACGTTCCCGCCGCAAATTACAAAATACTACGAGCTGAGAGAAACCATTGGAAGCGGTGAGTAGATTTATTGTTGAATCTTACTATTTATATTTAGCATGAGTTGATTTAAGCTTTAGCTTACTTGCAATCAACATTTAATTTGCGGTGTTCTGGCAACTGTGAACACTGAAAACGCGCTGAGGTAATCGTATTTCGAGATGTGTTTTTCAAATCGAAACGAAAAAAATTTGGACTGTATATTTGGCACAAAAAGTTGCACAAATATGTCGCAGTGGTATTGAACAGTCTTTTGAAGTTGCTGTGGTTTTTCGGCTTAAAACCCCTAATATCGTTCTCTTCTGATATTTTCAATCATGCCCCTGATGCACGATCACATTGACTGAGTTTTACTATTATTACTCCGAATGAATCTCCCAAAAAGCAAGTTTAATAGAAATGTCTTAAGGTTATCGAAATTTGAACTTTTTGTTATTGCATTTCATTTTTCCGTAAACCAATACCGTGACCAACCGTCCCCGGTTATAAGCATAGCGAAAAGCAAAAACAAGCTGAGCTAATATCCTCAAAGTCTCAAAAATACTTGTCGTCTTTTGCTTTCCCACTCAAATTCAATGACTCTATCAAACAGCTGCACACGCAGAAAGTTCTATTCCAGCCACGATAGTTGTACATTTGATCTGTTCGAGAACCATTGAAATTGATTGTGTTCATGTAATGACGTGAATGTAGAAGTACACTGTACTTCCTAAGATCAGGCCTGCATAATTAACAAATGAAAATATTTTGTAAATATCGTGTTTCATGTTGAAAAGGAGAACAAAACCACCGACAGCGGGAATGTGAAAAGCAAAGAACTGTATTTGTTTTGATATGGCAAACGTTATCTTTAACACAACAAATGCTCGACTTGTTGAAATTGAATTCTCTTTTGGAAATTGACAAAACTTCCTGCTTTGACAATACTTACTCAGAAAGCTGCGTGCACGGATGGATAAGTTTTCAAATCACCCGGTACACCCGGTTGTAATATGACCTTAGGTTTCTAGTAACCTGTTACAGCTGCTCGGGTATAAAAGTTATGGAAAATAATTAGAAAAAATAAGAAAAAATAGCCAGGAAGGCACTCTCTATCTATTGTATTGCTAGATTGTTATTTATTATTTTATTCATGAAAGCAATATCAGATTTGTCCTTGTGGCAGGAAAATCTCTTACAATTTCGCGATTTTAGGAAATGTTGTCACAAAGAGGGCTGAGAATTGTCATTTTTGGCATTTCTAATACAGTAAAAATCTGCATATAATAGCCTAGAGTTTTCAAGGTCAGGCTGGTCAGGTTCTAATATTTTGGGGTAAGTTTTTCAAAATTCGGGCTGATTAGGTTCTTAATAGGTTCTTATTTTTCAGAGG